AAGCGATGTGAGAAAAATATCTATATTGAAATATATGTAATACTAGTATTGGGCTTTTCTCAGCTGAAACTAGAACCTTTACAGACAAATAGTTGATAAATAAGTTTACTGCAAAAACAAAGAATGGAACAAAGAACTATTCCAGCAGCTGCTAAATATAAAATACCACCTCTATTTATGTGCCTCTTTTTCCCACCTGCACAGGTGCAGTTGTCTGGAGGTCTCATACTTTGGGACAAGAGGAATAATTACCAGGTGCCTTTTATTGTAACAGACTGGACTGGTCTAAGGATGCTTCTAACCTTACCAGAACAGAGCCTTTTGGTACACCTTTTTCCTCTATATTTCCTCCTTTCCTCCCTAACCCATTCAAGGAAGAACTTGATGCTTCTCCAATCCCTTTTTCATGTCTATATCAATATACAGAGATACATATTTTAGTTGCATTGAACTATTTGCTCTAAGCTAGAAGGTCAGCTATACGAGAAAATAAAATCTATTGTATACATACAAAGATGCTGCTGTAGGCACACCCTTAGTTTTGATCAACTTTTATACACTTTAAAAATTGAGTCCCTAGGTATCTTAGTCAAAGGAATGAAAAGTAGATTAGTGGAAAATTAAAACAAGTTTTTATGTTCTTTTTGCAATCAGTATGTTATTTACAAATCTAAAAGGATTTGTAATAAATATATTATTCATGCTTAAAACATAGTAACTGCAGTTTGTATCATGTTCTCTATTATGCCAGAACTAAGAATGGTCTGTATTTGCATCCATGTATAAATCAGAATTGGTTTGTTCCAATAAATGCCCCACATTGTAACTTTTTCTCTTTGGAAAAGTTCTACTTTGAAATCTGGTGGTAAATCATTTAATTGGAAAGCTTGGGTGGAAACTGAAGTTATGACTTTAAATCAAACTGTTATGTTATGGCTGTTGTAAGTTTAACTGGTAAGAAGGAAGAATTTATTGCCTAGGCTGCAGTTACAGTAATCGGGCAAACACCCTCCGTTCTGAGATTTGGCATTCATTCCTATATTGGTTCTGTATATAAGACTGGCTACCTATGTATGCCATAGGGATGTGGTCTAAGGTTAGTTTGTTTGCTTATTTGTTAGAAAAATAGCTTTTGAAGCCATGTTATTGGAGAAATTTATATTTTGTCAGTAATCAAAGAATTGCCATTGAAAGAATAATATTGCTTGTCTGTCTCAATTATTTTAAAACTACTGACGTCTGGGAACCATTCCCCATGATTTTATATTTAGTCAAGCTTTTCAGGATCTTTTCCTGAAAGAAAGGAAAGTAATACCAGATGTTCTAATCTCACATCAGCTGCAAGTATATCTAGATAAAGATGCAAAGCATTTTTGAAATATCAGAAATTTTGAAGCTATGTAGGAAAACGTTTATATTGAATATATACAATACTCAGGTAGTCTTTGACTTATGATCAGGGGTGGGTTCTAAATTTTTTTACTACCGGTTCTGTGGGTGTGGCTTATTTTGTGGTCGTGGCTTGTAAGTCATGTGACTGGGTTGGCATGGCTAGCTGGTCATGTGACCGCGTGGCCATGGCTATGTGTATAGGGACTACTCAGAGGGCTGAAAAAAGTGATTTCTGACAGGTCCTCCCACTTATGACCGGTCTTCGCACTTATGACTGGTCATCATTTATGCCCATTGTAGCATTCTTAACAACTGTGTCACTCATTTCACAACTTCTTCTCTTCACCATGGTGACAAGATAGGGCGAAAAACATAAAATGTGAGGACAGTCGTAAGTTTGAGGACTGGTCAAAAGTGCGAGGACCAGTCAAAAATAACTTTTTCAGTCCTCTGAGTAGTCCATATGCACAAAAGGATTCAATTATTTCTTCAAAGTGCTGATGATTGCATCCTGGCTGGAAGAACTCCAACAGGGGAGTATTTCCTCCCAACAGCGGTGTAAAAAGCTTAAAACAACCCTTCCCCTTTAAGAAAGTCAAGCAAAAAAATAGCCTCTGGAACCAGAAGTGACAGTAAGTCTAGGCATACTGCCGGAGAGGCACTTTCTGTAATAAAGATTAGGCTAGGAAACAACACCAAATGTTGTAATTAATCCTTACAGGATTAACCCTGTAAAGTGGAAAAAAACAAAAGGTGATTTGTTTTAACAACCGGTTCTCCAAACTGCTTAACTACTTAACTACTTAGAATCCCACCACTGGGTCTGCCCATTTATTTTTGCAGGCACTAGTCTACTCATTTGTTTTCTTTTAACACTGATCAGCTGTAGGGCGGCCCTTTGAAGCCTCGCGGCAAGAGTTTAAACAGTTTTTTTCCCTCTAGCCATCAGCTGGGACTCAGGAGGCAGCAATAGATTGGGGGTGGGGTCAAATAAAAGGTAAGAATAACGGGGGGGGGGGCAGAACCAGTTCGGTGACGTCATATCGTCACCGCTACTGGCTCGGCCGAACCGGGAGGAACCCACCACTGCTTATGACCACTCATTCAGTAACTGTTTGAAGTTATGACCCACCCAAAAAAGGAGACTTGCAACTTGAATTTAAATTTTGATTGGGCTCCCTCCATGGTCATGACTGAAATTTGGATGCATTTATTGTCATTTGCAACACCACGTTTTACAATGGTTTTGCTGAAAACTGTGCTGTTTTTCTGGTTTTCAGCAAAACCATGCCTGTAGCAAACCATTGGTTTGCTTAATGACTGCCATATTCACTTAACAACTCTAGAAAAACAACAACTCATCTTGCAGCCATCACAATATAGGACCTTAATCAGCAGCCTCCATTATGGTTGAATGTTGTGGGACCTGTAGCATTAGGCTTTTCTCATCTGAAACTAGTAGTAGAAACTTTAGAGAGACAACTTGTTGATAAGTATGTTTACTGCAAGAACAAAGAATGCAACTAAGAATTATTCTAGCAACTGCTAAATATAAAATACCATCATATTTATAGCACAAACAATATGTTCTCTTGTGCCTCTTTTTCCCACTGCACAGGTGCAGTTGTCTGGAGGTATTATAATTTTGAACAGGAGAAATAATTGGCAGATACCTTTTATTGTAACAGACTACATTGGTCTAAAGCTATTTACTTGTACCTTTGTCAGAACATGACCTTAAATCAGTCCTCTCTATTTCCTTCTTTGCTCCATCCCTTATTTAAGCAAAATATTAACCTTTCTCTTTTCCCTTTTCCTTGGCAACAATTGAAGGATATGTTACTCTTCCACTGTCCAGGGGAACTTTGACATAATTTCTATCCTTATCGAAATGATAAAGACCTGAATTTCAGGTTTTCATGTTTTGCTTTTCACTGAGATGATAAAGATAAGATGGTTGAATAAATGTATGTATTCACATTCATACATATGTGGGTTGGGTGGCATATATATTTAATTACATGCACTTAAGCTGCATTGAACTACAGATAATCCTCCACTTAGGAGTACAATGGGGCCCAGAATCTTGGTCATTGAGCAAGATACCACGTGACTTTTTTGCTCAATTACAGCAATCCTGGCTGTTCCAGCTTGTTTGTTAAGTGACTGCATAGGTTATTAAGCAGAGGGCCTGGACCTTCATCATGTCTGGGAGGCCTAGGCATCTCCCTGCCCCCCTAGGGAGAATGATCACAAAACCAATGGCAGTCAGTAGTATTTTTGCCAGATTTTAGGTTTGTTCTTCAGGGTGCCGCGGAATTTCTCTGGGGAAGGGTTAGAACACTGGAAGGAAAACTGCTAGGAAAGGCCATTATTCTGAATCTTTCAGAATGATGATGTTTGGAGAGAGAAATGCTAGTACCCTTTTGGGATCGTGTATTAATGTATATAAGTAGGTTTATGGGTTGGTAGGATGGGATTTAAAATTACAGTTCTTGAGTGCTCAGATGATTTTCCTTAAATAGATTATGTGCTATCCATGACAGTCCGTCCCTAACCTGGTCTTTAGGTCTTCCAACAGTGCATCCTTCATAACTGAATCCATTCACCTTGCTAATAGCTTTCTCCTCTTCTTTTTCCTTCCACCTTTCCCAGCATTAGAGCCTTTTCTAGAGAACAAAGTCTTCACATAATTAATACATCCAAAGTAGGATACCTAATTTGAGCCAGAACATTTGTGCCTTGAGTGGATTGATTAATGAGACATTTGTTTGTTTCCTTGGCTGCTTATGGTATTCACAAGAGTCTTACACAACCAACGTTCAAAAGGGTCTATATTCTTTCTATCCAGCTTTTCTACGATCTATTCCAAAGTACAGTTACTTCAATATTTGAGATGGATAGTAATATCACACTTCTTTATTTCTGAATTTGAAGAGGGGGATATTCTACGGTAGGTGAATTTAACCTGGGGATAAGCTCAATTGAAACTCAGTCACCATGACTTAAAGTGGACCTGCGTAAGATTGTACTGTAGTTCTTTGAGGACCACTTTTTTGGCAAGTGACCTTGGCCTGTGTTTATGTGTGTTTCAGATGTTTCTTTGGACTGTGATTAAAAAGCTGTTAGTCACATTGCTTTGCCACCCTGCTTAGAACATCTGTATATTTATCTGTGTAAGGTTTTGGACTCTATGACATTTGTTTGATTGATATCGCTTATCCTGGTTCATGGCAAATGTTGCATTTCTACTACAACTTTACATCTTTTTTTAAATAGCTCCTTGAATTGGCAGCATCAGTGGTTTAATCGAGGCAAATATAAAATTTATTAGGATATATTATAGGCCCAAGGGAAAGTTTAGAAATTCTATCAAGAGCTTGTTGATGTAATGTACTTTTTCATTTTGATAACTGTTCACAAATACTGGGCATATTTTTTTTGCCTAGATCTATTGTGCTTGGTATATATGGCATTCATAATCTGTTTAGTTTTCCACAGATTTCTCTTCTATGCTTTGTTGGTGTGAAATTTTTGTATGTTTTAATCTGTATCTCATATAATTTCCTTTTGAGATTAATATATAATATATGCTCTTTTTGTTTTAGGGGAATCCTCTCAGATAAGAAGGTCAAATTTACTTTTGGAATTCAACACTACACAAACTTGTTCTAAGGGAAGTCAACACACATGGCAAAGTAACATCAATTTCTATTGTGGGAAGACTTTGGTTAGTATGTTACTGCTGAAAATTTTATTTCTAAATAGGCAATAATTATTTTTAATTATTAAGTACTGATAAGCTATCCCAGTCCTGACAGAAGAATTATGTTTGTCCTAGAATGTATCTGCATGTTCCAGCAGTACAGATTGCTTATGTGCAATCTGTACTATTTAATGACCCTATTTAAAAAGGTGTTTAATTAATGTGCCAACATGAAAGAGAAATATCAAATTGGTCAGATTGCATAAAACTAGTGCTTCTTAAAAATTGATAAAAAAATCTGCCACTCAATTTATGTGCTTGGTATTAGGTAAAATTTTTTAAGGCATTTCATTATCTGTTTTCAGGAAAGTTTCTTTACCAGAATGTCTTAAAATCATTTATTTATCTATTAAATTTTCATGCCACCCATCTGCCTGCTAGATGGACTCTGGGTGGCTTACAAAACAGTACGGTGCTATTAAAGATAAAAATCTTAGCTCTTGGCATTTAATTTCATACTGTCTAGGTTCTGAAATGTTAATTTTGTTTTATTTTCCCAGTTATTTTAATTTATGGAGAATTTCCACACTCTAGAGTTGATATATATCTGGATAAAAGTAGTTTCTTGCTTGGAAATGTAAACTATACTAACCAGTAGAATTTATTTTAAACTTTATTATTATTTAGGTTTTAATTGTAATTACAAATACAAATTGATCAGTATTGTGCATCACTTTTTTCTTAATTAGGGTTCCCCAGAATTTGTGACTTCATTTGAGTGTGTTCATTATTTTGAATGGAGAACATTCCTTGCATGCAAGAAGGACTTATTTACATCAGCTGAAGAGGTAACACAATTCCTGTTTGAACATAAACTAAAAATCATAATATGCATGTTGTTTGGGAAGTCAGTCCATTAGATTCACTGGGCCAAATAGGTTAACTAAGCAATGCATCCTCAATTTATTATTTTCTTACCAATTCAGGGCTCCAAAAATTATCATCTCATATTATTTACAAGTGATATTAAATGCCATTTAGTGTTAGGTTTCTGGTAATATCATGAAAATTTTAAAATAGTAGTCAAACATGTTTTCAGTTTGAACAATCTATCACTTTTTGAATCTAGCTATAAAGATGTTATTCTCTTCTTCTAGTGCTGCTTATATAATTTCTATTGTTTGTTAAATATTCTGCAGTATGTGAAAGAAATTGATACTTTGTATACTCTGAGAACTCATTTTTATCTTTTGAATATGGTTTTATCTCGGTAGATTGTGTATTGAATTGTGTACATTCTTTCATATACCCATATCGCCAATCCATCCTTGCTGTTGCTTGCTTAGTCTCATAGAACAGAGTTCCCCACACTTTCTGTCTTTGGGGGGGGGGGAGAAGAGGGGATAGTTTTGCACGAGTGGTGGGCAAGCAGGCATGTACACTCAGCTCCATTTGTGTGAGTGGTGGGCATATGTGCCAGCCGCTCACGCAAATGAAGCACACACACTTGCCCACTGCTTGTGGAAGTGGGGATGCACATACACTCTCCAGTATATCTGCGGCCTGGTTCCGAAAGGCTCAAGGCCCAGTAGTGGGCTGCAGCCTGGGTGATGGGAGCCCCTTCCTGGAAAACTGCTGGGCAAACAGGCAATCAATTACATGACAGGAATAAAATAACAACCCAGATATGAATATAGCAGCTGCTTTTTAACAATTGACCATGTATGTATTAAACAATAGTCACAGAAAATTATGGATTCTGATGGCCCTTCCAGAATACTATAGGTTTGATTAGACAGTTCTGTATACACTTACTAAATACTCTGGTTTGATTTGCTCAAACTGTGAGTAATAAATAGTAGCTTTGAATGAGTGCGCACACTCATCAGTACCACAAGATGGAAGCATAATATCTTTATTAGTTCTGCATGTTAAAAAAATAGGACCAGGTTTGAAACATAGAATGACAGATGGAATGCCGATAATGACCCTATATTGTGTATGATCCTATTTTCAAGACATGTTTTAAATTTCTAGGTACCTTGCTACATATTTGATGAAAACCTAAAGAAACGTGATTTAAATCCATTGATTAAGACTTCTGGTGGATACTTGATAGAAGACTCAGATGATGATTCACAGTTATACATCAACATCTGTAGAAACATAGGTATGAAATCCAACTAAAAATGGGTAATTTTCTCTGATCTCCATAAGGCAAGACATTTTTCTATATCTAAAATTTTACCATGCTTCCCTTCAGGATGAAATACATAAAATATTAGTGCTTTTATTTGAGTTACACTGATTCCTCAGTGTTTTCCAGTTCTCCATTTCATTTAATACCTCTATTTTATTAAACATTCAGAAATTTATTTACCATTCATATTTATGAGACTTTCCAATTTTTGAAAATATACTCTAAATTTCCTCTTGTACCTGTGGCTTTGCAGAATTTGCTGATCAACTCTTTCCCACATTTTCCGCATAACTTTTTGTCTAATTATTAGTTAATGTTTATGCCTATTTATCTTGGATATTTGGTTGTTGATTAATCTATAGTTCAATATAACCTATTGGTGCTACCTTATTCCATTTTAGTTATCAATAATAGTAAGATCTTCCTTAAATGTGTGGAAAAACTATGTTTGAACTCAAGATTTTCTCAGACTGTTGTTTGTAGGGTTTTTAGACTGCCTTATGGAAATCAGTTTGTGGATAATCGTTTAAATATAATTCAATTTTGGGGGGAAATCACAATTTCAGTTATATAAAATATTTTAGATCATATATTAATAGGTATAAAGTTGATTTATAGCTTCCTTTGAGAATGCCATTTCTATGATTAGAAGATATGACTTTGGTGCATGATATTATTCTTAAAGCTGTGAAAACCATTTTGAGGTACTAAAAATGAGTGTAATCTTGCATAATACTTCATGCAAATAACTTGATAAATATATTTGCCTTATTTCTGGAACTTCTGATCAAGGTACCTCTGTAAGACCGATATCACTTCAGTCATATAAATTTCTAAAATGTTCTTGCCCACTTTGCAATGTTAGTATCTATTGTATATAAAATAAAATCTTGATTGCCATAATTCTGATTCATAACTTGGCTAAATAGCTTGTCTCTTCTATTTTTTATTGATGATGTGGTTAAAGAGCATATCTTTAGTTTGATTTAAACAAACTTTTCGAAACTTTAACCAAGGAACATACTTATACATCAGTAATACATAGGTTGTTACTCATCATTGCTTTAACAGGAAGGTCATCAGGTGAAACTCGCAGTTGTCCAGAGCACAGTGCAGCTTGCTTGGTGAAGGATGGTCATGCATTTGATCTGGGCCATACCAAAGAATTACTAAAACGGCTTGATAAAGACAGGTATGGCTGAAGTCTTTGTGTGATCTTTGAAAGTCATCAGCATGTCAGTGCTATTTATGATTAATAAGGTTGGAAGAATGTAGCTATAAAGTTCAAATATTAACTCTTACATGTTTCTGCTATTACTAGGAATTTGTATTGAGTGTTGAATTACATGTCCTTTGTTTAATTTACAACAGTTTTAAAATTAGCCTATTTTTGTATGTTTTTGGAGCACAAAAAATAACTTTATTAGAGGATGGACTAGAATCCCTAGAAAACCACTAACGTTGTTTTCATAGGTACTGTATTCTTAATTTTGTTCTAATTGTATATTATATTATTCTGTTGAATTCACTGAATTTGTAGCTGTTCTTCCCACCACTATCCCTTTATTATTTACTTGTGCTAATGTAGCAAATTTCAACAAATATTTCTTTCGAAGTGCCCAGCATCTTCCTGGAAGTATCTTACTTGCTATTTTATTTTTTGTGACTATATATTCCCTTGGGGTGGGCTAAAGGATTATGCAAGGGTACTGATAGAATTAGTGTAGTTTTAACCTGGGAAAACAATATAAAATGATTTGAGTCATCTTGTAAAGTAAACAACAATTTGAAATTATTATGACACCATTGTTCTAGATTCTACTTGTTCACAAGTTTGGTATCTTGCAGATAAGTTTGAATTCCACTTCCTTATAACCCTCTTGTTTCATAACTGTTACACTTCAACTACACTTTGGGAACTTTGCTTTGTGTGAATCTCCTGATATTTTTTTTCATGTTTATGTTTCTTTATTTTTTCAGGTTTCAGCTGAGATACAGCAATGTAAAAGAGAGACCAGACTTTTGTGGTAGCCATGATCCAGCAGTTACAATTACTTTTGTATGTCCAGAGGGAAGGCGAAGAGAGGTAATCAACAATTTCCTATGGTGGATGTTGAGCACTGTTACTTGACTGGGAAGACCAATGGATCATAGCATTAACTAAAAATAAATGTATCAGCATATTTCAATTTTACAGGGCCAAGTCAAGATAACCTATTGCTTGAAAAGTAAATATCGTGATCATTCTTTCTTATACCTTTCTTCATTGACCAATCAGAGTTCAGTATAAAGGTTGTTAAAATTATTTTTGAGGCAGAATGTCCGACAAGTCTTTCCCCTTCCTGACAACAAAAATACTGTTTTAATGAATTTAAATTTATTCATTTTAATTTAATGAATTAAATTATGACAATTTCTGGACACCCAAAATCACCTGTGTTGACCCTTTCATTGAGGCATTAAGATCTTTGCCATAATTCATGACACTCTAAACTGCAAACAATTTTTGACAGGCACTGCCCTGATTTTTCTAGTAGTTAAGGATTTTATTGGACAAGGATATTTATAAGTTTAGGGAGTTTTTATGATATTCGTTCATGTTGGATAATTGATTACTTGGATTTTTAAAATCCAAAGGCAGTTGTTTTCGAGCAAGTGTTGCACTTCATTTTTTTGTTTTGTTTTCATTTATGTCCAGTTTCTAAAGACTGCTAGAGGTATGGTGGTAAAGTCACAGAAGTGATAGGCTAAAATGTTTAGCCAGTTTTTCTATTTTGAGTGGATGGATGCTTTAATTAAAAACAGAAAAAAGGATATAAATTATACCAAAGCTTTAATCATTTATTTTAGGGTGATATTTGTTGGGTGGGAAAAACACTACATTTTACTGCTGAAAATTGAGGTTTTGATGGCATGGTCCTCCAAGTTACAGCTAGAAGCTAGAAACAATAAAAATGGTCTATAAGAGGCCATAAGCACAACATGAAACAGTTTGTCATCTTCCACCCTCCCCAGTTTAGGCTATTGAAAATCCAAAATCTGAGAGCTAGAAGGACAAAGCAGTATATAGCAAGCAAGCAGCCATTTGAAACTAAACTACTGTATTTTATAATAAATAGTTCATATATGTTGTTCTGTTGGAAAATTTCAGAATCCAAATTTGATTTTGTATTGGAAAACTGCACCTATGTCTTGCTATAGGACACCTTTGCTTTTCCTGTCAGCTACCAGCTATTACTAAATACGCACAAAGAATTATTTGAAGAGGGAAACAAAGATGGCTGTATGACATTACGTTTTTTTTTAAATTGGTAAACAGAAAAAGCTTTTACAGAGCATGTAGGCTAAAATGGAATGAAGGGAACAAACTAAAACTGTAGAGCCAGTTGTTCTACCACCTTGGTAGGATCCAGACACTGAAATGGCATTTCTGTGACCGAGTTTTAACATTTAGGTAAATGTTAAGTAACATATTTTAGCAACATTTAAATAGGGTGGTATTAAAATGAGAGATTGTGTTACTATTCTCTAATTCTGGAGACTTGTACTGGACTTGTGAGCTTATGTTTGGGGGTAAATAAATCAAAGTTCTCTGATCTGACTAGTTATTCTTTTAATACAGGATACAAATCCTACGCTCACTGCTCAAAGCAATTGCCGCTATGAGATTGAATGGGTTACTGAGTCTGCTTGTGCCAGGGACTACCTGGAGAGTCATAATTGTACTCTGAGCAGTGAACAACATGGTATTTATGTGGATCTGACACCTCTTACGCAATCTCCAGGTAACTATCCTTTTTCCCTTAGAGTGTGTGCAACATGATATTTTATACAAGTAAAACCAGTAGCTATAGCAAAAATTAAATATAGCAGAATTTGACAAATTTCAAATTCTGGTATAGATGTATGGTACAAAATATTACGTGTTTTGGTCTTGAAAATGAACCAAATGGATGGATATATAAATGAAATCACCATTCATGAGATTGTACTATTTTGAAGATTATCTATTTTGAATGTATTTTTATGCATGGGAACGGTTAACTTGCTTTTTTTGTCAAAAATACAGTATTTATTAAAGCATTAAAACGAAAGCAACAAATAAATCAACAGACTGAAATTACAGATTGCTCATTACAATAAGTGCTCTAAAATCTAATGAGCTAGCAATTTAGAAATCACAACAAATCTGATCAAACACAGTGGAAGTAGCATTATATCCCCTGCTCTAGCAATCACAAAAACATGATTTCCTTTTTGGTTGTGTCAAATGAAGATGATGATCACATAAGCTTAAAGATACTAAAACAAAAATAAAAATAAACAAAAAACAAAAACATTATAAAGAGAAAAATTAGTGACATGGTTTACAGGCATTTTCACTGATTTATCAGCTTTAGACATGTATGGGATTTCACAATGCTAGATGCAGTATGAGAGTGCATTCAATTTAACCCCTCCAGAACTGGGGTATGGAGAAAAAAACTAGAAAATTTGTGAGGAGACTCTTGTTTTGAATTTGAGGATGAAATGGAGAAAATTATAAATAGCTAGAGTATAGTTTTCATGAAATTAAAATTTGTCTTGCAAAATTCTACACCTGAATCATTGGGTAAGTTTAGAAAATGGCTAAGAGCATCACTTGTGGCACAGAGGCAGATTATAATAATGCTATACAGTGATCATATACATATGAACATATCATATACATGTTTTCCCAAAAATAAGACCCTGTCTTATATTTTTTTGAACCTGAAATAAGTTGTTGGCCTTATTGCCATGAGCTCAAAAGCCCGATTGGGCTTATTATCAGGGAATGTCTTAATTGGAGGGTGGGGGGAAACAGGGTAAGTATTTTGGTGTCATAAATATATATTTCCATTTGTATGATCATTTGAGTATTTCAGATGTGGATTTCAATCATATTTTCTTTAGGTGATGTGTCATATCTTGCAAAAGATAAAGAGTATAACTATTATCTGAACGTATGTGGGAAAGTAGCTGGCGGTGTTTGTAAAGATAAGGATGTGTCTTCATGCCAAGTTAAATCTGAGAAAAGTCAGCAGAAAGCGGCAGGAAGATTTACCAATCAAACTCTCAGGTTAGTACTAATCCAGAAACGTAAACATGTTTCTTTTGGAAACAAAATCTGTGATATTGCCCAAAAATATTTGGTTTGATATTAGAGAAAAATAGCTTTTGTTTCTGAAAGAAGATATTTTTCACAACATAAAATGCTGTGCAGGTAGTCCTCAAATTATTACTACTCATTCAGTAATCGTACAAAGTTTTGATGGCACTGTGATACTTACACTGGTTATTGAAATTCTGGCTGTTGCAGCATCCAATAAAACTAATTAAGTAGAATCCTATTGTTTTTTTGAAATCAGGTATGCTGATGGAGATCTTATTCTGACATATCCAGGAGGAGATAGTTGTAGCTCGGGTTTTCAGAGAATGACGGTCATAAATTTTGAATGCAATCAAACTGCAGGTAATGTACCAGTCTGGGTGTTAATGGATTAATTTGAGCAGTATTGTTCTATTGGAGTAACTGCTGATACTTTAAAAACAACAACAACATTATATAGAAAAATGTTATATAGAAAACTAGATATTTCATTTCCTTACCACCCATGTCATTCAAAGGGACACTGTGATCAATAAAATAAGTTGTGGCTTATTTGGTAAATGAATGTACTAAACAAATTATAGGTAAGTGTAGTGTGTGAACTCTAATATTAATTGCAGTATTAAAGCCTTTTTATTTCAACTTGTGATGGATTGGCTCATGCCAATTCTATGGAAATGGATTCCCAGCTAAATTATATTTGACTTCAAGTTTTTAAATGTTAATCTGTTTTAGCTTCTCTTTAATTATTTGGGATGGCTGGACTCTGTTATTCTTATGTTTGATTATGTGTCATGAGCCTAAATGTGAATATTCAATGGACAGTATCAGTACTTTAATCTGGTATCTTTTTATATATTTCCTGTTATATGTTAACACTTTTTAATCTGAATGTTTCCTGTATTTTTGTGAATTTATTAAAGATAATAATGGCAAAGGACATCCAGAATTTAATGGTGAAACAGACTGTTCATATTTTTTCACCTGGCAAACCAAATATGCTTGTGTCGGTGAAAAAGAAGGTTTGCCATGCATGGTTTCAGACAAGAAGAAAAAATATGACTTGACACGACTGATTCGTCATTCTGGTATGAAACTTAAAAAATCTATTGTCTGCTTAATTGTTTTAAAAGCTCTAGTTGATATATAACTAGTTGCCTGAAATGTTGTCCTAAACATAACATATTGTTGCCAAATATACCGGGTAAATAGTAGAATATTGATGATTTTCCAAGATAAAAGGATTTATGTTTGGAGACGTTGGTAGAAAAGCTCTTTGTTTTACTTTTGAATATAATGCACAATGCACATTACTCAATGAACATGGTGAGTTCTTGTGGTTGTAGAGGTGCAATACAGGAGGCGATACTCCCAACACATTCATGTCACCATGGTGTCTATGGTGCTAGGTTAACATTTTAAGAAAACCTTAAGGTGTATTCAATCCAGCCCTCTGTGTCACATGTTAATCAATCTGATCCATTGGACATGAGGCAGTTATCCTCTTCCGTTGTTCCAGGGCATGCTGCCTTGGAAATTTATGTAATCCTGGATATCACAACAAGTACCCATATTTTTCGGACTATAAAATGCTCCAAAGATGCACCTAGCTTTTGGGGAGGAAAACAAGAAAAAAAAATCTGCCTCTGCCTCCCAACAACTTGCCTCCTTGCAGCAAACAGCAAACAGCGCGGTCAGCTTCAGCACAGTCTGATTTCACATGAGCAGCTGATTGGTGGTTGGCTCTTTTTTGATTGACTATTGGAACAACTGGTTGGCGTCCCATTTTTGGTCCATTCCAAGCGGCAGGGATTGCTACCGCCAGCGATCCTCGTCGCCTGGAGCAGGCCGAAAATGGCATGCACGGAGGCTGAAAACGGGATGCACGGGGGCAAAATATGGGGTGCATGGACGGAGTAATAGGAGACAGCGCCGATGGGTGGTGGCGATCCCCGCAGCCTGGAACAGCTGATAGGAGGTATTCCAAGAGGCCAGTCCAACTGCCAATCAGCTGCTCATGCTAAATCAGGTTGTACTGAAGCTGACCACGCTGTTTGCTGCAAAGTGGTAAATTGCTGGGAGGCAGAGGCTGAAGGGTGGAGTGTGGCGGGTGGGCGGGGGTTTGGCAACATTCGCTGTATAAGACGCACAGACATTTCCACCCACTTTTGTGGCTGGGGAAGTGCATTTTATACTCCAAAAAGTATACTTGATATTTGTGTTAAGCCTACAAACACTGCAATTTGACCACCTGGACGAAGAACTTTATCTCCTTTATGATATGAGTATGGTTTTCATTAAATTGTTGTATGGTTTTATATTATACACCAAATGACAAATTTGTGGTGGCTTTTAATAGTCTGCTGTATGCGATAGTGTTAAGGCTCTGGTTTATCATTAGTATTTTGACCTGACCACATTTGTACATCTCTCTTTTGCATTCCTTTTTTGAACCTTGTTCTTGAGTTTTAAAAAAAGTCTTACAATAACTGAACTTAATTGTCATTTTGGGTAGGGAATTAAGTGTGGAATGTTAGATAATGTGGCATTAGAAAGCAAGCAGGCAGTATATAGCTGTGGTAGAAACTAGGAAAGAAAAGTACGAAGAGTTATCATGAGTTGTATTATTGTAAATTAGATATACTATATTTTCTTATCCCTTACTTTTTACTACTTTGTTTTACAATTACTTACTCCCTTTCTGCAATGTTTATAACTGCTTACCCCAAAGGGAAATAACATGGATATGTGGCATCTAAATATTTTAATCCAAAATATGTCATCTTAATTCTAGAATCAGAGGAGAATTGGGAAGCTGTAGATATCAATCCCGTTGATGCAAAAAAGAAACGTTTCTTCATAAATGTCTGTCACAAGGTACTCCAGAAAGGAGAAGCCATGTACTGTGCCAAAGATGCATCAGTTTGCTCTGTTGGTGAGTAGGGGTCTAAATTCAGTCTCTCTCTTAATAAAAGCTAAGTTGCTTTTCTTTTCATAGAACAACAACAACAATAATTTATTTTAAGTCTGAAGGACAAAATGTCTGCTCTAGAATTTGCACTCCCACTTCTTCTGTTTTATATGTTTCTTTCATTTCTCATGTTTCAAATTTTAAGATGGTATCTGCATTAAAATTACAACATACCTTGCACTTAGGAAATTCTTGCTTAATATTCTAGAAGATTTGATAAATCTTTTAGTTCTAAGATTGATTATAAAAATGGTAGCTATCCACATCCTAAGAGTTGACAAAAGAAGGAGAGCAAATTTAGCAGTATAGGTCTGCGAAAGTGATCTGTAAGACATCTGCTACATTTATATATAAATTTCACTGAAGAGCATCTGTTGTAGGAGGCTATGCCATGAATTTTAATAACCATCATCTTCGCTCTTCCTTTATTGTTGTTATTTTGGATGACTTGTATTTTTAATACTTACTTTACATTATTTCCATGCTGCATTATTTCAATCACATAGCTGTGGAAAGCATACAATTACTGTATTTTTCACACTATAAGATGCACCGGACCATAAGACGCACATTAGCTTTAGAGGAGGAAAACAGGAAAAAAATCTGCCTCTGCCTCCCAGCATCCATCCGTATTCATCTGGCTAGCGTCCTTGCAGCAAACAGCCTGGTCAGCTTCAGCACATTATTTCAGCCCCAACACGTGGCTCATCAGAGCTCTGCTTCGTTGCGCCCACCACTGGTCAACTGAGCTGAGCTGCTGCCACCGCTGGGGAACGCTGGAGCCTTCGCTGCCAAACAGTTGATCGGCGGTTGGATTGGCCTTCTGAAATACCGTCGATCAGCTGTTCTAGCCGGCGGGGATCGCTGCCTATCGCTGCTGCTGCCATTCGGCGGCGGCAGTTGGTGATTTGCAGCAGCAGCAGTCAATGGCAGCAGTGACAGGTGGCGGTGGTAAATGGCGCCGCCACACCAACCCCCTCCCACCACCGCAATATTCGCTCTATAAGACGCAGAGACATTTCCACCCACTTTTTTGGGGGGGGAGGGGAAGTGTGTCTTATAATGCGAAAAATACGGTGCATAAATGAAGCCATCAAATACATAATTGCAATAGAATAAAATAAATAGTACCTTGTAAGTACTACTCTTACATGGTTTAAGTCCAAAATCCAGGCAGAAGAGAAAACTTTTAATTCACCGTATTTTTCTGAGTATAAAACACACCTTTACCCCCCCCACCTAAAAGGGGATGAAAATTTAGGTGCATCTTATACACCAAATGTAGCCCCGCCTACCCATTGCCCTCCACCCTTTGGCCTCTGCCTCGCAGCAGTTACCTCCTTGCAAGCAAACAGCAAGAAAAAACAGCTCCTTTCAGCTTCTTCACAGCCTCATTAGCACAAGTTGATTGGATCGTCCTCCCAACTCTCAGCTGATTTGCTCTCAGCTGTTTTGCACAGGCTCTCTTGCTTGCTGCAAAGAGGTAAATTGCTGGAACAGATTTTTTTTCCCCTTGTGCTAATCAATCTATGATGAAAACGAAAATCAAAGTAAAGCAGGCTGTTTGCTGTAATGTGGCAAAATTGCTCAGAGGCAGAGGGAGATTTCTTTTTCTTCTTTTCCTCACCAAAAAAGGTAGGTGCATCTTATACTCCGGTGCGTCTTATACTCCAAAAAATACGGTATTTTCTACGTGTCAATAGAAAAGGGTAATTCATAGAGGGTAGCTGTTCCCTAGGATTGGGGCAGCAACAGAAGAGGAGGCATATTTCCTGGACTCGTTGAGTTTCATGTTGCATAGGAATATCTATACCAGATACAAACTTGGTATTTTTAGTTATGATTTAATAATAAACCACAAAAACAATATTTTGTGGTTTATTATAACAGAATTTTAAAACAATTCTTGAATCCCTTTACTTTCAAGATAAAATAATCTTTTCCATCTGACCACCTATATTGAAGATTTTATTTTGTATACAATCCTGCAGTCAACTTGCACTAACCCTCCAGTTTGAGAGTGAAAGTTTTTTCTGTGAAAGCCAGTGTTCATAGTTTTTATATTGTATTGCTTTTTAGATAAAAACAATAATACAAGAAATCTTGGGACTTTCATGTCTCCGCCCAAAAAGGTTGGAGAAAATATTGAGCTTCACTATTCAGATGGAGACGAATGTGCACCCAATAAAAAAATAGAAACAAGTATAATCCTTATATGTAAACCAGGTGAGTGATGTGATTTCATTATTAAACCTTAAATATCTGACCTTTATAGAGAATAGTAAAATTTTAAATGCAGTCGCAGTGAGACCTTAAAGTCTGCCAGGACATCTTTTTTATTCTTTCACTTTGATCATTAATAATTAAACCATTCTCAAGCTACTTTTGCAGCCTTAGAGTACCTTCTTTCATATTTACACATGCAAGAAAATTTGATATTATCTTGGGAAGGCTTGTTTGTCTCAAATGGAAGTGGTATAGTAGTTCCTAGTGTGGTTGAGGATCTCAAAATGTGAACTGATCTATTGGAGATTTTTAGATTTACTTCATAGAATTACTAATATGTTGTTATGGCAAAACAGATTGCTATGTGGTGAGATTGTTTTGCAGATAACTTGATTCTAACCCATTGAATTAAGATTTTATAGGCAATAACCAGTGCCTTAAGAATTAAATCTGGTAATGAATTGAAAACTTGTGTTGTTTGTTTAATTGATTATATTCCAACACAATCAGTTTGATTGATGCAGCTGATTTGATATAAAATTATGCAAAAAGAAATCCTTGGAATCATTCCAGTTGTATTTTCTATCAAAATACATTGTAGTAATTGTATATATTTTTACAAGCTTTGACTTTTGAGTCTTTAATGTATCTCTACAAAGTATTTTTAAATTATTTTTGGGTACAGAATAGTGAAGATTCATTATCACAGTATTCAGGTTTACCGCTACAAAGCTTCGACATAGCATATACAGTGGTGTATGTAGTGCTTAAAAGTGAACACTTTTGAATCGTCAATATTTCTGTATAAATATGAACTAAAACATGATCTGTTTTCCACACAAGTACTAAAACTAGGTAGAAAACACTATTTATTTATTTATTTGTTTGATTTATTAGTTCAATTTATATGCCGCCCCCCTCCGAAGACTCAGGTTGGCTTACAATGCACTTATAGCAATAGCCTTCATTCTTTTGTATATACCTGCTTATTAGGGCTTTTGGCCCCCCATAAGCGGTGTTTCTACAAAGTCAGTTTATTGCTCCCACAATCCAGGTCCTCAATTTACCTACCTCGGAAGGATGGAAGGCTGAGTCAACCTTGAGCCTGGTGAGATTTGAACTCGCACTAATTGCAGGCAGCTGGCAGCTAAGTGTTACATAACAGCACTTAGTCCGCTGTACCACCAAGGCTCTTTAAAGATTTTAAATATCTTAAAAAACCATACTTGTTCATGTATTTATTGAGGAAAATGATCCAAACCTATGTGGAAAAGAGGTCAAAAGTGAGTTTATGCAAAATGTTTTGATTTGAACCATTTTGAACTAAAACCACCCTGGTTTGAGTGTGAAACAGCTGTTTTGGCAATGGAACAATTATTTTTAGTTATTCCAAAAGTTATCTGAGCTCAGAATGCACCTAAGTTGCTTGAAATGGCCAATTTTCTGCTTGAGAATGGTTTGAATAAGAGAATGCATGCTTCTAGTCCATAAATCAGAATTTTACAGCTGAAAGAAAATCAGATAGGAAAGAATGTGGCATTTGACACTGTTTATATTTTATTGGTGATGAAAAATACTCTGATTGAAGAAATATAAACTGATTAAATAACTGATTGCATATCTGATCAGATAATCTGGGAAGTTCTGTTACTATGTTCTTGAAGATGAGTGACTATTCAGATCAGTATTTTTCTGTTGATAGGTGATCTGGAAAGTGCTCCTGTTTTGATTAATTATGGATACAATGGATGCTTTTTTGAGTTTGAATGGCATACTGCTGCCGCCTGTGTCCTGTCTAAAACAAAAGGAGACCACTGCAAAGTTTCAGATCTTCAAGCTGGTATGTAGCTAAAAAGAATCTATGATGGGAAAATTCAGATTTCCTGTTTGAATTTGTGTCAGTTAACATTTTGTGTCAACTAGCAACACTGTTTTTTATCTTCAACCCAATATTAAGTATAGGGTCATACATACTTAGAAATGTTATTATATACCTTCCCTCTTACAATGACTTTTTATTAAAGAAGACTTTTTAAAATTTCTACTTAGGAGTTTCCTTCGACTTATCGCCACTGATGAATGAATCTTTCTCAATAAACACAAGTGACTATACCTTTCACATTAGTATTTGTGGCTCTTTGTCAAATAAGTATTGTGAGTCAGAGTCTGCAGTTTGTCAAGTAAAGAAAAAGTAAGTATTATGTGTATCTCCATTTTATGGGATGCTTGATGGCTTTTACATACTTTTGGTCCTTACTGTAAATTAGGAAAGTATCTAGGGCAGCGCTCAAAGAATGAAATAAACCAAAAATTATGAATAGGGCTGTTGCTTTACCCGCTCTGCGTTTTTTGTGTCCTGTAAAACCAGTGTTCCAATCTTGACATGGCCTTCACAACTCAAGTGAATCCAGTCTTTTCATCAGGTGAAGTGATGTTTCCTTTTTCCCCAACCCCAAGGCCAAATTAGACCCAGGATTACTGTTGACGTGCAAATAAAAATATGTTGTATCTTCAGAATGAGTTGGTTCCTTTAGCTAAGTGATTGTGAGGTGGTGAAAAAGATTAATTACATTTTGGAATATTATTCTGTGTTTGTTAGGTTGTTTACATGACATTAAGGTTTTGGTTTATAATTCTGTCATGGATGTTTTATTCATATACTTACTGAATGGAGTATGACAACAATAATAATACTGAATGAATGCTTCCTCTAAAACAGTCTTGGAACCAAAAAAGCTCTAGGACATGTCTTCCAGTCCCAAGTGATCAATCCCAAGGAGCTGTTCCACTACATGAATTGCCCAGTGGCATGAACTCCTGATTAATACTTGACCTGAGCTCCTAATTTTATCGGGTGACTATAAATTTGTGCTAGGATGTGGCCTTAGCAATTTGCCTTCTAAATAAAATATGGATTATTGTTGATTATGATCGGAAAACATGATCCAAAGATGAGTGTATCTTTGATGAGCGATAGCACAGTTGGACAAACCATTATAGAGAAAGTTGGTTCATAAGATTGAACTTATCAGTCAAGAAACATATATGTGATAGTTACATATGGTTTTGTAATGCAGCTTAATTTTTGGGAATGTGAGATTATGCTGGAACATTTAAAACAAATTTACATGAAATTGGATTATTGTATACTTTTAGTGGCCAGGGTTCTTGGAATCTTGGGATGCCCAGTTCTCAGCTGTCCTATTATGATGGAATTATTCAGCTAAACTATCAGAATGGCACACCCTACAACAATGTGGAGCATACAAGACGGTCTACCCATATAACGTTCCTGTGCGATCGTGATGCAAACAAGAGTGTACTGGAGTATCAGGTAGGAGCTGAATAAGAAAAAATTCCTTTAATTCTGTTCTTGCACTGCATCTTTAAGTCAGCTTTTGAAGGGCTAACAAAACGGGTAATTAACTCACCAGACTTACTTTTTGAGTGGTATAGAGGGGGATCGTGCAGCTTTTTTTTTTTTTTAATTGATTTATATGCCGCCCTTCTCCGGAGACTCAGGGCGGCTTACAATGCGTTAAGCAATAGCCTTCATACTTTTGTATATTTATACAAAGTCAGCTTATTGCCCCCACAAACTGGGTCCTCAATTTACCTACCTTAGAAAGGATGGAAGGCTGAGTCAACCTTGAGCCTGGTGAGATTCGAACTTACAGTAATTGCAGACAGCTGGTGTTAATCACAATGCTATCAGTCTGCTGAGCCACCAGGCCCTTGTGGCCTTGTGTTGATAAAAATAGACTCGTCAACCTGATTGCCAATGTCCAGTGATGGATATGGCACAAGAAGAAGATGATAGAGGGGGAATTCTAATTCCATATAAGCCTTATATCAGTGGTGAAATCCAAATTATGTTACTACCGGTTCTATGGGCGTGGCTTGGTGGGCGTAGTGTGGCTTAGTGGGTGTGGCTTGGTGGGTGTGGCAGGGGAAGGATACTGCAAAATCTCCATTCCCACCCCACTCCAGGGGAAGGATATTGCAAACTCCCAATTCCCTCCCCACTCCTGGGGGAAGGAAATTGCAAAATCTCCATTCCCACTCCACTCTGGGGCTAGCCAGCGGTGGTATTTGCCGGTTCTCCGAACTATTCAAAATTTCTGCTACCGGTTCTCCGAACTGCTCAAAATTTCCGGTACCGGTTCTCTAGAACCTGTCAGAACCTGCTGGATTTCAGCCCTGCCTTATATGCCTTGGAGATCTATCTTTATAGATTGCCTAGAAAGCATCAATAAATCAGCTTTGATGTCAATTTTAGATATTTTCATATAATTCTTACGCTTTGGGATGAAGTATACATACATTTCAGCTTTAAAGTAGCCTGCTCAGGGTCCCCTTGCTAACTCATTCATAAAATTGGCATATGGGGCATCTCCAGTTACGCATTGGCAATTTACCAGAATGCTATCTACCAACCTCTGTAACCATTCCTGATATAGGACATTTCATCCTATCCGAACTTTTTTTTCCTTTATCTGGGCAAGTTATATTTCTAGGCAAAGTGCGTTTATATTTTTTAAATTTTTCAGTGAAGCCTCTATGGCTTATTGGGGGCTCTGAGAACCTTTTAGAAGTAGAGATGATGTTGGAATCTGGCACTTTGCTGTGCATCAGTTTTGTTTTCTTTTTTAACTTTACAGTTAGAAAAGTTTAATAGAATTTTTTAACTTTAACTTTTTAAACATTAATAGTTTCAGTTATCTGAAAGGAGAAGCTTAGTGGGCATTAAAAGAAGGTGCCTTCATTGTTGTCCTGGGCACCGCATTGAGGAATCTGTAGTTAAGCACATACATATTGAAAGTTTTTGTTTGGGGTCTGCTGCTTCTAATTGCAAGTATAAATATAGATTTTACTGAACATTCTGGTAGAAAAGCCTGAATCTATAAAGACAAAATCTGAGTCTGTAAGCTGAAACTTCTCATTTTGAACTGTCATAATATTGAGGTGTTCTATTTCCAATCTTGATTTTTTGCTTTCTATATTTTTGATCATGATAACTTAGAAGGAAGACAATTTCACATATAACTTCAAGTTGTATACTCAGTATGCTTGCCCAGAAATACCCACAGAATGTGTTGTAACAGATCCTCAAACCATGAAGCAATATGATCTGTCAAGGTAAATAAGAAAACAAAAGTTCTGAATGTAAATTTTAAATATGTGGAATTCTCAGCTAGCAATTTTTCCAAGCCAAAAAACAACTTTATATTTTAATCTTAACACTACCTTGCATTGACCAGCAGTGCTGTCATTATGCTTAACTATCAGAGAATCAGTTTGTTGTGGAAAAATCGCTTGTTATCTTACAACTCCTAAAGGTATAGTTTTAATTGTTCATCCATCAGTATTGCTACTATCTCTGATGTGGATTAAATCTTATTTTCTCAATAGTGTGTTTTAAATCAACAATGGATAATTTCTAGTGCATTTCCATGCTTATCTCAGTAGGGAAATATAGGAATACAATTACTTCTGTCTTGTTTCTGAATACATTATTGCCAACTGTAACCTTTGTTTTTTATTTTTAAAAACTGATGTATAAAGGCTTAATAATGTTTGGTCTATTTTTAGTTTATCATTATTTGGCAATGTAAAAGAAAATTGGTTTGCAATGGACAACTCTGGAGAGACTGTTCACAAAAAATACTACATAAATGTCTGCCGACCTTTGAGCCCCATCCCAGGATGTGACAGAAGAGCATCCATCTGTGAAATGACATTCAAAAGGGGCGAGAGTGTAAGTATGTCCATTGTATAGAGAGACAGAATCAAAACTAACTTTGGAGTTCTCCTTTTCTTTGTATTCCTGGGTATTTATACAATATATGGGTAAGACCTGGAGAATGTTTATAATCTTTACAGAAAGAATGTGTGCATTTCTTATTGCATTATTTTAAATATTTTTTTCTTATTATAAATGCCTTTGCTTTAAAAATATTTCATTTCTCTCATTTCAGGCTGGGTCTTCTAAAATTTCCAATAGTAACCTTGGGATTGCCTGGAAAAGTCCAATTTTTGAAGGACCTGGTAGAATCCTCCTAAATTATACTGGTGGCTCACTATGCATAAGGGCAGATGATGAGAAGTCAGAACCTTTCTCAAGCCTCATCCATCTTATTTGTGCCAAGGGCCTTCTTGTAAGTTTCTGATGGTTTGTTTGTTTGTTTGTTTGTTTATTTTATGCACTGTAGGTTCATAGTGTTATGGAATTGACCGCCACTATATAAGAGTAGAAATTATAGATTTCACCTTATAGATCAGTGGTTCCCAACCATGTTTTGGCCATGCCCCACCTAAGCATCTCTAAAATCCTGATGCCCCCCCTGTGACATATAATTCTTCAAGTCTTGTCTATGCATATATTAAAAAGTGTTGCTAAGGTCTAGACTCCAGACACCACATATTTTCCAGACTCGCTGCAGTGACAATCCACGCATGGATATTCACTTCTTGCTTTGCTAGAGACTGAGTGTAAACAATTTTTTCTGTTGGTGTAGCCACGCCCCCTGCTCCTGCTCTTCAGTCTTTTCACTCAGTCTAGCTGAAGAGACTTGAGTTAGATTTCTCTGACATTGTCAGTTTTTTCTTAAGGTTTATTTCTGTTGGTTTTTTGTGGATTTCTACTTTTATTAATTTCTTATTATGATCAATTGGACTTAGTTGTTTGGATTTAACAGGAAGGGCTGCGCAACGTGAATTTGAATTGCCCCCATTAAAAATCAAACTACCCCCCTGTGGGGCGTGGGCCCCACGTTGGGAACCACTGTTAGATGAATTCTTTGATTCCTCTTGTCATATTTTATGTATTTATTAATTTTAAAAATCTATACAGCCACCCATCTCACAAAACAAGTGACTCTAGGTAGCATACAATACATCTAAATAACAATAAAACACAAATGCCGTTTATTATTATTAAAAACATTAAAAACGATAAAAGCCCAACTAAAAAAATGGATCTTGAAGGGGTGTCAATAATAATGGAACTATTTTACTAGTTTGCCAGTTTTCTGGGATCGCGAGACCAGGTGCCAATCTAACTTCTGGAAAGATATTCCACAGTGCGGATGCCACAGCCTAGAAAGCCTGCCACCTAGGGCCCTCTAAATGTAGTTGAGTGACGGAGCCTATAGCATGCCTTCTCTACTAAATCCAGTGGCACAGAAAGATGTAATTGGGGAGAGAGAGTCCTGAAATGACCCAATCCCATGCCATGTAAGGATTTAAAGGTCAAAAACAACAGCTTGAATTGGACTTGGGAAAAAACTGGCAACCAATGAAGCTCATGGAGCAGAGATGTAGCAGGTGTTCTATGAAGAACACATGTAACTGTCTGCGCTGCTGCATTTTGCACTAGGTGAAGTTTCCAAATACTCTTCAAGGACAACCTGATGTAGAGTGCATTACAGTAGTCCAACAGGGAGGTGACTAGGGATGAGGGAATGTGAATAGAACTTGATCTAGGAATGAGCGCAACTGATGCACAATACAATGTTGTGTGAAGGCCCTTCTAGCCATGACTGCCACCTGCTTGTTGGTAAGAGTTGCGAGTCCACGAGGATCCCCAGATTGCATATGTGGTCTACTTCAGGCAGTATAATTCCATTGAGCAGCAAAGATAGCATAGTGATGAAATGTAGATGGATTTTACACATGTTCAGTTAAGAGTGGAATGAATAATCTTTATATCATAATACTCCAACATATGCTTTGAAACCTTTGTGATTCATTTCATCTTCATCCAGCTGAAGTATCATTCAAGAGTGGAAATAAAGCACAACCAAAAAAACCCCTAGAATTTTCAGAAATATGAAGAACTGGAACATTTTCAAAGCACCTTAACAAGGACCACATATATGTAGTTATTATAGTATGCTAAATAATTCCCAATGTTGGGAAATCAGAACAGAGGGGGGAATAAGGTAGAGCAGGGGTGTCAAACCTGCGACCCACAGGCTGGATACATCACACGCTGGCCACCCCCACCTCCGTTTTAGCAAAGGGGAAAAAAATTGTGATACGTCACATGATGACGTGTCATCACAAGTTTGACCCCCCCCTCCCCCAGGATAGAGCATCCAGTTAATTAAACAGGACTAATTTAACTTTTCTATCACAGATTATATTATTAAAAATGATATAACTGCAGGATGAACTATTCTAGGCTTTTCAATTTCTTCATTACTAAGTAGAAGTGATGATGGCTAAGTAAGTTCTGTGTTTTAGAGGACAGTAGAGTACATTTCGTTTCGTCTATAGGCATGCTATTTTCTAGTTGCCTAGGTACTAACCAAGTCCAACGCTGCTTAGATTTTCAGTATTGCCCAGATTGGAACACTGACCCATTTCAGATTCACTTATCTCTCTTCCAGAGCAATTTCAAAATTGACATGTTGGCCTTCCAAAGTTTTGTTCCAAAATTGGCAAAATAAATATGTGTGTTTCTTTTAATATATTCCTTATCTTAACTTTTGGACCTGTTATATTTCCAGAATAGCAGCCCAAGATTTGTAGAGATGAAAGATTGTGTTGCAACTTTTCTGTGGGAAACTGAAGCTGCCTGTCCAGTCACCACTACACAAGGCGAGTCTCAGGTAAGAACAGAGCAGAACAGGCTTATACTTGCATGCTATGTGTAATAGCATGCAAGTATAAGGATCCACATATAATACATGTTATTATATATGGATCCATATATAATACATGTAAATCCTCATAATCCATCTTTTGCTTGTTGCTCTCAAATTCAGTCTGAGAAAGCTTGCATGCATGCTATAGGTGAAATCTTGTTTCATCTGCCTCTTCTTTCTTCACCTCTGCAAAGACTAAATAATTCTAGTTTTACATTTTTACCCAGCAACTCCTTATTAATTTTCAATATGTAGAAAGGCTTCTGGGAGATGATTAAGACAGTAGAGGCAAGTGCTTGAAGCAAACAAATTTACAAAGAGCTCTAAATAGGATATTGATGTTAGAATTCACTTTTATTCAACTTCTTACAATATCTTTTTTTTTTAAATCAGATTTTCCTAGATCATCCCCTAGATCCGTGATGGTGAACCTATGGCACGTGTGCCACAGGTGGCACGCAGAGCCATATTGGTGGGCACGTGAGCTCAGCTCGGGCCAGCTGATTTTCAGGCCTTCTGGGTCACCCATAAGTCAGCAAACGGGCTGTTTCTGGCCTCTAGAGGGCCTCTGGGGGTGGGGGTGGGGAAGGCTGTTTTTGCCCTCCCCAGGCTCCTAGAGAGGCTCTAGAGTCTGGGGAGATCGCATGCCAAAAGCGTGGGGAGCATAGAATTATGGGTGTGGGCACACGACCCCCCCCCCACTTTTGGCACACGATGGCAAAAAGGTTAGCCATCACTGCCCTAGATCATTTCCTAGATCAATTTTATTGGGACAAACTTTAAAGTCTGTTTTTTAAAAAATTTCCAAGGAAGATTTGAGACACAAATGGCATAACCCTTAAACCTTGTATGTGATTTGGTACTAACACTGCTGTAGATAGAGGGCACTTTTGTAAATATTACTAACCTTACTTTACTTGATATTTGACTTTGACTTTCAACAAGATAAATATCCTGAATATAAATAGTTTTGAACTTACCTCTAGATAATCATAATCATATGGTAGATACTACTTCCTTGTCTCTTTATTTTTAAGGCTGAAAATGTTTTAAGTTTATGAATTGTGTCTTTCCCTCCAGAGCTGCTCTGTAAAAGACCCAAACACTGGATTTCTATATAACCTGGAACCATTAGCTTTGGAAAAAGCATACGTTGTCGAAGGAATTAAAAAGAGCTACATGGTAATAATTTTCGTTTCTAATTCTTATGGTTTTTCTGAAGTGAGTTAATAAATCGGTGTGCTTTCTTGAAGGAAGTATAGAAAACACTCAGAACCATATCTTGTGCATTGTAAAAAGAATTCCTGATAGTAGTAATGTTAATAAACAGCAAATACCGTAAATATACTGTGAGCTACACACTGGGAAAAGCTCTAGCCCAAGAACTGAACAAATGATTTATATGCAGGATTTAGTAGTTAAAGATAAAAGACAGGTCATTTAAATCCTTCAAAGCTGCTATGAAACAGAACAGAAAATACTGAATTATGAGTTAGATGAGTTAGTTATATGGGCTAGTTAGAAGGGTAAAAGGCAACTTACAGAGTTGTTACTGTGAAATTAGAATTTTTCATGTCAAAATCAAAGCTTACACTTATATTCTCTATCACTTTGGCTGAGCTAAAAACCTTGTAAAGATAACATGAATAAAAGGGGAGGCTGCAATTACTAAGTGTGGTCTTGATAATCATGTCCATCAAATAGTAGAAAACTAACATTGATTGTGTTCAATCTTTTAGGTAAGTATCTGTAGACCAGCCAAGGAATGTGGGCCTATTCATGGTACTGAAGTTGATGATTCAATTGGTGGATGTGAAACAGAAGATCTGGAACACATTCGCTTGGTGAAATTGAACAAAACTCTTCAATTGTCTACAGAAGGATATCTGTCACTTACTTATACAGGTAAAGTGAGTGTGGCTTACTTTGTAAATGTTTGCCTTCCAATATAGTCATTACATGTTTTTGAGAGGTAATATTTAGTCATTATACAGTGCTCACCCCCTCATCCAATCAGGCTTTATTCTGCAATCTGTGGTTCCTAGAGCTCATATCTAGAGAAACACCTATTATTGTTAATTCAAAGGAAAGTAAAGAGTCAATGCATAATGTACAGCTTGTTGGCTATTGCCTTAGAAATTGTATATTCTTGCCCACCTTCTGAATTCACAGACATAAAGGTTTAATGCTTCTCCACATTCCTGTTAAAAAAAAAAAAAAGAGTTTGGAGCTTAAAAATCTGGAGATGTGGAATTCAAGATATATAAAAAAAGCCCAGTAAGAGAGATTGTAGAAAATGTTCTTTGCTTAAAGGGTATAATTTATCTCCATCATACTTTCTCTTTCTTTAACCTATGCTAGTGAATGTATCCTGACTCGGTCATGTAAACGACATTTTATTTTTTTAAAAAGTACATGCTGAACTTGGGTGAAAGTCTTTCCCTTGCCAACCCTGAAAACCATCATATTTCTCCTTACATTTAACTGTATTGTTCTTGTGGGTTGTTGTTGGTTTTTTTTTTTTTTTTTGCTCTTGTTACTGTCTGATGTTCCAATGTGTGCAGATTTAAAGGAACAACATATACAGTAGTCCTTGTTCAGCAATCACTTGTTCAGTGACTGAAGTTATGATGGTGCTGAACAACAAAATTTATGGCTAATCTGTGTAGTTGTGGCTGTTGTAGTGTCCTCAAGGTCATGTGATAGAGCAAGGTGAATGTTTGGCAACTGGCTCACAATTACAACCTTGCAGTGTCCGTCACTTGATTGCTGTTTGCTGCGTTTATTACTGTTTTCTGACAAGCAAAACCAATAGGGAAATCAGCAGGAGGTTGCAAATGACAATCCTGCCATGTTATGCCTAAGTGAGATTTGCCTAACAATAGCACTTAGACTTATATACTGCTTCACAGTGCTTTACAGCCCTCTCTAAGCGGTTTACAGAGTCAGCATATTGCCCCCAACAGTCTGTTCCTCATTTTACCCACCTCGGAAGGATGGAAGGCTGAGTCAACCTTGAGCCGGTGAGATTCAAACTGCTGAATTGCAGCCAGCAGTCAGCAGAAGTAGTTTTCAGTACTCTATTCTAATCACTGCCCCACCACGACAGCAACTCAGACTTGGCAATGGAATTCCCAGCTCCAAGTACTGTAGTTTACCACTACCTGAAAAGAGTTGGAGAATACTTTGTCTTGACGTTTTATGTTCATTCTTCAGGGCCCAATGACAGTTTCATCATCACTTTTACTTGTAATCGGTCCTATCCTGGAGAACTCAAATTTGTACATGAAGAAATGGATTCTGCAAGAAATATTCATAATACTTACTTTAACTTCTACACGGCGTTAGCCTGCCCACCTGTTCCAGTTGATTGCCAAGTCACTGGTAAGTAAACTAGAAAAGGTAAATTTTCCATGTCAGGCACTAAGTGCCTTTATATATGTTTTCCCCCCCTACATTCAAATAGTAGGTAATGGAATTTCAGAGTTATGGACATCCGTATATTGTTATTTTCTAGAATCCAAAGATCGTTCAAGTGGAACATGGTTTAAAAGATGTAGAATTTAAGAAATTCTGAGCTCACATGTAGAGTGACTTCATTACCCTTCCACAGAAGGCATGAACTGCTTTTAAACATATTAGTAGTATAATCGTTGATTTTGAGGTGCTAGTCACTGCGCGAGCTGCACTGGCTCCCAGTTGTCTTCCGGGTGCGCTTCAAGGTGTTGGTTATCACCTTTAAAGCGCTCCATGGCATAGGGCCTAGCTATCTGCGAGACCGCCTGCTGCTACCGACGACCTCCCAGCGACCCGTGCGCTCCCACAGAGAGGGCCTCCTCGGGGTGCCATCAGCCAAACAATGCAGGCTGGTGACCCCCAGGGGGAGGGCCTTCTCTGTGGGGGCACCTACCCTCTGGAATCAGCTCCCCCCAGAGATAAGGAGAATCCAAGACCTCAGTGCCTTCCGTCGCGCCCTTAAAACCCATTTATTTAAACAAGCCGGGCTGGCTTAAGATGAAATTTTTAACTGTTTTTAAATGTTTTAAACGTTTTTAATTGGTAAATGAGTTTTAATTGGGCCAAATTTATATATCTTTTAATTGTTTTTAATATTTGTTCTGCATGTTTTTTTTTTAATCTGGCTGTACACCGCCCTGAGTCCTCAGGGAGAAGGGCGGTATAGAAATCCAATATAAAATAAAATAAATAAATAAAATAAATTTTGTTCTTGTTCTATTTAGTAATTATTTTTTATTATACTACAAATCGTCTCTTTTACCTAAGGTACTGTAGTGGTTTTTCTTGTAAATTATGTTTAAAAAGAAAGAAGAAACCTTTTAAGAGGTTTTTGTTGATTTAATACTGCAAAGGTATTTTTAGGTGAAAATTTAAAATGCTCAGTCACTTTAAAAATTATTTTTTTAAATGTAGGAGGTCCAGAATTTATATTTATATTATTTACACATTCACATGCACAGACTCATACATACATTTTTGTTTATTTCTTGAGATGTGCTTGAATATTTGATATAAAGATACTGGGAAGTTAAGTATAGTGAAGCACCCAACATTTATCTGTAGAATCTTCTGATTTCATAATGCATATTTTGTTTTAATATTATTTTATTACTTTGCTCTTCAAATGTCAGGCTTGGATGACTAACCTGTTGGAAATTGGGGTCTGACTTGGATAAGGAGGATTTGATTTAATCAAGCATTTCCAGTTCCTGCTTGTGTTTTCAGATTCTGATGGCAATGAATACGATCTGAGTGACTTGAGCAGAGACCATGAACCCTGGATTGCCCTGGATACAACAACAGATGCCAAAAAAAGAACTTTCTATCTCAATGTTTGCAGGCCACTTCCCTATATACCTGGATGTCCAGGTAAGTATCTTGGATTAACTAATGATGTAGGTTTGAGCTCCCAGTGCTTAGAATCCAAATGAGCAGACATGGTTGAACAGACTACAGGGATAAGGTTCAGGCAATAGATTGAATCAGGAATCTGCATCCGGTTATTCATGAGCTGCAAGCTTCTCCCCAGTTGTAATTTTGTTACTCTTTATTGAATTGAATTGATTGATTGATTATATACCATCAAGTCACTGTCAATTCTTAAGTGATTACATAGATAAATTTTCTCCATGATGATTTATCCCTAACCTGGTCTTTCATGTCTTCTGATGGTGCACTCGTCATCACCTTAACTCAGGGCTGTCAAACTCGCGGTCCATGGGCCGGATGTGTCACGCGTTGGCCACACCCATGCCTGGTTTAGCAAAGGGGGGGAAAGTCCCGATATATCACGTGACGCAGCTGTGACGACGCAAGGTTGACACCCCTGCTTTAACTGAATCCATTCGCCATGGCTGTTGGTCCTTCTCTTTTTCTCTTTTCTTTCATCTTTCCCAACATTGTGGTGACTTCATTTGCCAATCATATTAATCAAAGCTAAATAAACAGTTTCGCCACATTTCTTATGTAAACCTGTCAATAGTTTATTTGTTTAAGGACCTTCAAATGATTTAAAAAATTGACTGAACTTTTTCTAAAAGCCTTTTAAGCTGGCTTTTATTCTTCTATCTTTGTCAGCTTGAATTCTAATGTTGGAATGTATATTATAATTGGGGAGAATAGCAATTATCAGCTCGATGCTTGGGTAAGGTAAAGATAGAAATAATAGTTTTAAACCAATTTTAATTTTTTTTAACAAAAAGACAACTGTAAAAATAAGGGAAGTAAAGAAAAATCCTTGTATATCAGCAAAGTCATATAGCGTTTATATTTAACTAGCCCATCATCAGTTCAGATATGATTAACTTAAGAAAAGGAGAAAATAATGTTAAATTACTGTGAGCCCTTCTTAAAAAGAATGAATGCAACCCTTTTTTGGAAAACATAAACATCTATTTTGAAATGTGTCTTTTGGCTACAGCTGGCATACTGGGAGCTTGTGTGAAATATGCTGATAAAAGCCAAAATCTTGGTGTCATTCAAATAAGTCCTCAGGCTGCCACCGATGGATCCCTTACTATTGTGTATTTAAGTGGAGACATATGCAAAGATAAACTACAGTACTCAACCCGGATAATTTTCCAGTGTGATCAAGCTATGGTAAGTTCATGTTTGGGCAGTTTTTTTCAAACTTGGCAACTTTAAGATGTGTGGTATCCCAGAATTCCAAAGCCAGCCTACTGAGTTGAAATCTATACATCTTAAACTTGCCAGGTTTGAAAAACATTATGTACTGTATATGCAAAATCTAGTACCGTGATGGCGAACCTATGGCACGCGTGCCCAAAGTGGCATGCAGAGCCATATTGCCTGGCACGTGCGGCATCGCCCATTCCTCTTCCAGGTTTCTGGCATGCATGCGCAGGTGACAATGAGCCGGCCCTTGTGAGTGTGGCAGTGTCAGAAACCGGAAGAGTTCGTCTTCCATTTTCCAGCATGAGCCAGCTGATTGGCGCATGCACAGCAGTAACCGGAAGACTTGCTAGTTGAAACCGAAAGTACTTTATCCAGCACACGCATGCCCCCTGGGCAGTTCCTCTTCCTGGTCACTGCCCTGATGTGCTTCCTTTTTGGCACTCTGTGCAGTGTGCATTCATGTGCGCTCCCTTTTCGGCACTCTGTGCTGAAAAGGTTTGCCATCACTGGTCTAGTATCTAGATGCCATAACACGATTGCTTTTTGAAACCTTGCAGGCTGGAATTATATCTGTCATTCATATCTTTTTCCAACTTGTTTGTATTGTTGCAGCATTCTTTATCCTAGTGTGTCATGAAGCTTAGGAATTCTGTTCCTTTAAAAATATATATCAAATAATTGTGCATAGGTGCATTTTTCAAGACTTCATTTTTTCTAACCTCAAAGGCTTTGGTTGGAAGAAACTTGAGTGTACAGCTGCACATTATCCCTTTCCCAGATGGTTTCTTGGGATACTGTCATGGCTCCGTTAGAGCAGTCTTTAACATCCTTCCCCCACCTTCCTCTACACCTGAAGAGAATCAGGGACTCCAAAAGTAATAACATACTGTACCTGTGTCATATGATTGTGTGTAGTTGATTTGGGTGGAATAGCTTCACAAACTTCCTTCTGCTTCTAAAGATGTAAAAATAAATTTAGAAGAACTAATCAATGGATGCTTCCTATTTGAAATCTAAATAGGAAGGACACTAAAATAGGACACTAAATTTTAAGTAAAAATAAAATAAAAGGCTCTGTTTTTTCTCATTATTTAAAAATGACTATTTCACATTGAGCAATACATACTGCTCAATTTGAACATTCATTTCCATTTTTCCACTTCAGAGAGAGCCTCAGGGGATGTGACCAATATAGGTTGATGGGAAGTTTATTCATTTAGGCTTAAAAAGCTTTAAGTTAAGTCTGATGACTTGCCTGACAGTTCAGCGTCTTAGCCTTCCCTCTCTCCCTCCCTGCACCAAAACTTGATGGTGTGATCTACAGAGGCAGTATGGAGAAGAGTTGCAATTCAAATCACTTGCTTAATTATTATTGTTTATTGTGCATTTGAATGAAGTTGGAGCTAAGCTAACAGAGGCAGAGGGAAGAATGAAGAAAAACAATATAGGAAAGATTGGTAGAGACAATGTAGACAGTAGATAGATACCGTAGGTGTTTAGATATGTGTTTGAAAACCTAGCTCTGCTGACTCATTTCGGGCTCACAGATCCACTTGGGATGGGTTAGCGCCTTTTTTTTTTTTTTTTAATTTGATTTATATGCCGCCCTTCTCCAGAGACTCAGGGCGGCTTACAGTGCGTTAAGCAATAGCCTTCATACTTTTGTATATTTATACAAAGTCAGCTTATTGCCCCCACAAACTGGGTCCTCATTTAACCTACCTTAGAAAGGATGGAAGGCTGAGTCAACCTTGAGCCTTGGAGAGATTCGAACCAGCAGTAAATTGCAGGCAGCTGTGTTAATAACAGGGTGCTTTAAACCACTGTAGTACCAAGGCCTTGAAGGACCTCCCCCTCTTTTTAACTTTTATTATTTTATTCCTATTTTAACTACCCCCTATGGGACCAAAATATTTATATGGTTTTTTTATGTTTTAATTGTAGAACAACCAGAATTACTGTGTGAGTAAGATGGGCAGTCTCCAAATTTGATAAATAAATATACTCTATCAATACTCTAAAGAAGCCAGTGTATTATGAGAACAAAGGCTGCTTCCATAGGTTACAAAAACAGCCAGTATGTGATGAAATGTCTGCAAATTGAGAATCATGTCACCTCCCCCACAATCATTACTGTGATTCTGCTGCGAACATATTTAAAATGGGGATAAAGCTAAAGAGCCTTGATAGTACAGGGGTTTAGTGCACCCTGTAATTAACACAGCTGCCTGCAATTTCTGCTGGTTCGAATCTCTCCAAGGCTCAAGGTTGACTCAGCCTTCCATCCTTTCTAAGGTAGGTGAAATGAGGACCCAGTTTGTGGGGGCAATAAACTGACTTTGTATAAATATACAAAAGGATGAAGGCTATTGCTTAACGCATTGTAAGCCGCCCTGAGTCTCCGGAGAAGGGCGGCATATAAATCAAATTTAAAAAAAAAACAACACATTGTCCCACAACATAGATTATATCTGTTATGTGGCAATACTGATTGGTTCTCCTGTTGGGTTGTAAAGTGATAGGTCAAAAATGAAATTCTCAGGTTTTCAGGTTTTTGTTTTTGTTTTTACAAATGAAATTTGAATAGAATGGATTGCCAATGAATCAGAAAATGGTGATTTAGTAGCATATAGGAGAATCAGAAGTTCATTCATGAATGCATGAAACCTGTCAAACCATTCATCTTTATGTTTAAGGGATCACCAGTGTTTCAATATGAAAAGGACTGTGAGTTTGTGTTTCTCTGGAGAACACTAGCAGCTTGCCCTGTGCACAGAGCAGAAGGTAAGTATGTGCACTTAAAAGAGTTTTGTTCTTCAATCTGTATATCTAAAACTTGTGAATATGTTTATATCAGGGATGAAATGCTCCCGGTTCGGACCGGATCGCCCGATCTGGTAGCAATGGAGGCAGATGGTTTGGAGAACCGGTAGCAAAAATTCCTGCCCTCTCCCCCTCCATGCCCAACTGAGCCGCACAATCATCAGAGGCTTTTTTTTTAACTTTTAAAAGCATTTTTCCTACAACCTTTTCAGCTGAAAAAATGCTTTTAAAAGTAAAAAAAAAAAAAGCCTCTTATGATTACGCAGCTCAGCTGGGTTCATCAAAGGCTTTTAAAAGGAAAAAAGCCTCTGCCGATCAGGCAACTCAGCTGGGATCATCAGAGCCTTTTGAAAGCATTTTTTTACAACCTCTTCACCGAAGAGGTTGTAGAAAAAATGGTTTTAAAAGTAAAAAAAAAAAAAAAAGGCCATGCCCACACAGTCACATTACCCCCCCTCACCAAACCACCTCCACAGAACCGGTAGTAACAAATTTTAGATTTCACCACTGGTTTATATTTAATATGCCAGTTGAAAGGCAGGTATTATCTTGAACTTTAATGTCCTGTCAGTTCTTTTCTAATTTGTGTATAACAGAAGTCTTAACTTCCAAATATGTCATATAGGAGCATTATGATTATGCATATACATTCCAACTCCAAAATTGTTATCGTTACAGCTGTTAATATTAACTATTTTTTAATTTAATGTAAATTAAATAAAAAGTTGTTATTGACCTAAGTCTACCTTTTACTTTTTGGAATTGGAGCCTTCAGTATTTGTTATAAACCAGAGATAGGCTTTGGACCAGAAGAGATTGCCTTACTTTTTGTATGTTTGTGATATGCATGTAATATATTCAGAAAACAGGTGATTCAGGTGTTTTTGGAACAGAAGTATTGTGTAACTAAAAATTGTCTGTACTGTTAGTTTTAATATTTTTAATTATATACTGTAAAATATATAGGAAAAAGGAAGGATTTGTGAAGAAAAATAAAATACATAAAATGTTTAATTTTTAATTCTCTTTAGAAGTGTGGAGTCATTTGTTACATCTTGTATATTCTTTAGTTTGCTTTTTAGTGATACCCCTTGGCCATATAGTTTCAGAGTGAGGAGATGAAGGAAAAAACAAGAGTAGTCATTAAGGGAAGGTATTGGAAAGGAAGTTGTATGAAACAGAGAAAGTGGGGCAGGATGCATCAGCCTTACCTCATAACTTGCGTCATAAGACCTGCCTGTTTTTTGTGCTCAAAAACCCGGAACAATCAAGCTGTTCCAAGTTTAATTCAGACAACCTGCATCATACCTAGAATGGTTCAGCTATATAGGAATAGTACTTAAATCTCTCTCTCTAAGTGGTTTACAATAGTCAGCATATACTGCCCCCAACAATCTGCATCCTCATTCAGTCTTGGAAGAATGGAGGGCTGAGTCAACCTTAGGGTCAAACTCCAGGCTGTGGGCACAGAGGCAGCCTACAATTCTGCATTCAAACCGCTGTGCCACCTTGGCTCCATATTTCTTTGTGGCTTTTTTTTTTTTGCTTTTGATACTTGCATTGGATAATCTATTACTGTGAAAGCAGTTTTAATGATAGTCAATTTGCTTTACAAAAATTTGTACACTGGAATTTCTGTTTAATTTGCTGAAAGAAAGTTAAGTGATAACTGTATGTCATTCTACAGCATTAGATCATAATTTTTTCCCGTGTGGCTTTGGTTTTTTTTTTTTAAGGTGAGAACTGTCAAGTGAAAGATCCAAGATATAGTTATGTATATAACTTGTCACCACTTCGTGGGAATGACATTAAAGTCAGCACCGAAGAATATGACTACTACTTTAGAATTTGTGATGGATTAAGAACAGGGCTTTGCAAACAATCAAGCAACAATGAAGATGTTGTGTCATCATGTCAAATTAAAAAACAAGACCCACGTGCTAAAAAAATAGCAGGTAAGGTCATTCTCAGATTGTTGCCTTGATTTGTTATCCAAACAAATGTCATCATAGAACTTTTCTTGAATCTCCATTAGTGATATTACTCTAGCTAACTTGAGCCAGCAGTCCTCTGGGTGTGCTAATAATTCTGTGTGATTACAATAGGCCAACTAATATGAAACTCTTTGCTGCTGATTGTTAATGTCCTTTCCCCCTGTACCCTCACAGAATTTTAAATTCATCTGAAAGCACTGTGGACTTCTTAATTTCTGTACATTTTTATAAACATGCAAATCTATATATACAGTATATAAATGCATATACTTGTCAGTTTATGTATCTTAGGTACACTTTTATTTGCTAATTTTTATCTTTACATCTTATGCCACTAAATAATTTCCATTCTCTTTTTGTGTGATAAAGTAAAGGTAATTAGACCACAGGCAGGATGCCTGGATGCTCTGCAGCAGAACAGGCAATGGGATGCCATCCACATTGTAAGGGCCCCCCCAGAGTCATTGAGATATGGATGGCTATAGACGTGGAATAAATAAAACCTCTCCATGTGGGTATTCCCTTGTTGCAGGGATGGGTCTTGAACAAATGATATGCAGGAAATAGTTTGCGTGACTGCTCAACTTAATGTAAAGACTAGCATTGGAAGTTTTAGTAGGGTATTGTATGCTGTGATTAAAACTGAATTGTTAAGCTTCCATTCTCTTCTCCCAGAAACATAACTATGTTAGTTTTTTTGATACAACTCTAAGAATCTTCTTCCAGATAAGGACAGCTCATTCTCTCTCTGCACACATATGCTTAAAACTTTAATACATTTTCAATAGGTTTCTCTTAATATTTTGTCATATACATTTCTGTAACTAGGTTTGCAGACTGAAAAACTGACATATGAAAATGGATTGCTTAAGATAAACTACACTGGTGGGGACATATGTCACAAGGTGTTTAACAGATCAACAGCCATATTTTTCTACTGTGATCCTAATCCTAATTTGCAGGTAAGGGGCCTTGGGGACTTTAGTCTGTTCCAGAATAATTAAATGTGGCTTGGCAGTTGTCTAAACTTGGAAAGAGAAAGAAGGTCTGTATAGATCAACCATACAAAAATTAAATGCAGTGAGAGATTAGAGTTGCATAATCCCGAGAACTGCCTATTAGATAACATGTTTATTAAGGACCAAGGTATATACTGAGTCCTCAGATGCAAATGAAGCTGCTAATGATCAAGGACAATCCCTTTTTTGCATTGTGTCAGAAGGAAAAATATTAAATATATGTAATTTCACCATTTAATTAATTTTTATTTTAGTTAAGTTTAAAGAAAATCATATGTAGCTTTTGTCCAGGCCTAACCCTAACCCTAACCCTAACCCTAACCCTAACCCTATTCATTGCTTTGTCCTGTGCAGTGCTTCTCTTAAAGAATTACCCTGCTTGAAGGACATAAGACTGGACTGATGGGGTTTTGATTTTTAATGTATTTAATATGCGTTTAATATGTATTTTAACATGTTTCTTACTTGGATTGAGATTGTATATCTTAATTGTTGTGAGCCTCCCTGAGTCCTATGGAGATAGAGCGGCATATAAATCTAATTAAAATAAATAAATAAGATATATAAATTCTTGCCATGTCACTGTCATTTCTTTTTCATTAATTTTGTGCTGCAGTGGCTGTCATTTATATATGTTCTGATTCTTTTATTGAAGAAAGCCTGATAAATGGCATGGAAATAAAAAAAAGGTTGAAATTGCAATAGCTTAAAGCAGGCATCTCCAACCTGCAGCCCTCGGGCCACAGCTAGCAACGCAGCCCCACAAGATCATAAACTTTTACCCTTATGTGTGTTTGTATATATATTAACTATATATTTATATGTGACTCAATTTAATTCGTCTTCACTCAATATGGACCAGGCAAGCCGAAACGTTCGAGATGCCTATTTTAAAGGAAGAGGCTGTTGTGGCCTGTCGGCCGCCGGCCCCTCCAGCAGTTGAATCAGAAGAGGAGGAGAAGGCATGGGAGTCAGTGTCAGCATCAAGGCAACCTGAGAGTTCCAAGGGGAAAGAGGGAATGGAGCTGGCAGAGAGAGAGAGGCAGAGGCAGAGGCAGAGCCATCAGCCCTCAGCCCTCAGATGGAGAGTCAACAGCCCCTAGGTCTGGAGGTGGCTAATGAGGAAGAGGAGGAACAGCTGGGTCCAGTGCCTGACACACAGATGCGTGGAAGGCAGAGAAGAGGAGAGTAGTGGAAATCCGTGGCCCAATCCTTGGGAAGGAAGAGCCACCGCTGTTTGTGAAGCCCCACCTTAGCTCTGGGGATAAAAGGTAGGGGACGGAGATGAATAGTTGTGGCAGACAACTATTCATCTTCTGGCTGGACAGACTTGTTAGCCTGCATTGAGAGAGAAACTATTTGCCAGGGCTGCTGGCGCTCCTAATAAAGGAATCTTTTGAGTTAACTTCAGACGGTTTGTCGTGTTTGGGGAGATGGGTCAGAACAGAGGCTCTGTCAAAGGATTGGTTCGTTTGATGATAGATTGCTAAGACTTTCTAGGTTTACAGTGGGAAGAGTCCAGCCCATGTTTCTGGCCTTGCCTTCTTTCTTCCACTCTTCAGTCTTGGAATTACTCCCTTGTGCAAAAGAGCTTGAGGATCCACTTCCAAATTTCCATCCATGATTTAATATTTTTAGCTGTGATGCTGATGTGGTCTAGACTCTAGAATATGCAATAGTTTTTTTTTTATCTGTTTCCATAGCCAGTATTTCTGAAGGAAACCGAAGATTGCACCTATATGTTTGAATGGCACACTCCTTTTGCCTGCCCACCTGCCAAATCTGTTGAATGCTCCTATAAGTAAGTTGTCTTTCCCCAGAGTGTTTTTAGGATTTTCTGTTTTATTGATCTATTGCTTAATCCATACCAGATATAAGATTTGCTGTGACATTCTGAGAACATGAGTTTTCCTCTTCTGTAACTGTAGCCTTACTTGTACATGAGCAGCATTTGAGTGCTGTCAAGGTAAAATTGTGTGGTCTAACTCAAACAAAAGAGGAATTAATTAAAGTAATTAATTACTTTAATATTACAATATTACAATAATTACAAATATTGAAAAATAGAGACAAATGCTAGTATATGTTTAAGTCTTTTCTTGCAATATTCCAATATGCCTGTCAGAGTTGTAGGCTAAGATTAATAGCAATAGCAATAGCAATAAGACTTATATACCGCTTCACAGTGCTTTACAGCCCTCTCTAAGTGGTTTACAGAGTCAGCATATTGACCCCAACAATTTGGATCCCCATTTTACCCACCTTGGAAGGATGGAAGGCTGAATCAACCTTGAGCCTGGTGAGATTCAAACTGCCAAATTGCAGTCAGCTGGCAGTCAGCAGAAGTAGGCTGCAGTAATGCATTCTAACTGCTGCGCCATCATGGCTCAATTTTCCAAATTTCCCCATTTTCTCCTGCAGGCAGCTGTGCTTGCCAAGAAACTGGGGACAAATCTTGGGCTTTGGATCGCAGTCTATTTTAGCCCTAATGCTCCAGTGTGCAGTTTGGATGATGGACAACATTGGATGTCAGTAGTGCATTAGAATTGCTTTATGCGGTTAGAGAGGAATTCAAAAGAATTGTGCATACATTCAAAATTTATGTAAATACGATTGTTTTGAATATTTCACTTGGATTTTTGTAATAAAAGTTGTCTACATCTTGAATATATTTACTCTGTTCAGTTATCATTAAATGTTTTTTTCTTGTTTTGTAGAGATAGTGCTGGCTATTCCTACGATCTCTCTCCTCTGACCCAACAAAAGAAAAACTGGGAGGCTATTTCAAAGACTAGCTCTTCACAGAAATACTACATCAATGTTTGTAGATCATTAGTACCTCATGTTGGAGCTGGTAAGAATTGGGGGAAGTGTATGCTATTTACTCAGACGTTTTATAGGAGGTTGAATGTGCCACCAGATTCTGAACAAAATAATTCAGTATCTTTGTGGTGAGTCATTTTGCTCAAGTTAAATCTAGCCTTTTATGCCTGATTTGCCATCTATCTGCTGGTAAATTCCTATCTGTGTTAATGAATAAAATTTCATTATCAGTTATACAAATCTGGACAATGAAATAGTCGCCAGCAGACTGTAAGCTTGGTGCCACGCTATTGGATCAAGCTAGGACTTGGGCAGCTGAGACTGGGATGGGATGGCTGCAACTTTGTGCCAGGTTGCTGGAGCAGCTGATGCTCCCTGAGTCGTGATGCCCCAAGAAACCCCTGAGTTGAGTGGCCCTGGGGCTCTTTACTGTACCACAAGGCACAGTGCAGGAAAGCCAGAAGGGCAAAGATGGGAAAAATGGGGATAGTTGAAGGGAAGTCATTCCCTTATCTTGGAAAAATTGAGGCTTAGGTCTGGGAAAGGACCAAGCCTAGAATGGCTTGGATATGGTGGGTCCTTGGCTAATGATGGCAATGGGGGGGGGGGGGGTATCAGGTCTGCTGTTGCTATTTGATGTAGTCATGTGACATTGCATTTTCTGACTGCGTCACTTAGCGATCTAAATTCTGGTCCAAATCACTGGTGTAACTCGAGGATTATGCTGAGTATGTATTAAGGGAAGTTGGAATGGAAAAAGAAAAACATGGTTTTAAAACAGGATGAAGAAACATCACTAGCTTGCACTATGCTGATGACATTGCCTTGATAACTGAAAATGCAAAGGATTTATAAGCTCTAGTAATAAAAGTTAAAAAGCTAAGAGAAAAAAGTGATTAAATTAAACATAAAGATAGAACAATAAATGCCAACAGATAGAACAACCAGCTTTAAAATTAGTAATAAAGATACTGATATGGTGGATAACTTCTGCCTTTAGGTTCAGCCATCAACAGTAAAGGAACAAGCAATCAAGAAATACATCACATAGCATTTGGTACAGTAGCCATGAAGATTCTGAAAAAGACATTCCTTTGTTTAAATTGATTGGCCAACTACTTACCATTCAGATGTGATAATGTATCAGATCAGAATTGGGCAAGCCAGGGAAATAGATGGGTGAGTGGGTGGGTGGGGAATGCTGCAGTGTCCCTATAGTTGGTTGTAAGAGCAAATGACCACCAGGACGCTGCAATGGAACCAGGTCATAAGTAAATTTTGAAGGGTTCTCCGTAATTGCAAACAGTCCCTGAGCAATGATTTCATCTAGATAACATCTTATCTATAAAAAGGATTGTCTCATCTTGAAGTAACCTTTATTTTTTTGCCAGATCCAGATTTTTTTTTTTAAAAAAAATGCCATTTCTTTAATGTACCCTTTCTGTGTGTATATATTTATCCATACTAAATTACTTTTGTTTTCTTACTGGGTTTTTTTTGTTGTTGTTCCAAATTTAGATTTTTGTCCCCCAGATGCTGCAGCCTGCCTAAGGAATGGTTCTAAGTATATAAGCTTAGGTGAAGTGGCTGAGGGGCTGAGATGGGAAAATGGTGTTTTTGTTCTTAAATATATAAATGGTGAGAAGTGTGAAGACCATATCCGGAAGAAATCTGCAATCATCCATTTCAAATGTGATGAAAAGAAAGATGTAAGTATGTTTCATTTATTGAGGGCTTGATGAAAACATTTCATAGGCTCCTATGAAAATAATGGTCATAGAATTAGAATCCTAATTCTTATTTGGATCTCATTTTCATAAATTTGCCTCTACATGGAATAAAATTCATCTTTTCATTTCTTAGGAGGAAACAGTTATTTAGCTACAGCTATTTGGGTATAGTAGCAAGATAACAGATAACCAGTATTGACTGTAAGAAAAAAAACAAAAAGAAGTTTTCTGCTTCAAAAAACTCTTATAAGTAATAATAGGCAAACTGGTATCTTCCAGAAATTTAGACCAGTGCTTCCAAAATTCCTGACGTTGGTTATACTGATGTAATAATGCTTCAGAGTATGTGGAGATCATCTCCATGCCTGTCTTGAAATGTAAATTCATTAGCATTATCCAGTTAATATTAGTCACAATTTTTATGTGACCGCTGAAAAAAGATGAACTGATCCCAGCTTGCCATGTTTTCATTATTTTTCTAAGTGGAAATGTTGTTTCTTGAATACTGAGAAAACCATTGTCTATCAGCTTTGCATGTACTCATATTCTCCTTTTTTTATCTGCCAGAATTCCAATCCAGAATTGGTAACAGCCCATATGGATTGTGAATATAATTTTATGTGGTATACAGCTGCTGCATGTCCTCTGAAAAGCAATATGCACAATAATTGCACTGTGTCTAACCCTCGTACAGGTAATATTTTTCTCTAAATGTGGGTTGACTAAATGTAATAAGTAAGTAGAAAAGAGGACTGGAGTTGACATCTAATGCCATAGAAATGTCTCAGGATATGGAACAAGCAGTTCATGCTAGAAAATGCTCAATGTTTTTTCAAATGTTAACTGAACTGAAGCAGTTTGCCCTGAAGGAATGGGCCATAATTCCCATGTAGTCACACAAAATTTTGATCACTAAGTACCAAAAGTGTTTGGTTGCAGTTGTTACAGCCAAAGATAGAACAATTAGTTACTGAATCTAGTGAGGTGATTTGTTTTCTTTTTGGCATATTGCATGTTGGTTGCATTAATAAATTTGGGAGAGGTTCATTGAGACCCATAGAAAGCTCTGACAACATTCATTGACAAAGATAGACAAAAGGTTAAGAAATCCAAAAGGAAGCAAGTGCTTTTTTACAGAACTAGACTTGTTACCTTCCCATCTAGAAAAATTATACTTCTTTCTGTCCTGTAATTCTGTTAGCATAATCCGCATATTCCTCATCTTTACCAGCAAGGAAGTTGCCCTCTGATCTATATACCCATACGCCTCTTGGTATTTCTTAGTTCCACTTTCTCTCCATATTTGGTAAATGCTGCTTTCCCTATATATTTTGTTCTGTAGTGTTTAGTTGAGAATATTTTAGAACTAGCATTTGACTGATTTATGACAACAATACACATATTAATCAATATTCTCTTTTAATGAAGTGGATTACTGCCTTGTTATTATTTTTTTATATATTAAAGCCTTTTCCTTTTAACTTGATTGAGATGAATGTTCCCCATTCCTCATTCCTTTTATGGTAATGGTATTTTTTTCCCAAGTCATTTTTTTCTTCAAGTAATGAATTGATTACAGCTGTGCAAAATCTTCAGATGTGTGCTTTATAAATTAAAGTACTTCCTTGAAGCTACTTGCACTGCATTACAGCTACTGCTGTCTCAGAGTGAAGCAAAGGGATCTAAGTTCCAGCAATTACACATTTAAATGTTCATTGATCTCTCTCTCTCTCTCTCCCTCCCTCCCTCCCTCCCTCCCCCCCCCCCTCTCTCTCTCTCTCTCTCTCTCTCTCTCTCACACACACACACACACACACACACACACACACACACACACACACAAAACCTTGGAAATATTTGCTATTGTATCTGATTGCAGGAAAATATGCACACCATATAATTTCAAAGGAAGCTTGCATAGAAGAAAAGGGCAATACAGTCATTCACAATTGCAACATTTGCAGCATCCTGCGGCTATGTCAGGACGGTGAAACTCGCAGTTCGGATGCGGCGCTCTGGCAACGCCCATGCGCAGTTTAGCAAATGGGAAACAAGTCGTGATATGTCACGTGATGCCTCCGTGATGATGCAAGTTTGATACCCCTGGGCTATGTGACCCCCATTTGTAATTTTCCCACAAGCAAGGAGAATGGGGAAGCTGTCAGGAGGTTGCAAGTCACTAAAGCAAGTTGTTCCCAACTCTTGCCATTTTTTTCTGACACCTGCCCACATAATACCCTATAGTGCTTGCTCACACTCCTTAGTGCCCATCCATGATGCCCACCTGGCCCATCATAGGCATACATATCACCTGGCCCATCAAAGGTCTTGACCTGCTTGCCTTGATTCTTGCCTCTTTCCATTGGTCCTTGTTTAACCACAGCAGTGGGGACTGCCGGGATTGCCATCACTAAGTGATGCAGTCATGTGACATCATGCTTTAAAACTGGATCGCTTTGTGATGGAAATTTCAGTCCTAACTGTCATCATGACCTTCTATATCCACTGGTACAGAATAAAAGCCATAACCGTTATTATATTAAATTTTTATCTCTTGTTTGACCACAGTAACAGGAAGGCTTTGGGTCTCATTCTATGGACCTTATGGTTATACTGAGATGCAAACCATCATACCATATGCACTTATGTTTATGGCTCATATTAAAATTCTGTGGGTATATATTGATATACTGTATTATTTTTATAAATAATATGTCAAAAGCCCTGAATGAATGACTTTTATACTGGTTTTGAATTTTTGATGTCCTTCTACTGGAGTCAGCTTATTCAGCATCTTGATTGTTTTAATAAAAATGTGTTTTCCATAGTAATATTTCTTTTTTTCTCCCTCCTCTGTTTTCTTTCAGGTCATCTCTTTGACCTTAATCCTTTAAAGAGACAGGCTGGCTACACTCTCTCTGATTTTGGGAACCAAAGAATGTTCCAGTTGAGTGTGTGTGATGAACCCAACACTTCATGTGGTGGAGGCATTGGTAAGTTTTGACTTGCTGAGATGCTGATATTGAACCCAGGTTCATAGGATGGAAAGAGATTGTTGTGATACTTTGTTTTCTTAAGCCTATGTTATCATTGATATGTGACGCAACAGTAGTAATGTAAAGTACATTTCAATAAAAATGTAGGACAGTATCTGGATAACAATATGTGCTCTTCTCCTGGGGTAAGCTTTTCCTTCCTTCCCCGGATATCCAGTTTATCAGCTATTCATACAATCTGTGCAGGTAGGTCTCAATTAGTGCATTAATGAATTCCACAAATGGTCACATTATTTGAATTCACATTATTCAAAGAGATTTTTCTATGGGAAGTAGGGTAATTGGTTCCAGCTCAATGGAAATAGGCAGTTTTAAAATGCAACATAATGTTTATATGTTTATTAATAGAATACTGTATAAAAGTAAAAAAGGTTAAACCCACATCCAAAGTATATATGATATCTTCTGTATGCTGCTGCAGTTCTTCAAACTGAACTTTCCTTTTCTCCATTTTGCACAAAAGACCATTAGCTTCTAAAACCCCAACTGTGGCTGTGTATGCACGAGCCTCAACTGCATATATGCAGCCTTGCACTAATTGAATGCTGACTTACATTAAAGGAGGCTTGGTATCAGTTTATAAACTATGCTAAATCAAATTTTGCACTATTCAAACTTGCTCTAATTGTGATCTATCTGTAACTTAAAAAAATAGATAACTGTAAAACCTGCTACACGGCTCAGATTTCTTAGTTTCCATAATTTACCTGGGGTAGCAGTAAAATGCTTATTGGAGTGCATATGCATGTTATATTTTACAAGTGTGCACTGAAGTCCATTATGCCATATTTATTTAAACAGCCACTTGCTATATTGTTAACATAATGAGATACAAGATAGGTGGAGGAAAAAGGTGCATATTCACTGCATATCATGCTGTGGAGTGGATATGGTGGAGATACTATCCCATCTATCTGATGTTAAGAAACCTACATAGCCTCCTGTTAGGCATTGTAAGCCTTAATTGACCACTTTATATTGAAAAAATAAGTCTGAAAGAACAAAACTGTATTAGGACTATTCAGTGAATCATTGAGCAACTTGATCCCAGCACTGGAGAATAAATAGAAGTCTTTTTAACCAAAATCATAAAAGCATATATTTTTCTTGATGTATTAATAATGTAGCATTTTCCCTATTAATTGTGTTGAAGTTAATATTTCTTCTGTCAAAAAACAAGGAAAAAGAAAAAAAAGCACTAGAATTGCTCTATTAATTCTGTTAATAGGAGTTTGCATCACGGGTGGCCATCAGCCATCAATTAATGCTGGACAACTAAGCAAAGCATTAACCTATGAAGATGGAGTTTTGAAACTTGTCTACAAAGAAGGCGAGTCCTGTCCTGCAGATCCTGTTTTGAAGTACACAAGCTATTTCACCTTTGTATGCAGGTTGGATGCTGGGCCCGGCAGTCAGCCGGTTCTCATTTCTTTTGATGAGAAAACATGCACTTATTTTTTCTCTTGGCATACTGTTTTAGCCTGTGAAGAAGAAAGAGTGGTAAGTAAATTGACTGTTTTATCAACTTAAATTTATCTAAAATGACCTGGCGTTATTTAAGATTTTTTAAAAGCTTAAATCCTCTAGGGTTGTTTTGGGGGAGGAGGGAGTTGCAACATAATACATTTACAGATTTATTACACTCATTTGTGCTATTTTGCATCGCAGTTGTTGAAGTAGAATAAGCTAGTCTTATTAAGCATAATAGAGGCGATATAGTATTTATTAATTAGATCACTTGAAATCTCTCTGCCAAAAAGGCACTCAACTCTAGGACAACACAGACATAATACAACTAATGATTAACAAAACTGAAGCAAGCCATTGTAATTTTGAAAGACAGTTAAAATTCATCTTAGCCAGAGTAATTGGAGGAGGAGGAGAAGGAAGAGATAGAACAAATTTATTTATGAGATGTCAGGCTGAAGAAGAGAGCCCAGAATCTCACAACTAAGTCCCTGAATAGCATCATGTCTGTATTTAGTCTCTCTGTCGTAATTAGTATGTGCAGAACATTCCAGGCATAACTCAACTGGCTTGGTGTACTTCATGTCCAGACCAAAATACGCACATACGGTTATTGTTTAGTTCCATAATCAGGCTACTTTATCTTGGGCAGGTGGAAATAATAAAAAAAAATCAAGGACAATGGTGGCTGAAGGGAGGAAGGAAAGGTGTTGGGAAGAATGGGGAGTCTAGAGGTATGAGATATGCTGCAATATCAGCAACAGATGAAGGGAGAGGGAGGAAAGAGATGAGGTGCAGGTGAACTGGTTTTATATGCCATACTGGAACATAAATGATGGAAATAAGAGAATGCCATGGGTTTATGCCATGGTTGTCCAGTGGTTAGAATGCAGTATTGCAGGCTAACTCTGCCCACAGTCGGGAATTCAGTCTGGACCGGCTCAAGGTTGACTCAGCCTTCCATCCTTCCAAGATCGGTAAAAAGATATGCTGGCATTGTAAACTGCTCAGAGAGTGCTATAAAGCATTATGCAGTGGCATATAAGTATTATTGCTATGCCATGCTGAAAGCTGCTGAAAGTAAGCGGTGACATACATCCGTTTTTCCCTTATTCACTCAATACAGATTTATCTATAAATGTTAACAATCAAATTTCTTTCTTTCTTTTAATAATTTTATTAAAAGTTTGTAAAAAGATAAAAGCTAATACAATAATACAAGAAAAAAATCAAGGGGAAAGCTAAAAGTATAAGAAATTTTAAAAAGTTTAAGGAAAGATTGCAAAGAAATGATATCTCATCTTAGCAGTTACGTTTACAAGTTGGCTCTCTGTTGTTTTTGTGCAGATATTTCCTTACTTGGCTAGGCAACATCTTCATGTTGGAAAAGAGCAGGGTTTGCTCTCTGTTTATATAGAATAGCCTGCCCTGTCAGTATTGGTGATAGTTCCTTTATAGTTCCTTGATAATAACAGTAATAAAACAAGACAACTCCTCCTTTTTCTTTTTTTTAACTTCCTACTGTAATAAATTCTTTCCCTCCAATTTTTATGGATGAAATGTTTTATGTTCTTTTTTCCAATATGTATCTATAATCTGTCATAATGCTTGTTTCGACTGATATGTGAATCTTCTCTCCCCCGCCTACAGGTAGACTGCTCTGTTACCAATGGCAGCAGAGTAATTGACCTTTCCCCTTTAATCCATTGGACAAGTGCTTATGAGATATTTGATGACTTTTCTGACCAGAATCCAGATTTCTATATAAATATTTGCCAACCATTAAATTCCATCAAGGATGTCAGTTGTCCACCTGGAGCAGCTGTCTGCATGATCCCATTTAATGGCTCTCCTGTAGTAAGTAATATTATCAGCATGTATCAAATTGTCTTCTTTTTCACAACAGGATATTAGAATGAATTTCTAATGTACTGTAGCTAATAAGCTGGTTTAGTAGATTAATGTATTATTTAAGAGCCCAGTTCTTCGGTCACTTCACATTCTTCAAATAATTATTTGGAAACGCAATTTCAGCATTTGATATAGGATAAAATATTGAAAGGAGGAGAGGAAAATGTTATCTTTGGGATAACTGTTTCACTTTGGGACACATCCACTACTAAAAAGTCATGGCCCAAATTTCAGGAAACATTTCAATTATTTTCAAAGGGTTTTTGAATTTTGAACAATATGTGTTCACATATCATGGCAAATCTCTTTAAAAATTGAAAAGATCTACAACCTTGGGGCAAGTAAAGATTATGCTTATTATTCATTAAAGTAGTCCAATTTCTTTCAGTCTTCTATACAAACAGGAAGAAACATTTTGACTGCTTTAAGCAGCTGACTTATTTAAAATTAATACGATTTTGAAAGTAGAACAACTCAAACCGGGTCAGACTACTTGAAATATATAGCTTCTGATTCTTGGGCCATTTTGTGCTAAATGGATAGCAATTTCAGATAATGGATCATATTGATCTTGCCTATGTTTTTAGCAGTACTATTGTAAAGATTTTGAGTACATCAGAACAAAATGTAATTGAAATCATATCTCATCATATGAGAAATACATCATAAAAATGGATGGATTCCTTCTAACTCATTCATTCATTCTGTCCCTTATTTTAACACATGTTATTACAATTTGTATATAGATAGAAGTAATTTATTTCCCAGTTGATGCTGAAGCTTCAGTTTCATTTTGTGGTCAATCATATTTATATTATATTTAATTAGGATATTGGTCGAATCACAGCACCTCCTCAGCTCAACAGTGCAACAAATGAAGTTAATATTGCCTTCAACAGTACCACTCCTTGTCCAGAAGATAAAAATATCAACTATTCTTCCCTTATTGTGTTTCACTGCAAAAAAGGAACAAATCTGGTAATCATAGTTTTATTTTGCTTGTTGACAAAAACTTAGAAGTATTTACAAATTAAGAAAAGGTTGGGGGGAAAAAATCCCTTCCAGGCATAGGGCACAACCAAACAGCTGGTTTAACCTTGTCCAGTTTGTGAGTTGGCAGAAAGCATGAGGCAAAAGAGCTATGCTCTGTTTGCATAGCTAATTCCTACTCTGCTTCACTAATGAGACTGGTGAATGAGGTTGTCTGCTGCCAGGAAAGTTAATGTGCAGTAATTGGTGGGTTTTCTAGTGGCAGAGAAGACATTCTTCAATTGCTTTTCTGGTGGAGTGAGAGTGGGACTCCAGAAAATGGAGAGTTTTGGAGATGATTAGAAAACTAGATTTATTGAAACTGATCTGTGGAGTAGATGGGGGCGGCTTTCTTGTCCTGCTTTACCAGGAAACCCATAACTTTCTTGTGCATCACCTATGGTGCCAGATCCATGGGGTAGGTTAGGTACACAGATATAGGAGGATTAAGATGGGTACAGATGGAGGGGAGAGTCTCCCTTGCTTCATTGGAAGCCTCTATTCAATCAACAAATCACTTGTATCTACTTGGAGAGGTTAGTACATATCCTTCCCTCTCAAATTCCACCATGCTACAAGAAGATTCTGAGAACAACCACTACCCATCCACAGGTGACCACACCAGACAAAACCAAAAAATAGGTGCTGGACACATCCGTTCCCTCCTGCATCATTATCTACCACCAAACGACTCAGATCGAATGGATGGCATAGCTTGTGTTGGGAGAAGATTGAAAACACTTATTTCCACATTAGATCGATACATTTCAAAGTTGGCTGACCTCATCTTTGATTTGGAGATGCATTATGTTGATATGTCCTTGTAGAATGCTTAGTGAGGCATGACATTAGAGGGATATTAAATGTGCTAATAGATATGCAAGGTTCCTTAACTACAAATTAAATAATTTCACCCATCACAACGGTTCAACTTTCTGATTAGTAAAATAGATACTTTGCCAACAGAGTCCATGATGATGATGAGGGGGAAATGTATTTAATTTTCTGCTTTTGTCAGTTATCAAGCACTTGTTTATTCCATTTTTTAACTAAATGAGAAGTGGAGAAAGAATGAATTTTGAAGGCTCAAAGGGAATATTCAAGTTGTGTACATAACCTGATATCAAACCCTTCTCTGGTACAGGCAAATTATTTTTTAAAATTGTCTTAGATTTGTATATAAGCATGTGATCTGCAGTTGTCTCCAGAAAGTCAGCATGAAGCAACAGAAGTTGGGACATGATCTTATTCTTTTGTTGTTGTAGAAATTTTTGAAGCTTGATTATTTCCAGTGTCATCAACCTCAGTCACAGCAAGCAAAACCAACATAATATAAATAAAAGCAGATGGGTTTATTTAACTTCAGTGTGTGCTTAATTTTCAGTCATTTAGCTTTCTTATTGAGACATCTGATTCTCAAGCTTAACCATTTTATTCCCTTGTTTGTTGTGTTGGTAATAGGGGAAGCCCAGAATGATAGAAAAGTCCGGCTGTGAATATATATTTGAATGGAGCACCCCAGTGGTATGCCCTGATGAAGAGAATGTTTTGGGCTGCTCTGTCATGGATGAACAGTTACACTATGCTTTCAACCTGTCAAGCCTTGCAGGAAAGCCCTATAAGGTGATTGTATTGCTGTGGCTAATAAGGGGAACCGTTGATACTGTTCTGACATGAAAAAAGTGGAGTTGGTCTGTTGCAGAGCCACGTGATCAGAGCTCAGCAATAAAATATATGCTTTTAGCACCATCACAAATAACATATTCTGGGATAAAGTAAGAGGGGAATCAGGTTGCAGCACAGTGGCAAATTTTATGTATATCAAATTATATTGTCAATGAAAATGACTCCCAAGGGACTGAGCTGCATTTCTCATATTTTCTCTCCAAAACATGAGAAGTTGAGAGTAGTAGTTAAGGTGTTGGGAGTGGAATCCAACAGCAGCATTTGGGTTAGTCATTATTGTTCAGGCCAAAATATGTCAAGAAACTCCGTGGACACAAATTTGAGTTTCTCTAGTAAAATAGGGTGTAGATAATATAATGTGCTCATCATACAAAGATTTCTTTTTCTGCAAGACATGGGCCCTAAAAATCATGCAAATAATATATAGATGCATTGATCATCAGTAGATGAATAAATACCATCAAAGGCATTCCTAGAACTGTTTCCCCCTATGAGTGTGAGATGAAATTCTGGTAACAACGGTTGGAAATTTTACGAGCATCATATTCACAGGAGTATTTTGGAAAGTGAGCAAAGCAGCCCTCTGAACCTGCTGTATAAAGTGAACATTCTCTGGAAGATTCATTCTGAGACCCTTCACACGTTACTTTACATAATCTGGGGAGGCCCTTGGCATGGCCATACTGAACTTTTAAAAATATTTAGCATTTTCTCTGATTCCATTTACAGTTCTTTAATGGTATAGTTTTGGCTGTCAAAACAGGTTCCTTCTGGACGTAGGAGCTACCATCTTGGGGTATGTTCAGAAGCAGCAGATATACCTCAAGGAAAATGCAAAGACGCTGCAGTTTGTCTTATCTCTGGCAGTAATGCCATCTCATTTGGCAACAAAAAAGAAATAAAATTGGACTACAGGCATCAAGATGAAGCTGTTTTCTTGCAATATAAGGGTGGTGATAAATGTCCTCCAGGTATGAGATTTGCAAGGAATTTACTTCGAAAATTACACCATTGTTGCTTGGTATCTTAATTCATCAGCTTTTAAGTTTAAGATAAACTTTCTTTCCTTAATTTATTTAATCCTAAAAATAATTCCATTGAGAATTTAAGGAAGGTAATATTTAAGGCTACTCAGGCTGAATTCACCCATAGAATTTTACTGAGTGATTTTGAGATTGAACTTTGTCCAGTGATATAAATTAACTTACGTACCATTCTGGACTATTTAATTATAAGAGGTGAAAAGGAGGAATTGATGGATAATACAGAGTGTCTTCATGCATATATAAATACATGCATCTTGAACATTGTAAGATGCTGTTTTTGGACTTGCGTCTTGTTCCTCTTTGTACAATGTCGTTTTGAAAGGAGAGCTGGCAGGCAGAAGCATTCCAGGTGAAAGTGGCCAAGAGTGATGATCTTTGAGACCATCTCAGTTTGTTCTAAAATAAACTTTATGTAGAAAAATGGTGGCTGCTAGCAGTAGTTACATAAATTATTACTTAAAACATGGCCTTTCTTAATTCTGGGTACCATTGACAAACCACTTCTGTGCTAAGTTTTTTGTTAAGAAATATTTATATTTTACTGTTTATATTTCATAGGTATTGCCCATTAAATATTTTGTCTGTTTTTTACTTCCAGTGACTGAAAAGGGTGAGCTTTGTGTCTTCCCTTTCCAGTATAATGGTAAAAGTTATGACAGGTGCATAGCGGAGGGACAAGAGCGTCCATGGTGTGCCACAACTGATAACTTAGGGAGAGACCAAAAATGGGGATTCTGTGTAAATGGTAAGTAAGGAGATCAAGCTCTGCTACACAGGATGAAGCATTAAGATGCACAGCTGTACTGTATAGTGATGGAATATCTGGTGGCTTGAGATAAAACAACAGCTGCTGAAAAGAAAATCCAATCAGGATACAGGTAGTTCTTGACTTACGACCACAAATGAGCTCAAAGTTTCGGTTGCTAAATGAAACAGTTATTGAGTGAGTTTTGCCCCATTTTATGACCTTTCTTGCCATGGTTGTGAAGTAAATCACTGCGGTCATTAAATTATTAACATGGTTGTAAAGTGAATCTGACTTCCTCATTGGCTTTGTTAGAAGGTCGCGAAAGATGGTCACACGACCCCAGAATACTGCAACGGTCATAAATATGAGCCGATTGCCAAGTGTCCAAATTTTGATGTAGCCATGGGGATGCTGCAATGGTTGTGAGTGTGAAAAATTGTCATAAATCACTTTTTTCAATGCCATTGTAACTTGAAATGGTCACTAAACAAATGGTTATAAGTTGAGGACCACCTGTAATTTGTATTGCTGCACTTTAGGTGTTGTTTTGTAACAGCACTAACATCAGTCTTGTGCTCTAAATACAGACAATAAATACCACAGTGTTTGTATTTGAATAGCATACGTTTATCCATATTTGGGAGCATCATTCAGAGAGAACTGGCCATTAACCCTGCCTGTTGATGAATTACAGGTAGCCCTTGACTTACGACTGCAATTCAGCCCAGAATTATGCTGGTTGTTAAGTGGGCCATCACAAGATCAATTCAGTTTTTTGGCTGCCAGAACCTTTGAATCATCAAAGTCATAAGTACCTTTCTTGGAGTCTTTTGTAACTTCGAACAACTATTAGGTGACTGGTCATAAGTCAAGGGACTACCTGTACTATAATTGGGTTTCCTGCTGAGGCCAGGAAAAATAGAAACCTCATGCAGGTTAATTAACCCCCTGTCATGTTTTCTTGAAGAAGAAAATGTGACTGAATATTAAGATTGGGGATTCCAAGTATACTTGAATATTAATACCCTCCAAAATCAATAAGACTCAGCTTATTTTAAATACATTTCTAAATGAGAATTTTATAGGAAATATATAAGATTGCTTTGCTTTCTGAAACCTCCCTCCTTCCCAAATTCACTATGTCCCTTTTGATATTATTACTTTGAATTGGAGTATAATAATTCCAGCTCTGATCACTAACTCAGATAGCTGATATGCCTAGATTTATACAATTTTCCCCAAATATAACACTACTGAACCATTGTACCCTATGGACCATATGAACATTACAAGGCAAAGATAGATGTATTTATTGTTAATAACTTTCCTATAGAATTTAAGATTTACAGTCTTGTTTATAAGCTTTTGTTTATATCTTGCAGAAGCTGGACAGCGTGAATCTACTATTATTTTTAAGTGTGATGAAAATGGTAATAGCGGAAGTCCTCAGTTGTTGAGTGAGACCCTTGGCTGCTCTGTCACATTTGAATGGAGGACACAGCTTCTATGTCCTCCAAGGAAAATGGAATGCAAGTTTATTCAGAAGCACAAAACTTACGATTTGAGAATACTTTCCTCACTCACAGGCTCATGGGTCTTCGCAGACAAGGGCAGCTCGTGAGTGTGCTCAACTCAGTTGACTAGTTTGTTATTCATTGCCAGCATAGCTAATCATTCTTCCAAGTGTGTATCTTGTAATTCAGGCAAGGTTGCCTAAGTTTCAGGAAAGTGTCTAAGATTAGGCAGTGCTTAAATCAAGTTTTGTAGTCCTGTTTTTTTTCAGTCAAGGGACTGATTGAAGGAAAACGTACATCAAAGGGAAATGCAGGGTGCTTACTAATTATAAGGGGGTATATCTTTACTAGAATTATTTGACCACTCAGCTTTGCTCTGTTGAATAACCTAGAATCATTGGGATACTGTGTTTAGATTGACAATCACTTAAGAAATTGCCAGATGGTAAAAAAATTCTAAAAAGATCTTTGAAGTTTATAGAAGAACTTTTGGAAAATTCTTTCAGTCAAGTAACCTTACATAAATTGGTTGTCATAAATAGACAATGTTCCATTTCATGTACTTGGAAATTTAAAAAAATATAAGATAGTCCTTATTGATGTCCTATATTGATTGTCTATTTTTAAAAAAACTTTTGAGTGAAAGGTAGAGTATTGATGCTTTAAATAATTATTACATATGTTGTGCACTGACAATAAAGATTTGAATTTGAATTGAATTGTATTAAACTGATGGGAGGTCTGCTGAAATGACCGTCTTTTCCTTCTTGGATTTAGTTACTACATGAACCTTTGTCAGAGAGTCCATGAAGGACCCTCAGGCTGTCCTGACAGGGCAAGTGTTTGCCGACGTAATCAGAATGGTGCTGTCCAAGTTCTGGGGTTAGTTCATACGCAAAAACTTAATATTACAGGTATGTCTCTGGTGTCCCCTACTATTTTATGCAGGGGAAAGTGAAAATAGCCTTAATTTGTTAACATTTATTTATTATTTGCCTTGCACCATTTTGTATTCCTATGCAATCAAATCCAGGTGGTATACAGTAAAATTGTGATAAAAAGATTAAGTTGGTCCCACATTACTAACGAATACTTAAGCCACAGCTAAAAGCAGAATTGTTAGCTTTGCAAGTTAAAAGTGTCCCAATGTTCATTTGCTAGGAGCTAAATATTCAATAAAAAATGATAAGGTTTTTAGTGCCATCCAGGATGCCAGAATGAAAGTGCTTGAGTCTACTTCTGTTTCACCAAGTGGAAAGAATCATAAAGTCTGTTTTCTAGCCTATGTCCATATCAGGGGTGCGTTCTACTTACCTTTACTACTGGTTCGCATCGTGCCCATGTGCACTCTTTTGCGCATGCGCAGATCACTTCTGATGATGTCCAGGTCAGTGGCGGAGCCACCTGCCAATTTTACTACTGGTTCTTGCGGACCAGCCGGGGGCAATCCACCACTGGTCCATATCCTTTGCAGAGAAAGGAACTTAAGAAGATACTCTGTAGATGTTTGTAGATAATGAGTGGGTAAAGAGGTCCCTAATGTGAACTGATCACTCCTTGAATAGTCTTCTGGTGATAACCAGCACTTAAAACAGGGCCTGGAAGCCTGTTGGTGGCAGCTGCAAACTATGTGTTGATCTTGCAACAGTGGGTTCCACTCTAGAGTTATCCTTAGGTTTAATTTTGTTTTCTAATTTCATTAGGGTTACATTAGGTAGCTCATTTGCATATGGATGCATGAAAAAACCCTAAAGCTAATAGATATTATCCATTACCTCCATGCAATTCCCCTTAAATAAAGTGATGTTCTTCTAGAAATAGTCTGCAGATGTGGAAATAGAAAGAAACCTCCTGGTGCTCGGTGCTTATATGGGTCTTTAAAATTCAAACAGTTGTTGGAACAAAATATTTTTAATTTTTGCAAAAATATTGATATCAATCTATGAAATCAAAATATGGACATATACTAAATATATTCATAGGCCCCAGCTATAAAATATTAGCCCTTGAAGTTATAATCAATCATTTTTGATGAAGGAAATATTACTAAGGCCAAGTCATAAAGAATTTTAATTTTTTTTAAAAACCCTCACAAATAGCACAAATTTTGCTTTAGATTCAGAATCTCATTTGCTTTTAATAAAATCTGGTGCTTTATTTCAGGTGACAAAGTTCTTGTCAGCTACTCCAATGGTCATGAATGTCCACAGAGGAACAAAAAGGCAACAACGGTGATAGAGTTGAAATGTGGAAAAACTGTTGGGTTGCCAAGATTCAACAGGTAAGGAGGTACATGGATGATTGGTTTTTTATGGCATAACAAAGGCCACCTCAGCTTTTATCTAGGTATATATTATGCAGATGGCATCATTTAGGTTTTAGGGAAGGTTTCTTTAATCTAATGCAGGGGTGTCAAACTCGCGTCGTTATGGCGGCGTAACGTGACGTATCACAACTTTTTTCTCCTTCGCTAAACTAGGCATGGGCGTGCCGTGAGTTTGACAGCCCTGATCTAGTGTGTTCTATATATTTCAGTAACTCCTAATCAGCCACAATATGGCCATACAAATGAAGTCAATAAAATGAATGAGTGAGTGAATGTTGAGAAAGACCAATATTGTGGTGTGGAAGAGTGATCTACACTTATCACCAAATTAAATAGTAGAAATAAAATAATTGTCATGCTAACAGTACCAATGAAAATAAAATCTATGTTCCAGTCTAGTTTTGGTTCTAATTCTTCCATTTTTTGAGCATGAATGTCTGTATCTGCTGAAAACCAGCTGCAGAGGTCGGCAATTCGGCGGTTTGAATCCCTAGTACAGGTCTCCTGCGTGAGCAGGGGGTTGGACTAGATGACCTCCAAGGTCCCTTCCAACTCTGTTACTGTTACCCCCCATGAAACCATTCTGCTCAGTTATGAGGCAGTGTGGAAGAAATAGAAGAGAATTCCCCCCCCCTTTTTTTTTTTCTTGACAGCATGCCGGTCAAGGTCAAATTCTCTAAAGGTTTACATTGGGTTACTAAATAAAACCATCTGTTCTAAATGGGTGATTTATAAACCTTTGCCTCTTATGGCTATAAAGAAGCGTTGAAGTAATTCTTTAAAACTGAAACTCTTTACATAATTTCATTCTGATTTACACAGCAGAAAAAGGTTTTTTTTTTTTGTTTTGTTTAAACTTTATTGAATAAACCCAATTGGCTAGGTTCAAAAAGAACATTAAATTATGAAGTAGAATAACCATAATGGAACTCGGGAAAATATGTGCTTGATTTAAGTTCAGTGAAATGTGTAAATCCAACCATCACATCCACACAATAGAAAAGATAAATAGCAAATTTTATTTCTCTACCTCTTAGTCTTTATTATCATGCCATTTCTGCCTCTGCTGTTAATTTCCCAAATGCTTCCTTTTAGGATTGATGAAGAAAATTGTGCCTATTATATTACCTGGGAAACTCGAGCTGCTTGTGCTGTGAAACCTCAAGAAGTAAAGATAGAGAATGGCACAGTTATAAATCCAGAGACAGGAAAGAATTTCAGTTTGGGTAATATTTATTACAAGTAAGTTAACATTTTAAATATTTATAAGAGACCAGGAGAAAACTCTTAATAATCTGCTTTTTAGTTACCAATTGGTGTAGTGAAAAACTGTTAGATGAACTGCTGAGCAAAATGTCTATCTGCCACTTCTAGAAATGTGAAGTTTCAAGTCATAACCATCAATCTGGATTTTTTTTTAAAGTGATGCAATAACTTTTAAATCTGGGTGGATGTACTGACAACTTTATAAGAAGGGTCGTTTAAGAACTAAAGTTTGGTATATGGTGTATTGGTTAATACATTTCTTAAGGAATTAACTAATTTTGCATTTGTATGGCTTATTTATGTAAATTAAATAGATAATTCTACTGTTACAAAGTTATGTGTGCATATTGAAAAACAGACTCCATTTTCTCACAGAGACAGATTCATCTTAATCTGTTGGATTTTTTTTTAAAAAAAGATTCTCTTAGTGCAACATAAATCCATAGACTAGTAAGTAAATCCATAGAACAGAAGTAAATTCCACTCCAGGAGGTACAGTAGCAAATTTATGTATATGTGGTAGATTGATGCAAAAGCTATATGGTAGATTTTCCAATCTTTAGGAAAGTACTTATTGTAGATATATTATAAAGCTATGATAAATATATAACTTTAAATTTACCCCATCATTTAAATTTATCCCTATGCCTATCATTAAAAGTAGAAACTAGTTCTAGAATGAAGGATATTTGAACAAAATATTTTCTCCAACCCAACTGTGTATTCTTGTGCATTATACCTATGGTTTTCATAAATAATAGTGAAGATGGGTACAGGTAGTCCTCTACTTATGACCACAATTGAGCCCAAAATTTCCATTGCTATACAAGACAGTTGTTAGGTGAATTTTGCCCCATTTTAACAAGCTTTCTTGCCACAGTTGTTAAATGAACCACTGAAATTGTAAAGCTAATACTGTGTTAGGTTAATCTGCCTTCCCCATTGATTTTGCTTATCAGAAGATCACAAAAGGTGACCCAGGGATCCAGCAACTGTCATAAATATAAGAGTTGCCAAGCATCCAAATTTTGATAATGTGACCTTAGGGATGTTGCAATGGTTGTAATGTGTGAAAAACAGTCATAAGTCACTTTTTTCAATGCCATTTAAACTTTGAACGGTCACTAAACGAATGGTTGTAAATTGAGGACTACCTATATAGCATTTAGGTAAAAGGAAAATAGAGGAATTGTAGATTACTTGGAAATGGGTGAGGAAAGTCCTTGCTAGATGGAATTAAACTTGAGATTTTAGGTGAATTAAAATAGATTCTTTAGAATAGCAGTAATTAGCTAGGTGAAAAGAGGTGCTTCTAAAGACTTAGCTCTGGTTATTTCTGTACCATTATTCTGTATATGTGTGAGTATTATGTAATTTTATTTTTATTTTTTTGTTTCAGATTATACAATGCATCAGGAGATTTCAGAACAAATGGGGACAAATACATTTATGAGATTCAGCTTTCTGCTATCACTGGTTCAAAGAATCCAGAGTGCATAGGAGCTAACATCTGTCAAGTTAAAATATCAGATAAACGTATTCGTAGAGTTGGATCATCAAAAAAAGCTCACTATTATATTCAAGGTAAGTGGTGACTTGCTAGGGATGATGACAGCCTGGGTTATATGCAAAATAGAAACCCAAACTAAACCAATTGTATTGGGAATTCTGTTGGAACTATTCCACCGTTCACTAAAAATAAAATCTAGAATGTTTTACTTATTCCTAGTTTCTTCTAAATCTTCTGTTGAAATCCAGAGTGATTCCAAAGTGATTTTACTAAGCAAGTAGGGCAAGTCTGCTATGTTGTGCCTCTCCACCACCATCACCGCCCAGCCCCATGTCTGCTGAGGTATCAGCCCCAGAATGTAACTATGTCCCATAATCAGATATCTCACTCACATGCCCATCCTCAATCTTCCCAGTGTATTTCCTTCTTATCCTTTTTGCCACTCTTCAGTTTTTTTTCAAAAAGGCTATACCCAGTCATCCCAACACAATCAAAGACAGGTGCTCCGATTCTTTAGGGCACGCCTGTCAAACTGGCAGCCCGTGGGCCAGATATGGCCCGCGCAGGCCACACCCACCCGTTTCACAAAGGCAAAAAACATCGCAATATGTCACGATGCGGCCCACGTTGCGAGCAGGTTTGACACCCCTGCTTTAGGGCTCTCTTAAAAAGCCACCTTTTTATGGCTCTCCTAAAGTTTGATTTTGGGAGATTTTTTTTTTCCATTCTCACCTTCCCCTCCCAACAATTCTATTCAGAAGGACATATTTCAATGTGTATCTCGAAGAAAACAATCACATTTCATTCCATATAATTGAGGAAAGAACTAGCCAGCAGTAGCTGTTTTGTGCCTAAATTATTTGAGCATAAATCTACCCAGTAACTTTTGTGTGAGAGGGCAGCCATATAAATTTGATAAAACATATATAAATAAAGCACATCCCCATCATCTACTTATTTGTTATAATTATACTGATGCCTCAGTATCAGTGTATTTTCTTTATTCATTCTCCCTGTTGATTTCTTAATGTCTCCAAATTCACCTTCTTGGTTTCAATTCCTGTGAGTAGAACTGAATAATGCTATTAATAACCTGTCAGTTACTCCCAACTCCGAAGGATATTAATGTATCCTCTTGTCCCTCCAGATGTTAGCATATACCCTTTCTTAGCTGTTTAGGCAAATTGAGAGGCATTGAGAATTTGTGAACAGTCCTATTTTTTTGGACATGGGAATTCTTTGATCTGACTGTCTGTGGAAATTCTCAGTCATCCAGGTCATGGTTGTCTTTGACAAGGTGCTTTTCAAGAGGCTACTGGACTTTCTGGTTTTTCTTTGAAGACATTTTGCTTCTCAGGAGAGCTGAAAAAGCTTCTTGGATGAGAAGCGAAATGTCTTCAAAGAAAAAGCACGTTTGGGATTTTGATTCTGACCTTTTCTTATCCCAGGGAGTGACGATAAAATGGCTCCTTATTTCTGCTTATCCCTATATATAGGGGGGGGGAGAGAGTGAGTTACATTTCACCCTTCTATCTTCCCTCTATTTCCTTTCCAAGTTAAAGAACTGAAAAAGCAATACTTAATAACAGAAGAGCAGAGTGAAGGATAAGTTGTTGGATATACAGTATAATTTTTTCACTGCATCTTCTCTTGCTTTCTGAGAGGAGAATGGTTGAAAAAAAATTATTTTTTTACACACATAGATCCTGTTTTTTCATTTGCTTAAACCAAATGAGGGAAAACAAAAAAGATCAATCTTTGTGTACTTACCTCTTTTCCTTCCATTCATTACACGAATGGAAACTTAATGTGTTAATTTGCCAGCTCACCTCCATGAGAGGCAAGAACAACATTATTTACTAAGCGAGAATTTAGCAACTTTTCTGTATAAATAAGAACAAGTAGTCCTCACTTAGCAACTGCTAAGTGACCATTCAGTTAGGATGGCGCTGAAAAAAGTAACTTTAGGACCAATGCCTATATTTACAATCTTCACAATGTCCCTCAGTCATGTGATTGCCTTTATAGTTAGTATGACTTGTTCTGTGCTTGATCTTTCTCCCGTCCTGCTTGCAGAGCAGAGAACTTGGAGAAGACGGGAGTAAGGCACACAATGGGGAATGTACATAGAAAGAAATACAAGGGAGGAGTTGTTAAAAAATAATACCCTGTTTTCCTGAAAAAAGGACATCCCCTGATAATAAGCCAAATTGCGCTTTTGAGCGCATGCGCTAAAATAAGCTGCTCCCTGCAAATAAGCCCTCCCCGAAAATATTTAACCGGATGTGCAGTCGGTCCCCGCCATTTCCTCTGGTTAGGGTTAGGGAAACAGCTGGAAATCAGGTAAGACAGCAAGAGGAGTCCCTTCTTGCTCCACATACCCCAAAATCATAATACCTCCCCAAAAATAAGGCCAAGCACTTATTTTGGGGTTCAAAAAATATAAGACTGGGTCTTATTTTCAGGAAAACATGGTAGTCAAGCACAGGAGAGATTGCCCACAGAAATTGATTGGGTTTCCTCCTCTCCCCCTCACCCCAGTTGCTTGTTTAAGCAATCTCTGCTCTGGAGGGGGGAAGGGGGGGAGTGATTTTTTAAATAGGCAATTGCTCCTATGCTTGGCCCCATTTTTTACTCCCTCTTCCCTCTCTGGCAAAGAAAGAGATTGGAGAGGAAGGATTTATAACAGAATAAGTAGGCACACAATGAGGAAGTAGGCCAGCAGCTGTATGTTGTGGAAACCTGCAAGACTGAAAGTACATTTCTTCCCTGTCACCTTAACAGTCCAAAAACTAGGGAATGCCTCTTTTGAGATATCTACAAAATATCCACAACCAACAATTGATTGTGAATTTTTTATCTTTTTTTCTTCCTTTGCAGATGATGTTTTGGATCTTGTGTTTGTCTCTGACTCCACATGTGGCAGAGATTCCCAAAAATCTGTGTCCTCAACTATTGTCTTCCACTGTGATAAAGATGCTGAAGAAGGCATCCCAGAATTTCTTCATGAATCAATGGACTGCCAGTACTTATTCACCTGGTACACCTCGGCGGTTTGCCAGTTGGTGTAAGTAAATTTCATAAGAATAATTCTTGTTAATTCTTACTTCCAAGTTTGTTTTTCTGTTTTTTAATTGTAAGCTACCCAAAATCATTCTGGAGACTGGCAGTCTCTTAAAATTGAGTAAAAAAACCAATTCCGGGAAATTTTGCTTGTTTGGTTGGAAGTTGATTAATCTCCTCTGAAATGGGAGGATTAAAATAATTAATTTTTGAAAAGTACTTATAATTATAGCTTATTCTATTTCCAGGAATGTATTGGCACATGGTTGTTAATCATTTCCAAATAGAATAGAATAGAATTCTTTATTGGCCAAGTGTGATTGGACACACAAGGAATTTGTCTTAGGTGTATATGCTCTCAGTGTACATAAGGAGAATAAAATTCATTCATCAAGAATAAAAAGATACACTTCATTCTTAGATTGACTTAGTGATAGTCAAAGTTACTAATAAGCTATCAAATCGTACTAGGAAACAAAAACAATATAATTGAAAGATATACAATCTTCATCTCTTGTTTCAGAATTGAGCAAAGTTTTTTTTTATACATTATTGAATTTAATTAAAAGTTTGTAAGGATCATTTATGAACTGAGTCCAGGGAAATACAATAGAAATATGTATTCTGAGTAAGGCTAACTTGTCTCTTCTTCTCTGCACCAAACCTTTCCAAGGGTTAAAGAGACCCATTCTAGTGGACAGAATAGAGAGAACAGGAGGGCTGCTTTTGCAGAACAGATGATACCTTTTGAATTCAAATTCCCATTTCTTTAATCATTTGCAGTAGCTCTGAAACAACAAATGATGGAAAGTATGTGGAAGATTTTTCTAAAGGCCTTTCAGGAAGAAGCCAAGCAGTTGGAGCACTATTGAGTTTACTTCTTGTGATTCTCACAGCATGTCTTGTGATCCTGTTACTTTACAAAAAAGAAAGAAGGTAGGACAAAAGAGAATGCTCAAGATTTTTTGCTTTTGCAATAATTCCCCAATATAACATTTTGGAAAAGTTTTAAAACCAGAAAGCTTGGAGTATCATTGAAAACAACATGTCCAGCACCCATAAAACTGTGCTAGAACGGTTTCTTCATTAAATATTATTACTATTCTTAAAGGATAGTAGAAATGGCAATAGCACTTAGACATATATACCACTTCTTAGTGATTTACAGCCCTCTCTAAACGGTTTACAGAATCAGTATATTGCTCCCAATAATCTGGATCCTCATTTTACAGACCTCGGAAGGATGGAAGGCTGAGTCAACCTTGAGTTGGTGAGATTCAAACTGCTGAACTGTTGGCAGTGAGCAGAATTAGCTGCAATACTGCATTCTAACCACCGTGCCACCACAGCTCTTATAGTAGCACACAACAAATAGTACCGGTCAATATTCTGATATCAGACCACACCTCATTTTTAAAAAATCAAGCAGAAGTGTTTTTGAAAGAGCTAATGTCTACAGGCATCTTTAGAAATTGCTATTGGTGTTAAAACTTTGCTACTAGTAGCATGTCATTCCCACTTTTGTCATCCACTGTAACCAAACTGCCTCCTGCCTCTAGTCTGCCATCAGGGTCCTCTTCAAAGCCTGCAGTGCTATTCCTTGACATGTGGGCTTTCTTTCTTTCTTTCTTTCTTTATTTTTTCAAACATGGTATCCCTCTTTCCCCCTTTCATTTGCAACTTGATAATGGCTTGTTTTATTGAGAAGACACCCAAACTTACGTTACCTCAGAATATAAAGTGTATAACATTGATGTTTTGTTTCGTAGAGAATCTATGAAGCAGAAGATAGTCAACTGCTGTCGGAGATCATCAAATGTTTCTTATAAATATACTAAGGTATTTTATTATATAAGTGCATCAAATATTCTGCTTACAGCCCTGTATTGTAATCATAACTATACTGTGTGCAGAGCTATATCCCGTTTAAAATTAGCGCTACTTAATTATATATAAACATGAAGTATAAATAATTGGATGAAATTTACAATCTTCCCTATCTTCACTAAGCATTATTTATTGATAGCTTTCAGTTGAGATTTTTGGCTATTGTTCAGTATTTGAAAGAACTGTATAAAAATATTTCCATTCCTCCAAAGCTTCATGTTTGAACGGTTGTGGGAAAATATTGAAAGCATGGCTGTGTGTCATTTAAAAGGAATAAGGGCCAAATGGAGAAGCAGCCAGATTTTTGAAAGAGAAGGTGTAGAGATTTACAGCCTATTCCTCTAGATCACATTGTGGAACTGATGGCCTTCTGAACTATAAATATAAGCCATCCTATCAGTGTCCATGCCAGATTCTTAGAAAATATAGTTAGCAAGCGAAGGTGACAACTTTCTCATCCTGTCTGTAGAAAACAACTAAATTCTTTTATGTAGGAACAAGGCTGTTTGTATTTAATCAAATAATGTGGTGCGTAAAACTTTGGGAATCCTTTTGAATTTTCAATATTTCTGCATAAATTTGATGTAAAACACGATCTGTTTTCCATACAAGTCCTAAAACCAGATAAAGAAAACTCAATTAAATAAATAAGCCAAATATATATATTTGTTTACTTATTGAAAGAAATGATTCAAAACTATTTTGGTAAAAGTACATGAACCTTTGCTTTCAGTAACTGGTATGCTTTCCTTGGGTAGCAATAAGTGCAATTAAACATTTTTTGATAACTGTTAATCAGTCCTGCACATCAGCTTGGAGGAATTTTAGTCCATTCCTCCATACAGAATAGCTTCAACTCAGAGATGTTGGGGGCTTCTTCACATGAATTGTTCTCTCAGGTTTTTCCACATTTCTATTAGATTAAGGTATGGACTTTGACTTGGCCATTTCAATACATTAACTTTCTTTTGATTTAATCATTCTTTGGTTTTATGACGTGTGTTTTCAGCTGTTGTCATGCTGCATGATCCACTTTCTCTTAAGTTTCAATTCTGGGACACATATCCTTACATTTTCCTTAGATTTGGCCATACAATAATTCAGAATTCATAGTTCCAACAATAATGGCAAGCCATCCTAGTCAAAAAGCAGCAAAGCAGGCCCAAACCATGATATTGCCATCACCGTGTTTCACAGATGAGACAAGGTTCTTGTGCTGGAATGCAGTGTTTGCCTTTCACCAACAGAATGTTTTTCATTCAAGGCAAAAAACAAAAACCTGTTTTAGTCTCATCCATCCACAGAACGTTCTTCCAATAGCTTTCTGTCATATTCAGGTCTTCTGCAAGCTGTAGATGGGCAGCAATATTCTTTTTGGAGAGAAGTAATTTTCTCTTTGCAATCCTGCCATGCACACCATTATTCTTCATTGTTTTCTTGATGATGGTTTCACGAACACTGCCATTTATCAATGAAAAAGAGACCCTCAGTTTCTAAAACATTACCCTGGGATTCTTTGAAAGCTTCCAGTATATTATACACCTTGCTCTTGGTGTGAGCTTAGTGGATCAAACACTCTTGGGGAGGGTAGAATTGAGTTGCCGCCATTTGTACACAATCTGCCTTACCAGAGTCCAAACCCTTTGGAAATAGCCTTGTAACCCCCTCTAGTCTGTTGAGAATCAGCTGTTTTTCAGAGGACTTCAGAGGTCTCCTTTGTTCTAGCTATTACATATTTCCACGTATCTGTATTGTAAAGATTAGATTTCGATAGTGGATTCCCAGAATTCTGTTCTTTAAGGAAGGACTTCCCACATTCACATCTGATCACAATCACTCTAATTTCCCCTTTAAATGAACTTATATTCCTAGAGCTTCACATACTTTTGCCACACAGAAATGTGTAGTTTTGGATAATTTTCCTCAATAAATATATGAACAGTATAGTAAAACTCATTTGTTTAATTGAGCTTTCTTTATCTAGTTTCAGGACTTGTGTGAAGAATACATCACGTTTTAGGTCATATTTTTGCAAAACTATTGAACATTCAAAGGGGTTCACAGATATTTGAGCACCACTGAAGAGATCCATAAAGCACTGTGTTCTTTGCCCAGTGATCCATATAACCTGAGCAGATGCTTTTCAAGATCTCAGGCAAAGGTTTTCCCATTGTTTGTTCCTGATTCTCTCTAGTAAAAGAATTGAACCTGCAAAACACTTATTTTGCTGAATATAGTTCTCCAAAATCAAACATACCTTGCTTTTCAGTAAACTAAATTATCATGTTTTTAATACCATTCACTACCTGTGTGTCCTTGGACTTAACAGATAAATACTGAAGAAGTAAATGAGAATGAAACAGAATGGCTCATGGAAGAAGTAGCTACACCCAATCACAGTTCAGGAAACGAAGCACACATAAATGGCCACGTAGCACGAAAGGCAGCCATGTCAGATACCCTCATGTCCCTTCCGGTGGATGACATGGACAGCGAGGATGAAGTATTGACAATACCAGAGGTGAAGATTCATTCAGCAAAAGATGTTGATTCAAGAGGCTTGAGCAGCACTATAAGGCCTTATCATAACAAAGCTTATAAGCCTTCAGGCAGTGGAAAAACTGCACTGCCTAACGGAAGGAAGAATAGCAAAACCAGCCCCACTTTTGGTCAAGAAGAAATGCAGAATTCCATGAACATTGCATCATACCATGATGATAGCGATGAGGACTTGTTGAACGTTTAACCTGCAATTGTGCCTAATGAAAATTCCATATGTGTATATGTATATTAAATATATTAAGGTGGGACAGCAAAACACTTCCAACCAAAAAAACGAAGACTTGAGTTGCAGATGCCTTTAGCAAGGGATTGTTTCAAGGGAAGGGGAGAAAGGGTCAGTCCTAGTTGTTTACAATGATTAGTGACAGCTGGGTTTCTAGCATTCAGTGAATGAAATAAAGGTAATTCTCCTTAGCTAGAACACTCACACATATCCCTTGGGAAGGTTTTAGAAACTATCATATTTTACAATGATGGGCTCAAATCCAAATGAAGTCCTTTCCGCTTCATTGTGAGACTTGCATTTTAACACACTTTATATTTATTGCTCTCACTACTCAGGTTCACTGAAAAAAAATTTGTTCTTCCTGCAGGCAGGGTATTTTCTTCTGTAGATTCACCCATCTCATTAGGTTGGGTTTCTTTGGTGTACATCTTGGAGCTGGTCTGTATCTTGAATTTGCCTGTATATTTGATTTCTGTAATCTTATTCAATTAAAATGATTTGATTTGATTTGAAAAATGTTTTAGCTGGAAGATATAAATCCTATAGCTTTAGCCTTGAGCTGTGGCTGTCCTTTGCATGTTAAGTCTGTTTTTTGGTACCAGTCATATAATGTCGTTCATCAGTGTTTACAAGACTGTTGGTATAGCAACCCAGTGCTATCCTTCAACATTAGCTGGGCAAAAAATAATAGAGTATGCCCTTTCCCAAAGACCCTTTCAGGTTAGATACTAATGCTTGTAGCTTTTTCTCGCCAACTGTTGTTGTGATGAAAAAACACGTGTACCTTTTTCCGAATGCTGTCTCTCATCAGAAGCTTAAACAATATTTTTTTTTCCTTCTTGGGAAATTGCCAACTAATTCCAGATCAAACTAGCGTATCAGCTTTATTGCCCTACAATTTTTTATCGCTGTTTTAAAGCCGCAGCCTTGCAGAACATGGGCACACTAAGGTTTTGGTACTAGGTGCATTTCCTTTGAAAGGTAAAACTCTTCGGATATTGTCACCGAACTCCATCATTGTTACATGCTGCAACAATTAACCTTAAGGGAAAGATGGAACAAGTTCTTCTTGCAGTATTTAGCATCTTAGTGCTTTTTAAGAGGCTCATGGCCAACATGTGAGTTTCTAAGAACTGTGCACCAGTATTTAGGCTGGTCAGAGGCTCTTCCTTCATTCCTCCTTTCTACCTTGTACTGTTTGCCTTGGAGTACTTAAGATTGGCTTCCTCTTGGTACCTGGATTTGATGTAACAAAGTGTTTAAAGAATTTCAATAAATAAAAATTAAATTATGTTTCTGTAGGAATCTGTGTAGTACATGTTTTTTCATGCCTTCGCATGTTTATTATGCTCGGTTTTCAAACAAGCAAGGGCCAAACCTTTCCAAAGGCCTTAATGCAGAATGCAAATAACTTACAAAATAGTGATGAACCACGATAATGTTAAAATGGGTGAAAGAAGGATGGTATGAAAAAGTTCATTTCAAGTACCGATATGGCAGATTTGTTGGGAGGTGGTCAGCATAAAATGTTAGTAAGTAAATAAAATGCTGACTTCTCCAGTTACATGAAGGGCACTAAGGTAAATCTTAGAAAATAGTCTTTCAAAGGCAGAACTACAATGATAAGGGGCTGCTGAAACTAGTACTGAATTGGAAACTTGAAGGACTGCATACTCTCGTGCAATACTCAGTATACTTTTACATTTAAAATTGCAAAGTTGCCTTTAAATATAAGTACTGTTTAGAGTTACTATAGGTCTAATACAGAGATGGGTTGTTAAAAACAGCATGCTTCTGGCATGCACTGCAGCAATAGCAATAGCACTTAGACTTATATACCGCTTTACAATGCTTTACAGCCCTCTGTAAGCGGTTTGTAGAGTCAGCTTATTGCCCCAACAATTTGGGTCCTCATTTTACTCAACTTGGAAGGATGGAAGGCTGAGTCAACCTTGGGCCTGGTGTGATTTGAATTGCCAAATTGCAGGCAGCCGCCAGTCAGAAGTAGCCTGCAATACTGCACTCTAACCACTGTGCCACCGTGTAAGTTTCCTCCCCCCCTTAAGTGCAGTGCTTAAGTAGGTAGAAGCCTACTCAAGAAAATTGAGTAGAAGCCTACTCAGTTTGTCAAGAAAGACAAACTGATCCCCATTTTAATCTGTATCGTATCTATTTTTTCTAGAGTATGTTATAGTTACACCACATTATCTTAGATTTACTCATCCTAACTGCATTTGTGCAACCTACCGAACTGTAAACTTAATCACACAAGCTTGGTTCGTCCAATGCACTGAACTACAGATTGACCAATTGGACTACGCAGTACTAGATATTGAATTCCAGAAATTTCTTTGGGAGGCCTGTGGGTATGCATGTACAGTAGCATACAGGTAGTCCTCAACTTACAACAGCTCATTTAGTCACCGTTCGAAGTTAACAATGACACTGAAAAGGTCACAGTTACGACCTTTGCAGCATCCCTATAGTCCAGTGTTTCTCAACCTTGGTAGCTTGAAGATGGGTGGACTTCAACTCCCAGAATCCCTCAGCCAGCGCTGCTGGCTGGGGGATTCTGGGAGTTGAAGTCCACCCATCTTCAAACTACCAAGGTTGAGAAACACTGCTATAGTCACATGATCAAAATCCCGATGCTTGGCAACTGGTTCATATTTATGAAGGTTGCTGTGTCTGAAGGTCACATGATAATCTTTTGCGACCTGACAGTCAATGGGCAAGCCAAGTAGCAAACAGATTACCAATTTATCAACTGCAGTGATTCACTTAACAACTGTGGCAAGAAAGTTAAAATGGGACAAAACAAATGTCTCGTTTATCAACAGAAATTTTGGGCTCAATTCTGGTCATAAGTCAAGAACTACCTGTATATCTTTTTCTGGGATTGTTCTGTAGTCATGGACAGGAAAATTAGCTTCTTTTTAAGGAATTTCAAATGGATGCTATTTTTGTTCCCCTGCATGTTCCAAGCTTTTCTTTTTGAAGTGAATCCATAACTTTTCTAACCAACCTCACAAAACAACATGGGTGAATTCAACTGCAGTCTAAATTTAAAAGTAGGATTTAATAACAGCAGCACATGTCTATACTCAGTGATGCTGTCAAGTCTGCTGACTTCAAACCACAATAATTTGCACTAATGTACCAGGTTTGGAATTAGGAATATGGTCAGACTTCAAGGCAGACCAGACCAGACCAGAAAACAGACTCTGCAAGGACTCATGGAATTATATTTTATTTTTGCAGAACTTCAACACCCCACCCCCATTCCATTACACCAGAGAGAATCTAGATAGAGCAATCTTAGATTTCTCTCGCTATCCTCCCTCTCAGGGTTAAACTGAGGTTTATGGAACTGATCTTGCATTCCTTCTTTCAGACTATTGCTATACTCCTCTATGGACATTTAAGTATATCTGCATTGATCTATAGATGCAACAGGAAATATTTTCTGCAAAGGAATCTACTTATTTGTCACAATTTCATAGGATCCAAAGTGCATAACATGGCAAACTTCATCAGTTTCTAGACAACTATCTATACAAAAATAACACATCCCACTATCCAGGTATTTCTGATGAATTTTCTCTGACTGAAATAGCTAATGTCACTCTGTTTGTCGTTTGTGCTCCTTGATTATTTACCTGTGGAAAAAATAGTTTGATCTTATAACACCATCCAACAGGAAGCAGTGGAGAAATTAAAGACTAAGGGTTGGATGGCATTTATCCAGATCTCTGGTTAAACATCTTTCTAAATTCTCAGAGTTAAAAAAGATCCCAATGAAACAAAAGGCAATTGAGGGGTGTCTGGTTATTTATCCCGATTTTTTTTAATGCTTGTGGGTAAAGGTGATAACTTTTATCAAAAGCAAAACAAAAATATCTGATGTTACACATTTGAATAATGAATTATTGTAACTACTATTCAAGTAAAAGAGGGTTAATCCATAACTGATGAATGGTATCTGATTCACTATATAGCATACTTGATATATAGCATATATATATATATATAATATATATGTTGTTTACCACATTTATAAATTGTATGTTATAAAAAGTCTCAAAATTTATTTTTAATGGCATTCAACTATCTGATATTTCCTATTCCAACTTTCTTTAGATAAACAAGGTTTTTCACTGGTTTATTTTTTCATGAACCTCTGAGGACCATTTAACAATGAATCTCCAAGAGTCCTTCAAGCATTGCCTCAGGATATAAATATGATAAATATTCACCTTGAACAATATGGTTCTGACTAGGAGTCAGTGTGGATTTGCAAGTCCACATTTTGCCAGGTTATAATCTTCCTTTTTTAAAATCAGGTAATTTCATTAATAGATTGTAGGTTGGATTCAATGACCCAGTTAGGATTCTATCATAGTATGAATCTTGCAGCACCTTAAAGACTAACATTATTAAATACTGCATGCATTTTCATGGATTACAGCCCCTTCGTTTCTGTAGCAGGATTGTCAACCTTTATGTACTTTCCCTTTGTCATGCATTTGTATTTTCAGTTATTGCTTCCTTATTTGCGGTTATTTTCTTCTTAACATTTCATGATGAAATCCCCTTTATAGCACTGCTAGAAAGTCTTGCCAAAAACCTGGATTCTGGGATATGATAGAGATACTAATAACACTCTAAATGTATCTCTGTACTCAATGATCTGGAATGCTTGCTTGTCTGAAGTGGTGATTACAGTACATTATTGCAGACCCTTGCTTGGAAAAATCATTGTTGCAACAATAGACAAATAGAGAACAATAGCTCTCAGTGAGGGAGGTGGAGTTTCTAATGGCCTTCTGAGAACAGTAAGAAGAGGTCTATAGGGGCAAATCTGCTGGGAGCTGAGCAATAGTTAGATCACCCAATGTGAGTTTCTTTCTCCCACCCCCCACTTCGCAGTCACCATATGATCTCAAGCAAAACAACAACTTGCAAATGGAAAACATAATACAAGCAATTCTCCCAGCCAAAGAAAACCTAAAACAGCCAGCTTTGGCTCTCCACTGCTTAGAAAATTAGGAGAGCTACAATCTTTCTTAAAACTGTGAGTACATTTCTACTTTAAAAGAGGTGCTTAAAAAACCAAGCCGCTCTGTAGCAGATGTCAGTAGGTTATATACAACAGAGTTTGTTCTTGACCTTTCCCAGTGTCCTCCTTGCAAAAGTAATTGATAATCATGGTTTAATTTTTAACCACAGCACTTTGGCAATATACCTTCCAGTTCTCATTTCTCATTAGGAGATGAAGAGGAAGAACAAGCTCCTTACTCTTTTTATTGAGTGGAGGCCCCACTCACTGCTTTCAGCCAAGTTTATTGTAACTGCACAGAGGGAAAATACATTGTTCTGCTCATTGGGCAAGGAAGGAGAAACAATTTACAGAGCTTGGTCAGATAATGGTTCATAGCAACAGCACCCTTCCCTTGGCACCCAGAGCCATCTTTGTCTTATCTAATCATAGTAGACAAAATGTCCATAAGTGTTCTCACATCTCTTCCCAGGTGTTCCCCTTCTGCTTTATCATACTGTATAACCTGTTGCTATCCTTATGCTTCTTTGCATCAGGCTAGTTCTTTTTAGCAAACTGAAGGCCAAGCTACCTCTTCGATCAGCTTTTCTCCTTCAGAGGAAGCCTGAGAAATGTGACTTTGCACATTATCTCAGTTCTAATGCAGCAGAGATGGGCAATGCCTTATGGGCTGTCACCTCTTCTTGATGTTGGAAATGGGTGAAAAACCCAGAGATGGAGCAATGACCCAGAAACTGAGGGAACCATATCAGGCACAGAGCGAGGTTGTATATTTTTCTTCGTGCTTTTGAGCAAAATATTGGGGAGGGGTGGGTGGAGTCTCTTCCTTTTTAAGAACTTAAAAACCAGGTAAGTCTACTTTAAAGCTTACACTATTTGTTTTAAGTCTCTTTCTCTATGTTAGCATTTTTTGGCAATCATGATAAAGAAGCGCCTCACCCTTGGGCCTATGTTGTGTAATGCATATTTCCATATAAAGTACCTCGCACAGTGTTTGTGCAGGGATTTCATTGCAAATGAAAAGATTTCCTGTATTAAAAAGCCTTCTTCATTAATTCTGATATTCTGATCCCTGGCTCATAGAATTCATTGTCACAACAATACTCTAGTCAGAGAAGAATAGTTTTCAGTGATGGAGGCAAAGTCTCTACTAGCCTTCTGAGGACAGGAAAAGCAGCCGTCTATAGGGCCAAATTTGCTGGGCGCTGACTAGTGTTTAGCTTATGCAACGGGAGCTTCTTCCTCTCTCTTCCCTCTTGCAGTCCCCATCTGATCTCAAATAAATCAAGAACAGCAACTTGCAATTGCAAAACATAGCACAAGCAGTTCTCCCAGCCAAAGAAAACCTAGAATAGTCAGCATTGGCTCTCCAGCTTCCCCACCACTTAAGAAATTAGGAGAGCACATAATCTATCCTAAATCAGTGAATAAATTTTCACTTAAAAAGTGGTACCTGAAAAAGCAGGTAGCCTGGCCCTATAGCAAGTAAGTGTCAATTTTCAACAGGGATTATCTTGGGGCCTATGTTATGAGATATATATTTCCCCATTTCTTTTCCACGTTCCTTTGCAAAAACCCTTGAAAGAATTCCCATTTGAAAAACCCTTCTTGATTAATCCCTATGTGTTTACACAATGATTGACATTGTGGGTGCTTCATCACTGGACATTTTTAAGAAGAGACTGGACAGTCACTTGTCTGAAATGGTACAGGATCTTCTGCTTGAGGAGGAGGCTGGACTAGAAGACCTCCAAGGTCCCTTCCGACTCTATTCTGATATTTGATTTAATGTGGAAAGTAGAAACAGGAGGCTGTCATCATCTAGAAAGTGGCAGGTCAGTGTTATTAGTAAATTGGAGACTTCTGAGGTCGCCAGGCCATAAGATAAAAAATTTGCTACTGTAGAACATCCCTGTACCCATATTTATGAGGTAACTTTGTTGTCATTGTGGTTATACAGTAGTGAATTCCTACATTTGTTTAGATCACTAAGGTCCCATATAATTGTTACATTCTATGGGTCTATTATGAGTTATATCAACATAAGGATGGTTGGGTGATGCTATAAATTATTAGTATGGAGGATTTTTTTTGTGCAATAATGATTCCTTACTCACATAATTTTATGGGAGATCTGAATGATGTCAATGTCCACATATAACCTTCTCGTATTGTAGAAAGAAATATCCTTCTGAGTTCAGTTCCAAGTGGGGAAAAAGACACTGGAAACATGGAGACTGCTTGGAAAGATGGTTTAATGGTGGACAGGATCACATGATTTGAGTTCCTGAACAGAAAAGGGCCGAGATGCAGCAAGTCCCTGGGTTTTATGCCCTCTCTGGCTTTGAACTTCCTGGGGCCTAGAAAGAGTATCCTGATTGGTTGTCAGACTCCCAGGGGGTGGGGGTCTTAGCTAGCCTTGCTGGCTGATGTAATCTTCCCAGGTGCCATGTGGTGAGTTTCTGTTGCTAGATGAGTCCTATTGTGTTAGTTTCTGTTGCTAGATGGGTCCTATTGTGTTGCAGATGATGGTCCATTGACAAAGATTGAGTTTCTGTCTCTGGCCCACTGACAAAGGGTGGGGGCAGGAAGATGGGAGCTGCTTCGGTTTTAAAATGAAACATTTCTCATCCAGGGAAACATAATATTCTGCCTTTTTTAATATTTCCTAAAATATTTCATTCTTCTAGGAAAGGGGTGGGTGCTAACTTCCTACAGTATCTTACTGTTATTTCTTCTATCTTTTTTATTTTTACTGAAAAGAAGGAAAATTGAAGAAAGATTAGAGTCAGTAACATTAAGAAGGTCATACATTCACCCAAATATAAAATTAGCAAATAATGTATAGCTTTAAATATTTGGAAGCAATAGGCATAAGTATTGGAAATAGAGCTAATAGATAACCCTCAGAAGTGTAGACTGCAAGGTAGTAATCTAAAATTGTGGGTATGGCTAGATGGCAAAAGGAACAATGATAAATGAAAGACAACACTGTCAGAGTTTGTTTCAGAAATCAAACATTCAGAAAGCACACACAGAGTAACTGATTCAGCAGGATTCATTAACTTCTCTTTATATACAATATAACACATGAAGATAAATGTACAATACCAGTAGCAGTTACAAGCAAAACACAAGCAGAATACAGCAGACTAGTCTGCAGCTTTAGAGCTCAGAACTTAATACAGAACCATGCCCAGGCTCCTTTCAGTTTCAGTTTCAATTCAGCAGAGCAGATCTCATTGGTTGACCTAGTTGCTATGCCTATTCATTGGCTGACCTTGTTATCATGTCTTCCCAGTAATGATACACACTGACAAACACTAATTGTTTGTGAATCTGATGGCTATATGAGCCAATCTGCTCATATAGCCATCAGATCTTCAGTTTATATTTATGTTGTACCACATTGCATTTTTAGTAGTTATCTGTTTTAAAACACAGTTTTTAGAATAGAAGGTAGTTGCAATGGTGTCAAAGGCCTTTAATGAATTTCTGTGGTGAACCTGATAATCCAACTAAATATTCCACTCAAAATAACCTGACCTCTTTTCCCACAGATTGCCTCGTTTTGCTGACCAACAGAATACGGTGGCCAAAGTGCATTTGACATTTTTCCATGAAACCCTGATAGATAAGAATAAAACGTGGACTGGATAATGCTACCATTGTGTTTGTGTGTGTGTCTTCAAGTCAGTGTTTACTCCTGGCAACTGCCTGGACCAGTTCCTGCAGTTTTGTTGACAAGATTTCAGAAGTGGCTTGCCATAGTCCCCTTCTTAGGGCTGAGAGAGAGTGACTGGCCCGAAGTCATCCAGCCGGCGTTGTGTCCAAGGTAGGACCAGAAATCACAGGCTCCTAATTTCTAGCATGGTGCCTTAACCTTTGTACCAAATTGACTCTAAACTGCTATTAGTTGGGTATAAAACTACTTGAACTATCATCCTAGTATATCGATGATTCAACTTCAGAAGTAAGAATTGAATTGAATTCCAGTCCAGTTCCATTTTGGCTCTGATCATGTTCATAAATAATTTGGATGAGGGTTAGAAAACACAATTATCAAATTTGCAGATGACACCAAAGTAGCATGGCAAACAACAGAGAATAATATCAAAATTTAGCAGGACATTGACAAGCTCATACAATGGGCAACAAACAAGCTGCATTTCAAGAGGGACATATGCATACGTGAAAGAAAAATCAGATGGCAGAAGTGGAGAAAACCATAATGGATAGCAGTACATGAATAATGGTTCTGGGTATTTTAATAACTTGCAGGCTGAATACAAATTAAATATAATATTCAGGGTTTTTTTTTGAAAGATGCAATTCTAAGCTGCAACATCATAAGCACAGGATCAAAATCAAGAGAGGTAATAGCTGCTTTCTATTTTGTGTTGGTCAGGCGATGTCTAAAACATGGCATCCAATTCTGGGGAGTTGAATTTTAGGAAGGACATTGATGGAACCAAGTGTGTCCAAAAGACAGCAACAACAATGATAATCATGAAAATTTCCTACCTGCAGATTTGGAGGAAGATGATTTTCTCAATTTACCTTTTTCATTCTCTCTGGGTCTCTTACAAATGTACTCCAGGGTTATGACAAACTCTCTGACCCAGCATGGGAGGAACTGCTGCAGAGACTGTGAAATTGGCAAAAATATATATCGTCCCTCCGCCTTAACCAGTAGGAATCTCTGCTGTTTGATGAACCTTCCACATCACTAAAAAAAAGGTCCCTCTTTCTCTCTTCTCTTGAACATAAGCACTCATACCCCCACACATGAACAAACAGGCCGGATTGCAGCTCTCTTCATACCTTGACCCTGCAATTCTCCCTGACTCAGCCAAACAGTAGAACTTGGTTGAGAAGTAAATACTGTAGATTTAAATCTACAGCCGTCCATTTTCTAATGGAAGCAATTCAAATTATTGCTTCAGTTTAGTTGCAGAAATATCTGTGTAAAGCAAGTGGAAGGAGCGAAAAATCACTTTAAGAAAGGAATTGATACCGTCGAACATCAGAAACTACTCAAACAGGTAAGTATCCAAACAGGAGGTCAGAAATCTTTCTCTCTTTCCCCTAACCTTGTTTTTCCTTTAAAAGAAGCAAAAGATTGTCATTTTTTTTATTGATTCAAGGTAGATTTAACTAACCAAGTCTGTTTTATTAAAAGTTATCTTTTTACATCTAAGAAATTTTGAATGTAAGAATATATAGTTTTAGATAAAATTTAACTTGCACGTTAAATTATGATTACGACTAAATAATAAAGAGAAAAGACTAATAAAAGGGAAAAGAATAAAAACAAGTACAACAAAATTATATACATAAAACTGCTTCTCACAGATGTGTATATGTGCATACATTTTATTATACATTTATACATTTTACACAACAGTTCCAATAAACGTGTTACATATGATCAGTTTGAGGTTTAGATGTATAATATTGCAATTTAATCTAATGGAACTATATTTCAACATGGATAGAAATGATGATATCTGATCAGTAACTGCTGCATTTTTACTTGGAGTTTTGCTTTTGAGAAAAAAAGCTGGAAAAAATACACTTGCCAGCTTTAATTGGAGGGGGTGGAATGAGAGGTTATGTTTTTTCTTACTTTATAAAGTGAAAAGGCAATGTAACAGCCTAAAGAACGCTGAAAGGGGTGAAAAACTTGGAAACAAAATCCTATGAAGATTGGTTAAAAGAACTGAGTATCTTTGTCTTAAAGGGAGCTATGGGGGTGGGAGACAGGATTGCAGTCTTTCAAGGGATGTCACTTCCAATGACATTCTATTAACAATCCTATCAACCATTCATGATAAAAAAACTTAGGTGGTAAACAATCAATTTTTTAAAATAAGACATTACTTGGAATAAAGTGAAAATTAATACGTTGAATGAGGGGTGTACAACCTGTAGACTATGTGCAGTCCCCAATACTTTGAGATGTGAAAATTATGGCAAAATAGCTGATTTTGTTTCCAAAAAAAATAAAAATAAAATGAGGTCAGGTGGCCTCAGGAAGCAATCATTTTCCATTTCTGCACCTAAAACATCCCCCAATCTTTTTTTTGTTCAAAATCCCCCAAATTACACTACCAAAATGTAGCAATTTTGCCAGTGAATTTCAAAAGCATGAATTGGGACTGTTTTTCAGAATTTGGGAGAACGTTTTAAAGGGTATAAATGGGAGCCGTCTGCTTTCCCAGGGCTCTTAGCTACCAGTTCAACTCCCTTACACTCTCTGAATGAGCTGATACAGTTTGGGCAAATGCCATCTAATGAAGGCACTGTACAATTCATGATTATTATTATTATTTTTTACTTTTGCTTTACTTGCTGTTTACTTCACTGTAAACTGTAGTTGTAAATGACTGGGCATCTTGGCAGATATGACAGGATGCAAATGCAATAAACAAACAAATGGAGCATTTTGTGGAATTAGTGTCAAAGAAACAAATATGCCAATCTGGATATTGTCTACATGAAAAATAGCACAAAACTGACTGCTAGATTTGAAAAATGTTTATAAAGGGTAAAAAAGTTGCAGTATCGATTATTCATGGCCACAACTGGGTTTAAATGAAAATCGGGTAAGGAAAAACCATTAAGATATATACTCATTTTTAAAATAACTTAAATATTTCTGTTTAATTAGTATGCCTGAAATTATATTAAGCTGCTATTAAATAGGAAAACATTGTTTTGAAATATATGTATGAATAAATGAAATAGGAGAGTATTTTTAGAGGTGTGCTAAATTATGCAATAGTTAATGAAAAATGAAGATATGTTTTCGGAAAAAGTATTAATACCGTCTGCTGTGGTAGTAAGATTCTGATTGTAGAAAGTCAAATGGTATTACTTAGATTTGTTAGCATGTGCTAAATAAAAATGTTGGAAATTAAGCAATGGAGATTCATCATGTCTTTGTTGACTTAGGTAGTTCAGAAGTTAGAAGATCCGTGAATCAATTAGGATCCTAAACATACTTCCTTATTAGGAAATCTATGTATGTATACACAGATACACACTCACACAGTGTCCATATTATACAGTATGTATGTGATTTATGTATATGTTGTTCGGGCTTTCAAAAAATAATAATGGAAGTATTACTGTAAAATTGTACTAACCCAGAGTATTAACAAGTAGCTGATAGCTCTGTTGAATAGCTCTGAAAGTCAAATTGTAACAGAATCCTTGTACCTCTCTCCAGATTGCCAGTCTATCGCATGATGGGTTTTTCCTAGAATATTCATTACAGGGTAAATTAGGGACAACATTTGAAGAAATGTACTATGGAATGCAGAGTACATGATTATACAAGAGTGTCCAACGCTGGACAAATAATCTAGTGAAGCAAGAGAAAGAAACTTTACTCTCCACCAGAGGTTTGTTGATTGCACTACTGGTATTCACACTGATATTTGCCTTGATGAATAAATTCAGATTGTTCATTTGGTTCCAGCTGATTTTTTACCCACAACAAGCCAGAGAAATCATGATTTCTAGAATACTTCATAGAAGTTTATTATCAAACCTGATTGTCTGCTAAATAAGTCAAACAAGCCACTAAAGATATTTGAAGCTTACTGAGATAATCTTCCCTCTGGTGAAACATCTATAAAAATTGCAATGGATGGCTTAATCATTCATAAATTAACTCTTTATCTTGGGGCTAAATGCCTTGTTGTATAAGCACCTCTCTTCTCAGTACAATTAAATACTGGATTGCAATTGACTCAGCCTTCATCCAAAATGCCCGACTTTGATGATCTTTTGGAACACATTGGGGAATTTGACTTCTTCCAGAAAAAGGTCTTTTTCCTTGTTTGCTTTCTCTCAGTTGCCTTCGCCCCAGTCTATGTAGGAGTTGTTTTCCTAGGGTTTATACCAGAGCACCGTTGTCGGACTCCAGGAGTTACTGAATTAAGCAACCGGTGTGGCTGGACTCTTGAAGATGAACTGAATCACACCGTTCCAAAAGGGACATCCAAAGAGGATACTTTCACCCCTCAATGCATGAGATACAACGTCAACTGGAATGAAAGTGGGCTGAGCTGTACAAATCCCCTGGAAGACTTCACCAGTCTGGAGAACAGGAGCCTCCTTGTGACCACTTGTCAAGATGGCTGGGTTTATGATGCTTCAGTCATATCCATTGTGACTGAGGTAAGGTCTTGCAGTTGTTTAAAATCTAATATAAAATTTTGTTTTAAAAATATATGCCGTGTGTCATGTTTTTCCACTTGGATTTATTCAACAAGAAGATAAATGCATTTCTCCAGGGGTGAAATGTAAAATTTGTTACTACCGGTTCTGTGGGCGTGGCTTGGTGGTGGTGATGGTAATGTGACTGGGTGGGCGTGGCCAACTTTTTTTTTTTTAAACTTTTCAAAGCATTTTTCTAATGCTTTAAAAAGCCTCTGCCGATCAGGCAACTCAGCTGGGATCATCAGAGACTTTTCAAAGCATTTTTTTTACCACCTCTTCGGCCAAGAGGTTGCAGAAAAAAATGCTTTGAAAAGCTTCTGACGATCCCAGCTGAGCCGCGCGATCATCAGAGGCTTTTTTTAAAAAAACTTTTCAAAGCATTTTTTTGTCGGAAGAGGTTGTAGAAAAAATGCTTTTAAAAGTAAAAAAAAAAAGCCTCTGATGATCGTGTGGCTCAGCTGGGCATGTGGGGGGATAGGGACGCAGGGATTTTTGCTACTGGTTCTCCGAATCACCTGCCGCCATCGCTACCGGATCGGGCGATCCGGTCCAAACCGGGAGCATTTTACTCCTGCATTTCTCCCATGGCTACTACAGAGAATTCTAGAATATGCATGCTCAGGAGTTAGACTTTGTAAACATTATAAAGTGTAATCTAAACTGATTTATCTCTCTCTCCATGTTTGTGCATGCGCATGTGTACATGTGCCTTTGACTCAATGTTTACTCCCGGTGCCTGCCTGGACTAATACCTACAGTTTTGTTGACAAGATTTGGAAATGCTTTATTATTGCTTGCTTCTTAAGGCTGAGAGGAAGTGAATGGCCTTAAGAAGCACTAAATTGTGTTGGATGATCCCAAGCTAGGGGTGAAATCCAGCAGGTTCTGACAGGTTCTGGAGAAACTGTAGCGGAAATTTTGAGCAGTTCAGAGAACCAGTAGCAGAAATTTTGAGTAGTTCGGAGAACCGGCAAATATCACCTCTGGCTGGCCCCCAGACTAGGGTGGGAATGGAGATTTTGCAATATCCTTCCCCCAGGAGTGGGGTGGGAATGGAGATTTTGCAATATCCTTCCCCTGGAGTGGGATGGGAATGGAGGTTTTGCAGTATCCTTCCCCTGCCATGCCCACCAAGCCACGCCCACCAAGCCACGCCCACAGAACCGGTAGTAAAAAAAGTTGGATTTCACCACTGTCCCAAGCATTATTTGCTAGCATGTGAAATTAAGAATTTTATATTATGGCTTATATATTTGATTTTTTTTTATTGGATTGTATATTGATTTATTTCAGTCTGTTGACCACAATTTTTTCCAGATTTGCTGGCATAGCTTGATTAGAACTTTTCTTCTTTTGCTTGCTATATTTCAGTGGGTATTCCATCTCTTCCTATAGCCTTCCAAATTGATAATGACCAGAATGCTGATCTAACTTCATCTTCTAGTCCTAGAGATTTTTGTAACTAGGGAATATGTTTCCAGGCATCTTGGATGTTGATATCTCTACTGTAATCCTCAATATACTCCTTCAATTTTTGTTTGATTGCTTTTAAATTACTTGTAATCTCTTCACTGGAATCATTCACTGAATTCAAGGTTGGAATTAGTTTAGAGTTTTTTTTTTCATGTCTGTTGCCATCCTCAATGTCTTCACTAATACCGTTATAACACATGTCTTGTCTAGTCTGATAGTTGTCTGAAAACTCCTAATCCATAAGGGGAGGATAATCAAAAAAGAGAAAGCATTTGCTGGTTATGACATTAAAGGATCCACAGGATAGATAACTGGATTGAGGACAGCCATAATGCATTTGTTTCATTGACTACATGTATGCATGTTATATAATCAAGTGTCAACACCGTGGAAGATGTCCATATCCTATATAGTTATGAAGAAACGGACTTGTCATTTAAAAAATGCTGAATTGTCATTTCCTCATTTTGAAATCCTTTTGACATGTTTTCTGAACTTGTGGTAGTTATTTCCTGGACTGTGACTTGCTCCTCTGGAGAAGATGAGAGTGGAGGGCCTTCACTTGCTACAGTTTAGTTTTGCACTGTTTGTCTTGCCCAACCTTCCTGCAGAACAATCAGTCGGCAACCCACCGTTGATTAGGGCTCCCAGATATCATTTCGGGAACCTCTTCCCTGACAGTCCCAATTTCTGTCACTAAACAAAGCAGGTACTAAGTGAAACCTCAGGTGACTGCACTGCACCATGTAGTGACTGCATTTCTGGTAGTCTCCATCGCAGTTGTTAGACCAGAACCATGACATCATTAGGTGATTCGCTCCTCCTGCCCTGATGCACACACTTCCATTTCAATTCCTCTCAAATGTCCACCTCTCCCCATCTTTGCCCTTTTGACTGCCTTCGTTCTGCCAATCTTGCTGCCCCCAACTGACCTTTGCCATCTTCTTCACCCAGTTGGCAAGGCATGTCTGGTCCGGCCTTTCACAAGGCAGCTGCTGGCCATGTGAGGCCTTCCCAAGGCTTACATCAGTATTTTTTGTTTCTTTGTAGAATGAAATTTCCTAATAGCAATAGCAATAGCACTTCGACTTATATACCGCTTCACAGTGCTTTACAGCCCACTCTAAGCAGTTTACAGAGTCAGCATATTGCCCCCAATAATCTGGGTCCTCATTTTATCGACCTAGGAAGGATGGAAGGCTGAGTCAATCTTGAACCGGTCAGGATCAAACTCCTGGCTGTGAGCAGAGTTAACCTGTAGTATGGCATTATAATCACTGTGTCACCACAGCTCTTGAGAAGAAGTCGTACCATGAGGAGTCATATGTTTCTGGCAGAACACAAATGAGATAAGAAAAAAAAAACAAATTAATTAATTAATGCATGCATGCATGCATACATACATTTTACCAAACAGTATCTTCCTTTGTCTTCCCTAATTGCTTGAATCCCGGGAGAAAACTAAAGGTCTGACCTATTCAGCAATAATTTAGTGGTACACAACCAAAAATAACAACATTTTGGAGAAGTTGTTCTCCTAAATTTGGAGCAAAGCAGTTGGCAGGAAGGGTTGTGGGGATGAATCTGGTTTATTTGGTTTTATCTGTTTCCCCTTTCCTTGTAGATTTCTCTGTGAACAGCTCTTAACTGTCTTAATGATTATAACTAATTTTACTTCTGTTTTTTTTGTCTTCTCAGTTTAACTTGGTTTGTGAAGATTCCTGGAAACTAGATGTGTTTCAGTCGGCTGTGAATGGTGGGTTTCTGGTTGGATCTATATTCGCTGGCTACATAGCGGACAGGTGGGTACATCATTCAATTTTGTTAAAACTAAATATGAATGACGGAAAGTAAGGATTGGTGAAATGAAAAAAACCTGTTCTGAAAGTGGGTGAAGGGGTAAACTGCCTCCACTAGAGTAGATAGAATTAAAAATAAGTGAATAGTTTATTTGGGATGCAACTGAAGTGAGACAATACTGAAAGGAATATTTAGAGATTGGTTCCAGAATAATAGTGATTACGTCAAAGACTCAAGTTGAAACAAATGCTGAGAATATTTTTGACTAAGAAAAAACTTTGAGGAAAATTATAAAAGCTGTGAGCATGCCGAAAGCTGGGAAGGCTGCAAAAAATCATACATCAAAGAAATATTAAAATACGGATGTGGTTAGCTGATGGTGTATTTGTGTACTTATTCTGCACCTATTTCTGCTGGTTTGAAAAATGTTACTCCTAAGAATAATGGAAAAGTAAGAAGCATGAAAGCCAAAACTACAAAAGGATTCATATGATGAAGGTTTGGAAATGGTGCATGGCAGCATTCTGACATAAGGATACAAGAGTGACAATCAGGGAAAGGTAGGAAACACAGCATCACTATATCCTAGGCAGAAATTCTGCCAAAGGAATTTCTACTCTTCAACAGATCACTGAGAAGTGTCTGAATATGATCAAGAAAGTGAGCCAATTTAGAGAAAGCATATGGTAAAATGAATAAGCTTGAAATACAGGTAGACCTTGACTTATGCCCACAATTGGGCCCAAAATTTCTGTTGCTAAGTAAAACATTTGTTAACTGAGTGTTGCCCCATTTTGTGACCTTTCTTGCCACAGTTGTTAAGTGAATCACTGCAATTGTTAAGTTAGTAACACGATTGTTAAGTGAATCTGGCATTGACTTTGTCAGAAGGTCGCAGAAGGTGATTTCATGACCCCAAGGCATTTCCACCATCATAAAAATATGACTCAGTGGCCAAACATCTGACTTTTGATCATGTGACCACAGGGATGCGCAGTGATTGTAAGAAAAATGGTCATAAGTTACTTTTTTCAGTACCGTTGTAACTTTGAACAGTCACTAAATGAACTGTTGTCATTCGAGACCTACCAGTATGGAATTTTTGTGAGATTATGTAATTGAAGTTTGATTGAGGAATGCAACTATATACAATATATGATTTAAATAAAGCATGTGTGGGAATACATAAATTGCACAGGAGGTTAGATAAGTATCCTTGTCTATTTAATAAAAGCATAAGGAATGTTTGTGATGGTGATGAAGTAGATTGGTAGAGGATATGAATTCAGGAATATTGTGTATTGTCAATTGAGACCTGTATGTTAATATATGAAACAAGGCAGACAGTTCTGAAAAGTAATGTACCAAAGACCAAGCAAATTATATTTGACAAGAGAAATAGGTTTTACTTGTGCTAGCTTTTTGCAATGTATGAGAACATGTCTTCATATGCATATACAAACTTGTATAATATTGGTTTTTACAGTTGGTGTCAATCAACCAATGATGAGGTTTGGGCTGAATAGCCGGGTCTAGTTTTCTGGTGCTGTTGCTCATTTTGAAGACACCAGCCACAGCTGCCTGCAAACATCAGGATGCCAGAAAACTATACCCTGGCCATTCAATCCAATGGTGAAATCCTCTGCGGTTTGCCACTGGTTCACTGCCTGCGCACGCGTGGTGTGCGCCAAAGGCACGCTGCATGCGCAGATGCGCAGTGCACACCAAATGCACACTGCGTGCACATGCATGAGCAGTACACGCCAAATGCATGCTGCGTGTGCATGCGCAGTGCACACCAAACGTGCGCTTCAAGCGGAAAAAGGACACTTAACAAGGTAAGTAGAACAGCAGGGAGGAAACAGCTGTTTAGATTCGCTAGAAAGTAGGATTTCCTGCTTTCTAGCGAATATAAATCGCGCTTCACAGCTGATTGTCGGAAATACCGGTTCAGACCAACCGGTAGCTTTTATCACTACCAGTTCGCCCAAGGATTTCACTGCTGATTCAATCTAAAACTTCATCTCTGGTTGGTATTTGTATAAACTCATACATACACTTCAGGGGTGGGTTCTACTTACCTTTACTACCGCAGAATGCGCAGAAGCGTTCTGATGATGTCGGGATCGGTGGGCTGAGCCTCCCTCTGGTTTTACTACCGGTTCTATAGAACTGGTCCGAACTGGGGGCAACCCACCACTGATACACTTATGCTTACACTCTCCATATAGGATACTTTATACTTTCTGGATACTTTATACTGTACTTCTAACTAAACTGAAGAACTGAACATTTGATAATCTAAGTGAGTTTATGGAGCAAAGCTTAACTGAGTACAAAATATATGTTTTTCTACTAGAGCTCTTTATCTTCAAAACTGCAACATCAAATAAAATATAAGCCAGATGGTGTGCTAATATATTGTTATTATAGTTTGCTATCCATAATTATTTGAGACTTCCAATTACAGGAAGTCCTCGATTTAACAGCCACTCATTTAGTTATTATTCGAATTTATGATGGTGCTGAAAAAAGTGACTTATGACCAGTCCTTGCATTTATGACTGTTTCAGCATCCCTGTGGTCATTTGATCAAAATTGGGAAACCTGGCAACTGCCATGTATTTACAATGATTACAGCAGATCACATCAGAGGTGGTATTCAGCAGATTCTGACCAGTTCTGAAGAAGCGGTAGTGGAAATTTTGAGTAGTTCAGAGAACCGGTAAATACCAGCTCTGACTGGCCCCACCCCCATCTATTCTCTCCTCCTGAGTCCCAGCTGATCGGGAGGAAATGGGGATTTTGCAGTAATCTTCCCCTGGAGTGGGGAGGGAATGGAGATTTTACAGTATCCCTGCTCCTGCCACGTCCACCAAGCCACGCCCACAGAACCGGTAGTAAAATTTTTTGAATCTCAGTGACCTTCCCAGCTGGATTCTGACAAACAAGGTTAAAGGGAGAAGGTGAATTCATTTAAAAGTCACACAATTCACTTAATAAATGCAGTGATTTGCTTAATGACAATGGCAAAAAAGTTTGGCCACAACTCACTTAATTTGCTTAATGACCATCTCACTTAGTAACTGAAGTTCCAGTTCCAATTGTGATGGTAAATTCAAGGCTATTTATAATATCTATTTCAGATGTATTGTAAAAGAACAGAATAATGGACTAACCATACAACTACAGGTGAAGTGATAATATAGAGGAACATACAAAGTTTGGAACACATCTACATGTAGAGTTGATGTCTTACATATTTGCTAACTATTCTGACAGCCACAACTTAGGAAAATAATATTACAAGGAATTATCTGCAAAAAATCCCAATATTCTAAAATGAGGTTTTTGATGGAGAGAATAAACAGAGATTAAAATCCAAACTGGTATTCAGATCTTGGCTTGTAAAGACCTTGTACTACTGCTTTATATACCTGCTGCAGGTACTAATTGCTGGGTGACCTCTTCCTTGTTAAGTTTCTTAAAATTTGTTTAAAGCTTGCTAAAAAGACCAGTGGTAAAAAAACCCCGCTTTCCTCTGGATGAGGAGAAGAGAGGATAAACAAAATAAAGCTTTATTTATTCTTCTTTCCATGGTGCTTTGTTCTTGAATATTATGTTGTTTTCCAGTGCATGATTCTCAATGGGATTTGTTAGTTTAGCTGAAAGCAACAGGGATTCCACCATACCTAGCCCTAAGAAGCTAATAATGTTCCCAGTGTCTCCTCTCACATTTCCTGCCAAAGCGGCACCATCCTTCTAGTCTTTTTTTAAAAAGCTTTATAGAATTCCTTTCTTTTTCAAACTGTTATCCTAATAGTCAAATTTTCAGCCAACTTTTTAAAATAAATGTATAATGAAAGGTACACTCATGCCAGCATGCTTTTAGGATAAGCAATTTTTTGCAAAGTGCAAAAAAGTAAGAAGCAAGAAGAAAATATCTATGGGGATTCTCAATCATCCAGGTCATGGTTTTCCCAAAGGTGCTTCCCTCCCCCTCAAAAGGCAACTGGACTTTTTTTTTTCTTTGAAAATGTTTCACTTCTCATCCAAGAAGGGGCGGGATACAACCAGTGGTGGGATTCAGCCAGTTCAGGCCAGTTCAGGCGAACCGGTAGTTAAATTTCTGGGTGGCCCTGCCCTTCCCGCCCCACCTTTTCAGGAGTTCCCACGGATCCCATTTTTGCTCCCAGGAGGTTGCAGGAAGGCCTAATAGGCCCAAAACGGGGTGTGGCGGGGGGAGGCCCGGCCCCCTGCGTCCCATTTTTGCTCCCAGGAGGCTTCAGGGAGGCCTCCTAGGCCCAAAATGGGCACGGAAGCAAGGGCCCCCCTGTGGCCCATTTTTGGTCCCAGGGGGGTGCAGGAGGCCGAGTGCTGTCTGTAACATCCCCTGGCCACGCCCACCATGGCCACCCCCACCCAGGCAGTCATTAGGGCAGAGAATCAGTTGTTAAATTATTTGAATCCCCCCACTGGATACAACACCACCTATCTCCATTTACAATGGAGTCTTTTCAGCAGTCCCAAGAAAGTTGCATACTTATTTACACTCTGATTCACGTGATCCTGAGGACACAGGAAAACCCTCAAGTGGCCTCAATGACTCTCAAATTTTAACCATTTGTGGATAATGATTTAAGGGTGAATTACTTCTGTTATCACACTTCGAAGTCTATATTATTGCTTTATTAAACATATGGCAAACGCAGTTAAAATTGTTTCAACATATATATTTTGATTGGGGTTAAGGCAAGGTTTTGCTCTCCTTGTGCCAAACACAACTGGAGCCTCAGTTTTTAATCTGTACTTTAAAAGCATTGGTTAACAGTTTGAAAAAAAGAACACGTGCTTGAGGAACAAACATTAATTCCTGCACATACACATACGTGTATACACTATGTCCCAGGGGTAAAATCCAGCAGGTTCTGACAGATTCTGGAGAACCGGTAGCGGAAATTTTGAGTAGTCCGGAGAACCGGCAAATACCACCTCTGGCTGACCCCAGAGTGGGGTGGGAATGGAGATTTTGCAATCTCCTTCCCCCAGGAGTGGGGTGGGAATGGGGATTTTGCAGTATCCTTTCCCTGGAGTGGGGTGGGAATGGAGATTTTGCAGTATCCGTCCCCTGCCATGCCCACTAAGCCACGCCCACAGAACCGGTGGTAAAAAAAATTGGATTTCACTACTGCTATGTCCCTTTGACTGATGGGTATCAAGATTATTGAAATATTTTTTGCCTTCTCTTCCAGGTTTTGTAGAGTTTTACTATTCCTAAACCTGGTGAATAAACAAAACAAAATTAGAGTGCAGATAAGGTATAAATGTCTCATCAGAGAGAAGAATACAAAATTGGGCCTACAATGCTTTATATTGCTGTGAACACTGCCACCTTGTGTTCAGATTCACTACTGTTAATCAAACACTATGATGCAGGCTGCTTACTATTGCTGAAGAAAAACATTTATTCCTTTAGGCAAGGCTGCTCAGCTAGTGGTTTTGTCAGCCGAGGCAGGGATGCATTCATCATAATCCATTTTTATTCATGATGTTCAAGAAATAGAAAAGAATAGAATAGAATTTTATTGGCCAAGTGTGATTGGACACACAAGGAATTTGTCTTGGTGCATAGGCTCTCATAAAAGAAAAGAATCATAAGGTACAACACTTAATGATAGTCATAGGGTACAAATAAGCAATCAGGAAACAATATCAATATAAATTGTAAGGATACAAGCAACAAAATTACAGTCACACAGTCATAAGTGGAAGGAGATGGGTGGTGGGAACGATGAGAAGATTAATAGTAATGCAGACTTAGTAAATAGTTTGAGGGAATTATTTGTTTAGCAGAGCGATGGCATTCGGGGGAAAAACTGTTCTTGTGTCTAGTAGTTCTGGTGTGCAGTGCTCTATAGCGTCGTTTTGAGGGTATGAGTTGAAACAGTTTATGTCTAGGATGCGAGGGGTCTGTAAATATTTTCACAGCCCTCTTTTTGACTCGTGCAGTATACAGATCCTCAATTGAAGGCAGGTTGGTAGCAATTGTTTTTTCTGCAGTTCTAATTATCCTCTGAAGTCTGTATCTGTCTTGTTGGGTTGCAGAACCAAACCAGACAGTTATAGAGGTGCAGATGACAGACTCAATAATTCCTCTGTAGAACTGGATCAGCAGCTCCTTGGGAAGTTTGAGCTTCCTGAGTTGGCGCAGAAAGAACATTCTCTGTTGTGCTTTTTTGATCACGTTTTTGATGCTAGCTGTCCATTTTAGATCTTGCGATATGGTAGAACCTAGAAATTTGAAGAAAATTGAAAAATTCTTAGTAACTCAAAACTTTAGTTCAGCACACTACATTAATCTAACACAGAGCTGGGAAGTGTAGGATTCAGTGTATTGTGGGAGACCAGTCATAATCTTAGCAGGTTGTATGAATTATAAATCATCGGAAGCCATATGTGCCTAATTTAGTTGGGCAGAGTATTTTATATGAGCAGAGCAAATTTGAATCTGGGTTTAGGGTTTAGATGTTGTGTGAACTCAGGCAGCAAATAATGAACTTAGAAAGAGCTAAACAAATTTGATAGAATGAGACAGTTGGAAGATACCTTACAAGTATATCTCCTACTCAGGGCAGAACAGGTAGTCCTCCAGTTACAACAGTTTGTTTAGTGACCATTCAAAGTTACAACAACACTGAAAAAAGTGACGTATGACCATTTTTCACACCATGTGAGAAATGACCATTGCAGCATCCCCATGGTCACATGATTTACATTTGGCTGCTTGACAATTGGTTCATATTTATGACAGTTGGGGTGTCCTGGGGTCATCTGATCACTTTTTGCAACCTTCAGGCAAGAAAGTCATTTTGGAAAGCCAAATTTACTGAACAACCATGATACTAACTTAACAACTCTAGTGATTCACTTAAAAATTGTGGCAATAAAAGTCATAAAGTGGGGCAAAACTCACTTAACAAATTTCTCACTCAGCAACATCAATTTGGCGTTCAATTACAATCATAAGTCAAGGACAACCTATATCACTAGGGCACCTTAAGTAGAACTTCAGCATATGATTTGCCTTGTATCTTTCTGAGCACACGTATCTATTGCTTCTCTTAATGCAGATTTGGTCGGAAAGTAAGCCTTTTAATTTCTGTCCTGGTAACTACAATCTCTGGAGTACTAGTTGCCTTCTCACCAAGCTACTTATGGTCTGTGATATTTCGTTTCATCCAAGGCCTGTTCTGCAAGGGCAGCTGGATGGCAGGTTACAGTTTGCGTAAGTATGACACTTTTCTACAGATTGGTATTCTGTGAGAGGACAGAATCTAACATATTAGTGGAACCCATTTAACTCTTTTAAAGATTAAAAAGAGAATTAATCTTTAACACTGTTTCCTAAATTAGTAGTAATCAAGTCCAACTCTAATAAATCAAACCTATTCTTGGAACTCAAATCTAAAGTTTTGAATACATTTAATAATTCCAGGGAAAAATGTCTCTGAAGCTTTAAAAAATCATTTTGCATTAGATTTAAAAAAAGGTAAAGGTTTCCCCTGCCTAATCATGTCTGATTCTAGGGGGCAGCAGTGCTCATCTACGTTTCTTAGTTGAGGGAGCCACCATTTTCCATGGTCATGTGGCCAGCATGACGATATGCCAAGGAACATGAAACTCTGTTATCTTCCCACCAAAGTAGGAAGTATTTATCTATTTGAGAAGTATTTGCATGCTTTTGAACTGCTAGTTAGATAAATTGGCAGAAGCTGGGGCAAAAACGGGAGCTCACCCCTTCATGGGGTACTTAGGTCTTAAACTGCCAACCTTTTGCAGCCTTATTAATTTGTGATACTTTTGCTACAAGGTATATTAATATGCTAAAGTTAAAGTCTTCCTTCTCATGACCAGATTAAATTAAATCTATCCATGTCTTGAGCCAGCAGGGTGATCTACCAGCAATGAAAGCTGCTGTTCCTGCCACAGTCCTAATGCCAAAAACGTGCGCTGTTCCTATTGAATGTCTACAAGACACGTTAGGGACAAGGAATTATAGATTTCCCCAGGCTTGTTTCCCTCCTTTCCTCTCCCACCAAACATTATCATCTGGGGGAGAAACATACATCAATCATGAGGAGGTGGGATAAAACCAGATACGTTTTCTGCAAGAGTTTTGCATGAGTGTCTTCAAAAAGTGCTAATTCAGGGTTCAAGAAGAGCTGAATAGAGATATAGCACTGGTTCCAGAAGTGCACAAATCCAAAGGAGCCTCATTACCAGTTGACAACTGAGTGTCTGGAAAAGTTTTAAACCTGGGTTCCAGAGCTTATTAGTTTTTTATTGTTTGAAACAAATGTGCTTTCCACTGTTTTTTTTTTTTTTTTGCTTACAAGCATTCTTCCTAATCAAAGCCTACAAAAAAGCTATTTCTCAATTAAGAATTAATATGGAAAGTCCTCATTTTATTTTCCAGTCACAGAAATTGTTGGTCCAAGCTACAGGAGGACTGTGGCCATTCTCTATCAACTAGCATATGGTTTTGGCCTCCTCATCCTCAATGGTTTGGCTTATGCAATTCCCAACTGGAGATGGCTTCAACTTGCTGTTACCCTTCCAATGTTCCTTCTCTTACTCTACTACTGGTAAGAACGTCTTGCTTAGAGTCAGTCTTTTGCCTATAATATCCAAGGAATAGATGATAATAATAGATAATAATAATAGATAATAATAATAATAGATTATTATTATTATTATTATTATTATTATTATTATTATTATTATTATTTTATTTCTATACCGCCCTTCTCCCAAAGGACTCAGGGCGGTCTACAGCCTATTAAAAACACAAAACAACATCAGTTAAAATAGTTTAAAATTATTAAATGAATTCGGCTAAATTTTAAAACCCCAGAAATTTAAAAGCCAATCTAAAATTGTTATGTTGATAGCCCAGTCTGGCGGAACAACAGGGTCTTGAGTGCACAACGAAATACCCGGAGGTCGGAGATCTTACGTATTTCTGGGGGCAGTTCATTCCACAGGGCTGGGGCTCCCACAGAGAAGGCCCTCCCCCTGGGTGTCGCCAGCCGACATAACTTGGCCAATGGCACCCTGAGGAGGCCCTCTCTGTGGGAGCGAACTGGCCGGTGGGAGGCTATTGGTGGCAGAAGTCGGTCTCGAAGGTACCCGGGTCCTATGCCATGGATTCTCCATGGATGGAGAATCTCTGGGTGATATTAGATTCCAACATCCAGCAGCTATGTCTACCATGGCAATTTTGAAGGATTGTGGAAGCTGTAATTTAACAACACCACAAGCCCCAGAATTATTTGCTTATTTCTAATAAATGAGTAAGCTTGATTCTCAGTAACTCATCTTCCTCTCTTCTGCATATAAGTGAATTATTTCTATTTAGTGGCTGTTTTTCACAAATTACTAAACCACTAAGCCAGTCTAGCCTAAATCATGGTTGCCACCAGAGATCCTAAGAACTAGAGTGATCAAGGATAGACTTAGAGATGAGTTTATTATAATAAAAACATTCTCCTTTTTGAGAGGCATGTGTGCTGAGATTGCCTTGAAGCAGGGGTTCTCAACCTTTTCTTTACCACAGACAACCTTTAAATCCTTAAATACTGGCTAGTGGCTCAGTGGCTAAGACACTGAGTTTGTCAATCAGAAAGGTCAGCAGTTCGGCAGTTTGAATCCCTAGTATAGGTCTCCTGTGTGAGCAGGGGGTTGGTCTAGATGATCTCCAGTGTCCCTCCCAACTTGGTTACTGTTACCTGTTACTTTTTGTGGTCATGGAACATGGCCACAGACCCCCAAGTCTTAACCAAGATTTAAATCATAATATTTCTTCAAGCCTTCGCAGACCCCCTATGATGACATTGTGGCCCATTGTGGTCTGTGTCCCCAGGGGTCCACAGACCACAGATTGAGAACCATGGCCTTAAAGGATGATTATCTGGTATCAACAGCCTCCCCTGAAAAGCTTATTTTTATTGCTGTAAGTGTAAGCCAATAGAGGCTGCAATAGGCATTGTCACAGGGGTGAAATCTAAATTTTTTTGCTATGGTTCTGTGGGCGGGGCTTAATTAGTGGGCGGGCTTGGTAGGAAGGTGACTGGGAGGGCGTGGCTTATTGGTCAGGTGGGCGTGGCCAAGTCAATGTCACTTCTTTGCCCTTTTTTAACCTATAAAACACAACACAACACAACTGGCTCACCCACAATGTAAAAGCAGCTGTGATAGAGCAAAAATGGCCCCTGCAACAAGCAGGAACCTCACACAGCCACAAAAAGCCCAAAAAAACAACTTTCACACTTTACACACACAAAATTCCACATACAGCTTTGTGAGATTTTGTGTGATTGTGTAGTTAGAGTGAAACACTACAGAAACACACTAAATCTCAGAAAGCTGCACAAATATTATTTTATTTTATTTTATTTTTATTTTTATATAAAAGCAGCTACATTTAAAACTTCCTAAACTTTAAATGGCTAGGTCTAAAAAAAGAACAACTAAAAAAAACTCCAATTAACTATTTTTTTAAAGCTCCCAAAGGGGAAAAAAACTTACCCAATTGAACAGGGGTCTCCAACCTTGGTAACTTTAAGACTTGTAGACTTCAACTCCCAGAATTCCTCGGCCAGCTTTGCTTTGCTGGCTGAGGAATTCTGGGAGTTGAAGTCCACAACTCCCTGCCTGCTTGATTGCAGGCAGAGAGATTCAGTTGCTTGCTGATGCAATGGATTGCAGGGATTACAGCAAGGCGTTGCAACCAGCAGCTAAAATAAGCAAGATGAGGGGGGAGGGGGAGGGATTTTGATGAGGGATTAACAGGCAGAGCCATTTAAAAGGAAAAAGGTTTTTTTCTTTTACATGGCTCTGGCAAGCCAAGCTGAGTTGCCTGATTAGCAGGCAACTTAGCTGGGATCGTCAGAGCTTGGCTGATCAGAGCCATTTAAAAGAAAAAAAAAGGCTCTGATGATCACACGGCTCAGCTGGGCATGGGGGGCGGTGGCAGGGATTTTTGCTACCAGTTCTCCGAACTGCCCGCCACCATCGCTACCTACTCACCCGAGCCGGTCCGAACCGGGAACATTTCACCCCTGCATTGTCACCAATAAGGGGCCACTCCAGCTTCAAAGGTTGTGCTGCCTGTGACCTCAAACAAGTCACCTTTGAGCAAAGAAGTGAACGAAACCAAGATTATGTAGTCATAGTCATCTATTTCTCAAGAAGTAAACAAAAACCCAGGCCCCTTTTCATCCTACAAGAATAAAATAATGTTTGTGTTGCATCCAACAATTGATTTGTGAATAGCCAGGAACAATAGGTAATTTTCACTGCTTGCTTCTCCTACATCTCCATTTCCTTCTGAATTATGTTACTGCTGTTTAACCTGTCCCGATAAGCATAGCTATGGAAGTATTCCTTTTATGGAATAATGCTGTTTGTATCACATGACAGTTTACACCACAATAAACTGGTTATATCTTTAAAGTGCAACAAGCCTAAATTAATGCATGTAGAAGAAGGTAGAAGTCTGGTCCCACCCTATGAGCTTGTTTTTTGCCATGAGCATTTCTGGACCAGACCAATGATTCCAGTTCTTTTGTAGGTGCCTCCCTGAGTCACCCAGGTGGCTGATCACTCAAGGACAGCATGCCCGAGCTATGAAACTCGTGGATGAAATTGCTAAAAAAAATGGAAAAGTTGTACCTGCCTTTTTTGAGGTGAGTCTTAAACACTACCATGTTTCCCCAAAAATAATACCCTGTCTTACATTTTTTTGAACCCCAAAATAAGTGCTTGGCCTTATTTTTGGGGAGGTCTTATTATTTTGGGGCACGTGGAACAAGTTGGGGCTCCTCTTGCCATCTTACCTGATTTCCAGCTTTGAGTTTAAATATTTTCAGGGAGGGCTTATTTTCGAGGGGAGGCTTATTTTAGTGCATGCACTCCAAAGCCCAATTGGGCTTATTATCAGGGGATGTCTTATTCTGGGGGAAACAGGGTACATGTGCTTACTTATCATTGGTAGGCTATTGTCATAGGATGTTGTCGCAGTCCATTAATCTTCTGCTGATCGTCTTCCACCTCTGCCTCATTAGATGGATTTGAATCTTTCAGTGGTGGGTTTGAGCAGACAGATGGACAGTGGGTGGTGTCTCCTACACATTTGCACTACCCCGTTCTCCATTCTTTTGCAGCTGCCCATACCTTCTAAAATGAAAAGGCCCCAGGACAAAACTTATCATATGATTTCTTGCTCTGGCTTTAATTGAGAGATAGAGAGCAGAATGCAGACTGCCAGAAAGATGCATCTACCATGAATGATAGGACATTTCATAGGCATAGTGTATCTCTTCCTAACCATGATAAGCATAAATAATCCCATAATCATGATAATGTCAGTGAATCTGGAGGGTGGAGATGATAATTCTGTTGTAAGCTGCCCGAGTCACTTGGGAGAATGAGTGGGTCGCATATAAATTTTATGCAATAAAATAAAAAATAAAATACTGTTTTAACTGCTGCAAAGAAGATTGGAAGTCACTTATTTAGATTTCTTTATCTTTCTTTTTTCTGTTACTCTTTTACATTTTGTTTCTTTTCCTACTTTTTCTTTGTTTCTGTAGTTTTTTTTAAATATAAGTAAAATTTTCATATAATAAAAATTATTTGCCAACCCCCCCAAAACAACAACAACAACAACAACAACAACAACAACAACAACAACAACGGAGAACATCAGTGAACTGTTCCATTCTGCTCTGTTTGTTTCTATTCTTTAAAAGTATTCCACCAGAAATTTGAGATATATTAATTATACTATATGCCTGAGTATATAGTATAATTTTGGAAATGCTGAAATACGGAAATAGATACCATAAGATGCTTGTGCTACTTGTTTAACATGTATGTGGTAACAACTGGGGGAATCATTATTTTTCCTTAATGTTAAGAGAAAGACACAGGAGTGAATGCAAAAAACTACAGAGGAATTAGTTTATTAAGCATTTCTGGCAAGATGTTTAGTAGAACTTTGCTTGAAAGAGTATAAAAAGTGATAATAAACCCAGTTTGGAATTGGACTATGATTTCATGTCATCAGGGGACACTTCAGTCATCAGATGACACTTGATGTCATCCCCATTAGGGGATGTCCAGATTAGATTTTTGCTCACTGAGAAGTGTATGAATGTGAGAAGGAAAGTTAATTGCATGATTGTTTATTTCTGAATAACATATAACTTAAAAAAAGATTTAAATCGTAGTATTTTTTTGTGAATATGAATTTCAACACTGAAGATATGATAAGAATGGCATATGATGGAAAAAAGCAATTAATCAAATGCTTAGTGAATGGTTCAATACTGAGCTTGCCGTGTCCTTGATTATTTAATGTACTTTTAGATAATAGTATACAGCAGTGTTTCTTAAACTTCTTCCCTTAGGACCTTTCCCCTTTTAAAAATTAGGTAGGTAGGACCCCCCAAAAAACTTTGTTTGTATGGTTTATATTATCCATATTTACTATATTAAAAACTAAAATTGACACATTTGCTGCCACTACCGCTTTTCACAATGGTTTGATGGGATTTTAATATTGTATTACTTTTCATAGGGAAACATGTTAGGGATAGATCATCATGGAAAAAATCTATGTGATTGCTGGGAATTGAAAGTGTCTTGATGGTACTTAATCAATCAATTATTTTTCAACATAGTCTGGCGAGTAATATTGATTAGATTAGCTGAGAAGGATCCTTGAGCCACACTTTGAGAAACACTAGTATAAAGATGAACTGAATGTTTACAATTTATACATACTTGACAAAAAACTAGAGCAAGTAGATGAATGTACATATCTTGTTAAAAAGATTAACTGAAGATGGAAAATGCATGGAAATATTTTAAGACATGCAAATACTGGTAGAATGTCATGTTGCTGGTTCTGAGGAATGAATGTTGAATGATGCTAAAAAGTTGCATTTAAGAGCTTGTTTCTCTCCACTATATGATAGAGAAGTGGGAGTTTAGTATTTATTTACTTATTTACATTTCTAAAGCCCTCCAACTTCTTGACTTCTCTGAGCAGCATACAAAATTAAAAGTAAAGGTATAGAACCCTGATGGTGATCCTATGGCACGCGTGCCACAGGTGGCATGTGGAGCCATATCTGTGGGCATGCGAGTGTTGCCCTAGCTCAGCTCCAGCGTGCATGCGCGCGCCGGCCATCTGATTTTCGGGCCTTTTGGGCCTACCAGAAGTCGGGAAATGGGCCATTTCCAGCCTCCAGGGGGGTGGGGAAGGCCATTTTTGCCCTCTTCAGGCTCCTAGAAAGCCTGGGGAGCCTGGGGAGGGCGAAAAATGGGCCTACGTGGCCCACCGTGCCATTGCGTGCCAAGAGCGGGGTGTGGGGGTGGGGTCACATGCACATGCACAGCGGGTGGGACGCATTGAATTATGGGTGTGGGCACGTGCGAGACCCCCACTGCGCTCCCCTCCTTTTGGCACGCGACGGCAAAAAGATTAGCCATCACTGGTATAGAACAACATCAGACAACAGAAAAGGGAGATGGTCATCTGATGGAACAGACATAAAAGTATGCTAGCAAAAAGATAAAAGTAAGTTGACTATAGTGGCATCAGACATTTCCTATGGTTATCCAAAATGGAAATGGTTAATCTAACAAAGGTCTCAAAGTTCTGATTGATGATATTTATTAGATGCAAGGTTAGGTTACAACACATGAATTCTAGCCTGTACTCTACTTCCAAATAGGAAAATTATATTCAGGCAATATAAGCAGCAAAGTTCTGGGTTATTTTCTTATGTTTTTGGAGTAAAAGGGCGGACGCTTTGTGTTTGCATCTACTGACAGTCTTACAAACAGACCATAAGACTTTTTATCAATGTGAATACAAAATCTCATGATGAGATATTTAAAAGATATGTAGAGCAAGAGAAAAAAGCTGTAGGGTCAAGGATGTCAAAGTATGAATGAATGTAGATTGAGAAGGAAAGTGAGTGAAAAGTTTGAATGAATGTAGAGTTGGTCGTAGAAAAAGAATGAAAGAGGGCTAAATTTGCAAAATAAATAAATAAATGAAGAGTCAGGTGCATCTGCAGAGGCTGTGATTAACATCAAAATGGTGGGTGTTAAAGCTCTACCCCTTTTACATGTGATGCATTTGATACATGCTAGAAAAGGACTTTGATTGCCTGGTCACCTGCAATTTTGATGTCATAGTTGATCAGTGCAGGATGCCCTGAGCAGAGCGAATGGATAGAGAAACAGAAGAAGTCCAAGAAAGATGTGGTTGACTGGAAAGACTGTATTCTTCAAAGGGAGAAGATGTTGGTCTGTTAATTAGCTTTAACTTTTTCTTTTAGATTAACTTTTTCTTATCTCGGGCCTTACATTTCTTACTCAATTTCTGTTTTCAGCGTAACATTTATCCTGAACAAAAACAATGCGATGGATATGTATGTATTTATGTTCCTTGTCTTTTTATTTATTTTGCAATTGTTACTTTATAGAATATTAATCTTGAAGAAGAACATGTAGAAGACACAAAGCTCAGCCCTTCACTGCTGGACCTTGTGAAGACACCACAGATCAGGAAATACACATTAATTTTGATGTATAACTGGTAAGAGGCCATTTATTTCATGCAATTCACTGAATCCTTGTTTACTTTAGCTATGCCAGCTATGTTGGCTCTGTTGGTACACATAACCCTAATATGTTACATTTACAATTTTTTGTGCAACTGAGGATCAGGTAAACCCTTGGTTAGAGTTCATATTTTGCTTGAAGCTCAGACTCCTCTGCTCATTAGAAAATTGGGTCCATATTCTTATAACATTATTAGTGGTAAAAGAAAACCAGGCCACCAAAGAACACAGTGTTTAAACACCTGTTGTGGCCCGCCAGCGGCCAGTAGAGCTGACGGCAGACTCAGACAGTGAGGAGGTTGGAGAAGAACATGGGCCAGTCCTGGAGCCTGGGGAAGGCTCTGATGAGTGCTCTGCGTCAGAGGCAGAGATGGGGCCAGGGCCCTCCAACAGTTATCAGCTACCTTCAGAGTCGGAGATAAGTGGGGCTGAAGAACAGCTGGAGCCTGTTCCCGATGTGTGCATGTGCAGAGCTGTCAGGAGACAGTTAAGGAACAGAGGTCGACTCAGAAGTAAAAGCACGAGGGGACGCTGAATGGCCGCTCCCATAGGAAATAAATAGGAGCGAAAGGGGAGCGGTGTTTGCAGGAGACAATTAGTTCATTTAATTAGTGTGAAGATTTGTTAGTGACTCTCAGAGACTCCTTGCCAATTATTTTCTTGTACAGACCTGGCAGCTCTCCAAGCCTGATAAGGTCTATGGTTGTAAATTCACCCTTGAAAGACTGCTTGCCAGGACTTTGCTGGATATCAATGAGAGGAAATTACATTAGCTTAATAAAAAGGGGTTTTGTCAGGACAAGGAGTCTGTTTCATGTTTTTGTGAAGCCTAAGTCAGAACAACACCATCAAAACTGACACCAATTACAGCAGAGACAAACTAAAAGACTCGGCAGATGTGGAGACACTGAATGGCCCATAGAATCACCAAGTGTTGAACATGATTGAATGGATAATATCATCATCATCTTTCTATAACATTAAGCCTTGCTTCAGACAGTTCTTTTTTTCATACTGAGTGTTCCGAATACATTGAAATTGTATTGCCCTGAAAACATTACAATTTGAGATTGGTATCGTCATCCTTTTTTTTTTTTTTGGTGTGTGTGTGTGTATGTTCCTTTGAGACAGTTTTGACTCCTAGTGACTGTCTGGACAAGACCCTGCAGTTTTCTTGGCAAAATTGCAGAAGTGGTTTGCTTCTGCCTCTCTCCTAGGGATGAGAGAGAAAGATTGACCCCAAACCATCTCTGACTTCATACTTAAGATGGAACTAGAGTTCATAATCTCCTCGCTTCCAGCCTGATGCCTTAACCAACATCTTAATTGCACCAAACTTTGTTCCTGTCCCTGCTGGCTGTAATGCTATATAGCAGGGGTGTCAAACTCGTGGTGGTGGTGTCACATGATGTATTGAGACTTTTTTCCCCTTCACTAAACCGGGCAGAGGCGGGGCCAGCAAATGATGCAACTGGCCTGCAGGATTGCTTCACCCCTGCTATATAGGAATGACCTTGGGAGACAGGAGGCTGCAACCAGGGCAATGGTTGGATAAGTGACAGCTTAGCCACAGCAGGAATGTTGTTGTTGTTAGTTGTGAAATCATGTCAGACCCATCACGACCCCATGGACAACGTTCCTCCAGGCCTTCCTGTCCTCTACCATCCTCTGGAGTCCATTTAAGCTCATACCTACTGCTTCAGTGACTCCATCCAGCCACCTCGTTCTCTGTCGTCCCCTTCTTCTTTTGCCCTCAATCTTTCCCAGCATTAGGCTCTTCTCCAGTGCATCCTTCCTTCTCATTAGGTGGCCAAAGTATTTCAGTTTCATCTTCGGGATCTGGCCTTCTAAAGAGCAGTCAGGGTAGATCTCCTCTAGGACTGACCGGTTTGATCACCTTGCAGTCCAAGGGACTCGCAGGAGTCTTCTCCAGCACCATAGTTCAATTCTTTGGCGCTCAGCCTTTCTTATGGTCCAACTTTGTGGCAAATATCTCAGAAGGGAGCCTCTGTAGTTTCTTCAGCTATAAAGAGGACAGGGGGAGAAATGTAATTTCAGACTTGCAAGATTCTGTTACTGAAATCTTATAAAGGAGAATTAGCTCTTGTAGCCATGCTTCCTATCTAATCTACTTCACAAAGCTAATGTTAGGCTATTCTGCCTCTTACTGTTGTCAACTTCATTGCACTGAGCAAAGCAAAATTTACACTCACATTCATGTAGATGCAAGTACAGCTCTTTCTGTAATCTGGGGTCCTGATAGTCTACCAGGATCACATGGTGAGCTGTGTACTAGTGAATATAATTATTCTTTGCTTTCAGATCTACCTGAGTGCTTGGAGACTGAGGAGAGGGGAAATAGGATGTAAGAATTTGGATCATTGAAGACAACCCAATTCTCTGCTCAGTTTCCAATTCTCATGCAGTATGTTCAGAGATAGCATGTGAAGTGTTGGCTTAGGACTAGGGAAACCCAATGCCAGCCCATATTAGATGGGCTTTAAATTGACAACTTCAGCATAAATGGTAGACTATCTGAGAAGATATTGTAGGCTTTTCTATCATTCATTCATTCATTCATTCATTCATTCATTCATTCATTCATTCATTCATTCATATTTTGGAGTGGGGCAGCTCCATAAACAAGTAAAGGAAGCAAGTTAAGGGAGAGATGGGAGTAGTTCATTCCCCATTCATATAAATTGTGGATGTCTTGGGGTTGTGGGGTTGCAATATCTAATAGAAACAACTTCCTGTTTTCCAGCATGCTCCTGTTACCTAATTACTTTTTTTAATCCATTCACACAGCTACTCATCAGTTAATGGCAGGAAATTCCAGAAGGAGAAAAGAATCATGGAGTCCTTGGTGCTCTCTGAGCTTGGTTGTTTGGTTACAGATTAATTACCTAACTAGGTAACATCACCAGGGCACCAAGGACTCCACAGTTCAACTCTGAGCTACATATATTCTCTTCTAATAGAAGAAATATGGATGCATATCTAAGGAACATACATGCCCACATGGAGAACCAAACTCTTTTAAACAGTCAAAATCCCAGAAGACAAAAAAGCTTCTACTAACAAAACTTGATCATGCATCAGCTTGCTTATATTAGTAATACAATGTGGGATTGACATGTCAAATCTGGAGCACTGATTCTTTCAAGATTTGCTAGACAATAAATCTAGCCCGAATTAACTGTTGTCCCTCCTCTTTTCCTAGGTTCACAAGTGCCATTATGTACCAAGGACTTATTATGCACATAGGAGTTGCTGGTGGAAATGTTTACCTGGATTTTTTCTATGCCACCCTTGTTGAATTTCCAGCTGCTTTCATCCTCATCGTCACCATAGAGCGTGTGGGCCGTCGTTATCCCTGGGCAGCTTCTAATCTGGTGGCTGGAATTGCTTGCCTTATTACAGCTTTCAGCCCAGATGGTAAGTACATAATGTCTGTCCATCTTTTTTAATTGCCCTGACCAAGGGCAGCCTGGAGGAAAATGCTGCAAGAATCTACTTTAGCAAAATGATGGTCAGAAGCAGCCTTTCTGCAGGGACATCAAGAGGAACAACCCAAGATGTGGAGGGTCACTTGATAAGAGAAAAAAACTATGCACAATATGGATAAAAATGATGGTGATCGTAGTCCTGATGATGATGATAATTGTGATGATGAATAAAGAGGTTTGGGGGATTCAGATTTTCTGAGCTCGGATAGAAATGGACTGAACCACTTCACCAAAGCTAATATAGTGGTCAGAATGAAGCTATTTGGTGGATTTCACACTTACTTTCAGTGCAAAAGAATATCAAATAGCTTTTTGAAATGTATTTTGAACAGACCTACTACACATATCGTTAAATAATTAACAAGGACATAAATAAATGGATTTTGTAAGTAGTTGAATTCAGAGATGGATAGTGACATGTGCAAAAGGACATGATTAGAAACAGGCCATTTACTCCTTCTCTATTATATTGATTGCTATGTGCTATTAATATGTCCTAAGAGTGCCTTTTCTAATTCCTGCCTAAATCCCTTTCCACCCCATTTGCTGTAATTGTCCCAACAGGGGAGGACTCTAAGGGCCATCATATCTCCAAAACTCAAGACACTTCTAGTTATGAACAGACAACAGACTTTTGTTTCCCTTGTTTACAGAACCAAAAGTTGAGAACAGCCCTTTCTCACTAATTGCACAAAACTAGTGGAAGGAAAAAGAAAGGAAAATGAAGAGGGAAGGAAAAAGAAGAAGGAAGGAAGGAAGGAAGGAAGGAAGGAAGGAAGGAAGGAAGGAAGGAGATTATAATGAGAGTAAGGGAGAGTCTAAGGGAGGAGGGGGTCAAGCTATTTTCCAAAGCACCTGAAGACCAGACAAGGAAATCTGGAGAAATTTTCTGACAGTGAGAGCAATCAACCGTGGAACAGAAGTTGCCTTTGGAAGTTGCGGGAGCTTCATCACTGGAGGCTTTCAGGAAGAGATTGAACTGCCCTCTGTCAGAAATGGTGTAGGGTCTCCTGCTTGGGCAGGGGGTTGGACTAAATGACCTACAAGGTCCCATCCAACTCTGTTAATGTTAATGTTAAAAAAAGTCCTGCCTTAGCAGTTGGCCACGAAACGTGCCCCCAACACGAGTGATGTTGAGCTAGTCACATCTACCCTACCCTGTCCACACCTATCCTGACCATGCCCTCCTCCTCACCCCATCAAGGTCAAACACAACCATGATGCGACACTCAATGAAATCAAGTTTGACACCCCTGCTTTAGGGGGACTTATCTTTATCACTAGTTCTCTGGGAAATTGCACAGGTAGTCCTTATTTAGTGATTGCTTTGGACAGTGAGTGACCATCTGCAGTTATGATGGTGATGAAAAAAGCAACTTTGCTACCAATGCCCACATATATGACATATGTTTTTTTCTCCATCCCACCTTCAGAGTAGAGAGATTGCCTAAACAAGCTATCTCTTCCTGAGAGATAGCTCCTGCTTTTTTTCTGCAGTGCAGTGCAGTGCAGTGCATCCCTAAAACATACTCAGGCAAATTAACAAGCTCAACGGTGACCTTAATTAATTAGAATTCTTCTATGGCTTGCATTGTTGCCTGACACTGATAAGACTCTAATCACTTGCATGCTAAAGTCTTTTGTTTGCCTCCTAAACTCTGCTTTCAACTGTAGGCCCTATTCCTTTAGATCAGGGGTCGGCAACCTTAAACACTCAAAGAGCCACAAAGTTCCTAACCGGAAGCCCCCAATTCTGGAGCCGACCAGAAGCCCAGTTCCCCCACCATAGAGACTCCTCCTAGTGTGGCGTCCTTTTTCCTCTATCTGCCCTAACCGAAAGCCCTATCAATTGTGGAGCTGACCAGCAACAGGGAGCTGCAGCAGAGGGATGAAAGAGCCACACGCGGCTCCAGAGCCGCAGGTTGCTGACCCCTGCTTTAGATGTATATTCACCATTGCTTACTTGCATACTCTCTTGTAATCCTTCCTCTCCAATGAATGTAAATACAAACATTAATTCTCTTCTTGCTAATTATCCCAGTGCCAGGTGAGCATTTCAAAGGGTGGGAGAATTAGGTAAAAGGACTTTAAAAGATTTATCCAGCCTCCTTGTGAATTGAGTTCCAGGAACCTACCCCACCATTTAGCTTCACCTGGCTATTTAGAGCTGTATCCTTCTGATGCAGTAAAACAAAGGAAAGCTGAAGTAAAATTTTGAGCACGCTTGTGGTCATGTGATTTTTCACTTAGCGACCACTTCCCAGTTGTCCCAATTCCCATTGTGGTTGCAAAATGAGGACTACCTATTATATCATCAGTATTAATCATCTTCCTCCAATAAATTATTTTGGGTAAACTATGTACATATGCTTTCTTTTCAGATATGCATTGGTTAAAGATTCTTGCAGGTTCCTTTGGCAGGTTGGGAATTACTATGGCTTTCGAAATGGTCTGCTTTGTCAATGCTGAATTGTACCCAACATTTCTTAGGTAGGTGCTGCTTCAAAGAATGGTTTAATGTAGAAATTCTGTATCTATGATTACTCAACTATCACCAATTTTGAGGCACTATCCCTCTGAATTAACATCATAAATAGAATTAGCATGTCAAGCCAAAGTGGGGAAACGTTGGAGATGAGGCAGGACAAGACCAATGGCATCTCTTTTTCCATGGGTAAAAGCCAACTAGCGGAATCTTTGGTCAATACCGGGGATGAGATGGTAGCCTTCACCACATCTAAGGGAGGAACCTTGGTCTCACCAAGAGGGAAATAAACAAGGAGGTGGCTAGAAATAGGGGCAGTTTTGAACTGGAATGCCATAGAAGAGAATATAACAGTCACTCCATTCGATGGCTTGGAGAGGGGTGTCAAACTCGCATCGTCACATCATCGTCACGTGACGTATCATGACATTTCCCCCCTTCACTAAACGGGTGGGTATGGCCAGTGCATGACGCATCTGGCCCGCAAGCCCTGAGTTTGACACTTCTGGCTTGGAGAACCTGAAGCACATCAGCTGACTGTGCTGCCTTCTTCATAAATCTATTTCCTCCCTGCTTTGTATCTACATTTGTAAATAAGCCTAGGATATGAGGTCTGCAGTTGTCCTGGATGTTCTTAGTAAAAACAAAAAAAATCAGCATAAACCCCAAACTAGAGAGGTCTGCCACTTTTGCTTTCCCTCATAACTGATTTTTAGTGATATTTCTTTCCATTCTGTTCAAAAAGACATGTTTCTTATAAAAACATAAATCAAAAGGGTTTTTTAACTTTTATGCACTAGATAGACTTAATCAGTGGCAGTTGTTTCCCGCATGGAAGTGATTACATAGAAATAGCTTATCATGTAGCTGTGAAAGGCTTTATTTCAGGACTATAAACAGGAATTGAACTTCAGGCCTTTAAGAGTTAAGCAACTAACATATGAAATAAATAAATCTGTTAGTTTTCCTTTCTCCCACTTTCAATTCCTTTAAATTTGAATCTATTTACTTTTCTGTAAAGAAGAGGAAAAAAAGGAAAATATTGGTAAAGTTTTGATTTTTAAAAACAATGTCTCATGCACCTACCTCTACGGAGAATCAGATGATCTTAAAATCAGATCTCCCCCAGACATTTTGCAGGACAAATGAATTCAGTGGGGAAGAATTTGTATTTGTTCAACTTGTCATTTCTCTTTAATCCATCTATGCCTTCTTCTGATCCCTTTATGAAGAGTAATCTGAAGGGCTCAGTGTCATTTCAGACAAATGACTGGGTTGCAACCACCCATCAAACTCATAGGTTTAGCTGGAGGTCAGAGCTATTCTAGGGAATGAAAATGATAATAAGGTTTGGCTCTTGGATTTCTAATAAGACAATTTCTCATTTATTCATTTATTTTATATGTATATATGTATGTATGTATGTATGTATGTATGTATGTATGTATGTATGTATGTATATCATTGAATCTGATCTTTCTGTCTGTCTTTCAGAAACCTTGGCTTGATGGTATGTTCTTCCCTGTGCGATTTTGGTGGAATCATTTCCCCATTTATAGTCTACAGATTGGCAGAGTTCTGGCATGAACTACCTCTTGTAGTCTTCTGTAAGTAATATTCTATCTGTGGCAGCTACAGCTCATTAATGCTCAATCATACACTTTTGTATTCATTCAGGGATTCAGTCCAACTGAATCTAACTGGGCTTAGGTCAGTGGTGGGATTCAACTGGTTCGCACCACTTCGGCTTAACCAGTTGTTAAATTGCTGGCTGGCCCCTCCCCGCCCCTTCCATAAGTCCCCATGAGCCCCGGTTTGGCTCCCAGGTAAGTGCAGGGAGGCCTACTAGGCCGAAAATGGAGCACAAGGAGGGGCAGTGCGCCCCCCCCTCCACAGCCCATTTTTGCTCCCAAGGGGGTGCAGGAGTTCTGCCTGTCACACCCCTGGCAATGGCCACGCTCACCCAGCCGGTCTTTAGGGCAGAGAACCAGTTGTTAAATGGTTTGAATCCCACCACTGGCTTAGGTCTATGTAGATCTGTATCATACAATAAATTAGCAAAATATGCAGGTAAGATGCACTGCTTGTGATTACAGATTGGAATGCCAATGTTGGAAACACAAAAGAGGAAACTATAGTATGATTACATGCTTTAGGAAACCAACATGAAGCAGAAGACCATTTTATCTATTTCTGTCACTCCAAAAAAACAGCTAACATGGTCTTCCAATAATCAGAATGGCTTTATGCATGGACATTACCAGATGAAGTATATAGAAATCAAATAAAAGAAAATAGATGAGTTCATATGTGGCATCAAGATTTGGCCAGGTGCTGAGTGTGGAACAGATCACAAACTGCTCCTGTGCAAATTTCAAGTTAAGCTAAAGAAGAAGAAAAGCAGTCAGTTTCTATGATATGATCTTGAACATATACCAACCATTTTCAAGGAGAACATCAGGAGTCATTTTGAAGTCCTGAACTCATTGATAGAAAACCAAAAGAATTGTGGAATGAACTTAAAGAAGTAATTAAGAGATTGCCAAAAATGAGGAAAGAGAAGAAAGTAAACTCAATAAAAGAAGGTATGGAAATTGCCAAGAAGAGAAGAGAAACCAAAGCCAAGTAAGAGAAAAATCTCAGAAAGGAACGTCTAATGAGATTCTCAGTCATCCTGGTCATGGTTGTCCCAAAGGTGCTTTTCTTCAAGAGGCAACTGGACTTTCTGGTTTTTCTTTGAAGATGTTTTCTGAGCTGAAGAAGCTTCTTGGATGAAAAGTGAAACATCTTCAAAGAAAACCCAGAAAGTCCAGATGCCTCTTGAAAACAAAGCACCTTTGGGACTCCAAAAGGAACATAATAAAGTTATATCAGAGAGCTGTTAATTAACATCCCAGGTACAGATGCCAACATTCATGATAACTTAGAAGATATTACCTACTTACAAGAACCTCAAGTACCAGAATGTGACATTAGATCAGCACTCTGATCATTATCAATTCAGGATGAAATGGAAGAAGAATGGAAACAGACATAAAAAAAAAAAGATATTTGAACTAGTTCCAACCTTGAATTGAATGAATTACTCCAAAGGACATGTTGCAGGGTGTCAAACTGGATTTCTTCGAGGGCCAGATCAGCATTGTAGTTCTCTGTGGGGTGGTAGTGGTGGGGAGATTGGACGACTCCTGTAGCACCCTGCCGGCCAAAATGGGGCACGGGAGACATGTGCAGACCCCCCCCACACCCTGTTTTTGACCTGGACGGCCTCCTGCAGCACTCTGCCAGCCAAAACGGGGCGTGTTTTGGCCAGCAGTGTGCTGCAGGAGGCGTCCATCCTGTCTCCCCCCCGCACCTTGTTTTCCGCCTGGATGGCCTCCTGCAGCACTTTGCCAGCCAAAACGTGCCCCATTTTGGCCAGCAGAGTGCTACAAGAGGCTGTCTTGTAAAATGGGGCATGGTGGGGGGACTGTGCGTGGACCCCCCCGTGCCCCGTTTTGGCTGCAAGATGCACCACCGGCTGCTCCTTTGCTATTTCCAGGCCAGATTCCCCATGGGCCAGATTTAAGTACCCCGCGGGCCTTGAGTTTAACACCTCTGACATATTGTAATTTAAGCAATTCAAAGGTGATCAAACAAAGATGGAAGGAGTATACGAAGCACTGTACAGTATAGAGATCAATATCCAAGATGCCTTAAAAGATATTCCCTATTTACAAGAATCTCTAGTCCTAGAAGACGAACTTAAGAGATCAGCATTCTGGTCATTACCAATTCAGAAAGCTATAGGAAGTGATGGAATCCACACTGAAATATGGCTAGCAACAGAAGATGAAATCAGTAAAAGTTCTAACCAATCTATGCCAGCAAATCTGGAGAACAACATTTTGGCCAACAGACTGGAAGGGATCAATCTACATTCCACTACCAAAAAAGACTTAATAGAGTGTGCAAACAATAATACGATATCCTTAATTTCACATGCTAGTGAAATAATGCTTAGGATCATTCAACATAAATAAGAGCTGTATATGAAAAAAGAAATGCCAGATGTTCAAGCTAGGTCACCAGACTTTCAAAGGGACTTCTGGCATGACAAAGTTAAGAATCCCAATTTTTAAAATCCTTGATTTAAGACCACAATTGAACCCAGAATTTATGTTGCTAAGTGAGAAATTTGTTAAGTGAGTTTTGTCCCATTTTTACGACTTTTCTTGCCACCTTTGTTAAGTGAATCACTGCAGTTGTTAAATTAGTAACATGGTTGTTAAGTGAATCTGGCTTCCCCATTGACTTTGCCTGTTAGAAGGTCGCAAAAGGGGATCACATGAGTCCGGGATACTGCAACCGTCATAAATGTGAGTCAGTTGTCAAGCATTGAAATGTAAATCACGTGGCCATGGGTTTGCTGCAATGGTTGTAAGTATGAAAAACGGTCACAAGTCACTTTTTCAGTGCCATTGTAACTTTGAACAATTACTAAATGAACTGTTGTAAGTTGAGGACTAGCTGTACAGATAATTTTGATGCAGCAGAAATAAAACATCCGAAATAAAATGATTGTGTGTCCATCTTGACAATAGGTCATAATTTGGTTTCTCATGTTTTCTTTTGTTATGTTTTATTTGCAGCTGTCATAGGGTTAATAGCTGCTGGATCAGTGCTGCTTTTGCCTGAGACCAAAGGAAGCACCTTGCCGGAGACCATTGATGACATAGAAAACTTCCACAAACTTGCATTAAACAATAAATCTTGAAGCCAATTCAAGTTTAATTATTTTTGAAATGTGTGTGCTCAGCTTATGGTTCATAAAAAGTCCAGATCTAATCACTAACTAATAAAAATATTACACTATACAGTCTTTCATTTGGACAGGTATTTTATGCACACACAAAGCGCTCATTTCTTCCAATGATGAACATTGTCAATATAGCAAACGCAAACGCAAACGCAGCATGTAAACAGTAAACATAAGCAGAGGGCAGTGAAAATAATACTTTTTACCTGATATTTAAACATTGTGTTATGACTGGAGGTTCTAGATTTGTTAAAACACTATTCCTTCTTTTTATTTTAACTTTTGCTACTTTATTAGTTTTCTATGCATATATGTATGCTGTAAATCTTAGGGGGATTCTTTGTAGTGCCCAGATCCAAGATAAACATCCTTTTGCAGGTAAAAGAGATCAATATATAAATAAATGGAAATTTCTATATTATTGGTTACAGCAGAGTTGAAAAATAGGCAAAGAAAGGGGGTAAAATTGGTGCAAAGTGGCAAGAGTTTGCCAGGACAAGTAAGGAAATTAATATGGGTGTTTTGTTTCTGGTTGTACAGGCCTAGAACTGAAAGGAGTCAGATGTGGAGGAATGATCACCCTTGGAGATGCTAAGATAAACAGAGATAGCAATAAAAGGCTTCTCATTGGATAGCTTTGAATCAGGAAGTCAACATGGGAGATGTCTAGAAGGAAATGAAGATTTGTCCCAAAAAATGGAGAGAAAGAAACAAAATCCAGAAGGATTAGGGGGTGGGAAACAAAAAAAGCTTGAATGCACATACAAAACTATCCTTGATTCACAAACATGGGTGAATCAAGGACAGAAAAAGAAAGAAGCAGAATATTAGTTAAGGAAAAAAAAGAGAAATGTAACATAAACAGCTAAAGGGAATATGAGCCAAGTCTTAAGGTAGGGAAAAAGACCATCCAGGAAATAAGAGTTAAAGGAGAGAGGAAGCAAGAGGTTTCCACTCATGCAACCAACAAGGGTAGAGAGGTGGCGAAGGTGCAAAGATTCACAAGTACAGTATCGACTTGGGCAATGCAGATAGACAGAGGCAGCTGACCATTTCACTGTTGGGGGAAACTGCACAGCAGATCAATCAGCTGTGGGAGGATAGAAGCTTGGAGGACCAAGAGGAAGAGCAGATAGGATTCAGATGGGCCAGGCAGGAAGAAATTTAAGAAAAACAGAGTTGGAAGTGACCCTGGAGGTCTTCTAGTCCAACTCCCTGGTCAAGCAGGAGACCCTATACGATTCCAGACAAATGGTTGTCCAAACTCTTCTTAAAAATTCCCAGTGATGGAGCACTCGCAACTTCTGAAGGCAAGCTGTTCCACTGATTAATTTGGGGGGGAGGGGGGGTTAAGCAGCCCACAAGAGAGGGGGAGAACTGTCCCATGAGATTTTTGCAGAGATAACTCTTTGGGCCTTTTACGAGGTAGGAAGGAGAATTAGATCGTTTAAATATGCACTGTGCCTTGGATGCGCTGCACGTTGAAGGCAATTGCTCAGTATATATACTGTATGGATGTAGGAACTGCTGACTCTGAACAAGCTCCTGTGTGGGACATATGGAAAATCACCCCATTGAGCTCAGTACCTTATTTTTATTTAAAATTAGTCCTGTGCCTATTTGATACTGTCTGTAAATCTGTATGTTTATTGCTTTTCTATTGCTAATAGTAAAGTTTTTCTTGTCTATTCAAGAGGTTGGATATTTTTTTTTCCTTATTGGAAAGCCCAGGGGGAAGGTGGGAATTCTCCCCTTAGAATCTCCTTATGGATAGAAGATTCAGCAGCAGGCTTGATTACGGGAACTGCACTACCGTTAGTAGGATCTCTGCTGTGAGGTTGGGGAATCAACTCCTTGGATTCAGGATCCGCAATTATGTTAAAACGGGGAACCAGTTCTACTTCATAAGCTCAGGGTTTTAATTAATCTTTTATTTATCCCTTCAATGCAATGCATATTCACTTCCCCACTTTCACAGAATCATTCATTTCCTTTCTGGTGATCCAGCAAATTTTCTGGATTTCAAATGGTTAATGAGGTAACCAAGAGATTTCTGCCTTTTTAAAAAGAAAACATTCATCCTCTGTCCCTATAATTGCCTACTTCCAAGTGTAAAATAGGAAACCCTGAGAAAAATGCTAGTTTCAGGGGTACTTGGGAAAGAGGTAAAAACATCCCTGTTCACTATAACCTGCTCTCTGCACAACATAAACATGCTTATGTTTATAGATCTTCACAGTAGGAGAAAGCAATTGGATCAGGGGTGGGCAGTGGTTCGCAGTGGTTCGGGAGAACCTCTAGCTAAGATTCTGTGCAGTTTGGAGAACCCCTAAATCCCCACCCTGCCCCTCCCAGGAGTCCCCACGGGGCCAGCGTGGAGGCTCAGGGAGGGCGAAAAACAGGCCTACCAGAAGTTTGGGAAGAGTGCCTCCAGAGCTTGGGGAGGCCGTTTCGCCCTCCTGGAGGCTCAAGGAAAGCCTTCGGAGCCCGGGGAGGGCACAAATGCCCCCCTCCCCCCCGTTGTGCAGGAGGCCAACTATGCCATGCCCACCATGCTCACGCCCTCCCAGAGAAGAGAACCCCTTGCTAAAATTTTTGAAGCCCACCCCTGAATTGGATCCCTCTCGGTGCATCTCCCCCAGCATCTCAGTTATGTAACACTTCTATCATAGTGTCCAGTTTTACTGAGAGAACACCACCAGCCCAAATCATCCCCAAAAGTGGGAGGTGAAAAGGAAGACTGCACATACAAGTGCAGGTAGGAAGTGGTGTGTGTGTGTGTGTGTGTGTGTGTGTGATGCGTACCTAGGGATATGAAATTGCACCCTAGGAAAAGGTTTTGTGTGATTTTTGCATAATCTTCAAAATTCTCAATTTTGTCAGGTTGCAGCCAGAGTTAGGAAGAAAAGAACGAATCAGCACATTTTCTAAAGCACAGGTGTTTGACACTTGGGGGAATAGAAATTAAGAGCCAGAGCAGGTTGGAGAGTGAGGCAAATTGGTCAAGGTCATATTATTTATTTACATGAGGGGTGATAGGTCTTCTGCTATTTCTCTAATTTAACAGAATAACAGAGTTATAAGGGACTTTGGAGGTCTTCTAATCCAACCCCCTGCTCAGGCAGGAAACAATATACCCTTTCAGATAAATGGTTATCCAATGTCTTCTTAAAAACTTCCAGTGTTGGAGCATTCACAACTTCTGGATGCAAGTTGTTCCACTTATTAATTGTTCTAACTGTCAGGAAATTTCTTCTTAGTTGCTTCTCTCTTTGATTAGTTTCCATCTATTGCTTCTTGTCCTACCTTCAGGTGCTTTGGAGAATAGCTTGACTCCCTCTTCTTTGTGGCAGCTCCTGAGATATTGGAACACTGCTATCATGTCTCTCCTAGTCCTTCTTTTCATTAAACTAGATATACCCAGTTCCAGCAACCGTTCTTAATATGTTTTAGCTTCCAGTTCCCTAATCATCTTTGCTGCTCTTCTCTGCACTTTTTCTAGAGTCTCATTTTTCCATGTCTTTTTGAAATAATGGTTAAGCATATTTTCAAATGTATATTAAATTGTTTCCTCTCCCTCGAAAATGGTTATAAACAGTTGGTTTTGCCACTCATAGTCAGAAAGGTCTCTGGGTTGCAAAAATCACCATCCACTCACAGGATGGATTTAGGTTAATGATCCTGAGCCCCAGATTTCTCCTGAAATCTTGATTACTGCCCTTCTCTGGAAGCTTCCAAAAGCTGTTATCAAATGATAACGTTTAACGGACAGAAGATCGCATGATTAACTGCAAGTACTTCTTGTTTAGCAACTGCCTTGTTGAACAACTGTTTGCAGTTATGATGATGATGAAAAAGTAACTTTATGGTTGATCCTTGCATTTATGTTCTTGTAAAGCAAAAGAAATTTGAAGTAAGATCATAAGCACTGCTGCAGTTTTACTTAGTGATTGTTTTGCTGAACGATTGAGTCACCAGTCCCAATTTTGGTTGCTAAATGAAGACTGGCTACACATAAGCAGAATAAAATGAAACTCTGAGGGATGTTTTGAGACTATGCATTACTATTTGGTTAGTGTCCTTTAGTTTGTCTCCCCTAAACCAAGGGAGATCCCTGGCCCAGAATGCTGGTTCCTTCTGAAAAGTTCTCACAGAGATCTGTATCTTAGGAGCATTGTTAACAGCATTCTATATTTGAAGAAATGTTCATGAAAATGCATATACATTTGTGTGTGAGAAACAGAAAACGATAAATGAAACAGAACAATACTTAAGGGAAAAATAGGAATGGGTTGAAATCAAGTTTTCAGGCAATGTCAATTTCTCGGTCATATTTTATGTTACATTACACAAAAGTATCTCCATTTGAATGAGGGGTATCTCCACGTATGGCTCCTTAATTTTATTTAGGGCTTATTAGACTCAATGCTGCTTATATAAATATACATATGAAGGCCATAATTTGCATGTTACATTTTGGCCTACTAATAGGCACTGTCCCTAGCCCGGTTTCTCCAATCTGAGAAATTCAAGACAGATTACATAACTAAAGGGGACCACCCTGGGGAAGACTTTAAAATGTTTGCCAGGACCACAGAATTCTCTGGAATATATCACAGTCAAAGCTGCACACAAAAAGCAGAGGATATCGAATGTTTAAAGACTTCAGAGCCCCCATGAAGAGTTATGTTTGTCTCCACCATTTTGCTTTTCTCTCCTTATGCATCCATGGACATTTGTGGGGAACACAGTTGTTCTTCAGTAAATTGACACATCTGAATTCTGCACATGAAGATAAATCATTTTTTCTTTGGGCCTCCCTGGTCTATGTAAAGGAACCAAGAGATTAATGGGAACAGATAAAATAAATCAAACTGCTAACCACAACCATTTCATCCAAATTCTTGTGTGTATTATAATGTCCTATTTGGCCAATTTATTCTTGAAAGAAAAAGAATAGTGGCTCTGCATTAGCTGAAGAAATACTTTAGACCCTGTATGACTTGCACGACCCTGACTTTTTTCAGGCTTTCACTCTAATAACTGAAAGAAGGAGGACTATTTTAAATTTACCAAGCTATCTCAATGTCAGCCAGATCATAGAACACTACAGGAAATATGAATTTGCTGCTGTAAATTGTCAAAGTGGGCGGATGTGGGCCTCAGATTGGGACCCCAATAAGACATCTGCCCCAAGAAAACTTCCTGAGAGTTTCCCATGCTGCTTCAGTTTGGTGTGAGTGTCTTAGGATGCTAAAGAAAATAATGTTATTGTCATCTGATATCATCTGCTAGGACAGTCTGGCAGCATGAGGCTTTAGGCTTGTTCAAGGACCTGGATGAGAGCCTGTAAGTGCATTTTTTTTTCTATGTAAGGCTGAGAGTTTTTCAGAGGTTGGAAAAAGGTGAAGCATGAAGCTCTTGGGAAATTGTTTTTTAAGCTTTGAGGAGAGCTGGGCTGTTCACAAATAATTTTGGGAAATGGTTGGCAGATTTCCCTGATTAATTGAAGCCCTTTGAATTCTGGCTCACTTTACAGAAAGAATGATCCAGGTTTTAAAATTACTAGAATGTTTTATCCTAGGAAGCTAGTCAGTTTTATCACAACCCCCAAACCAATGGTTGAGTCTTCATAAAGTTTGTCTCCTAAGACTTTCTTTTTTTGGATGTTAGGGAAGGAGAGGAACATTCAGCCTGCATCACCATGCAACCTTGTTTTCTGATTCTGAACAGAAAATATTCCTCTTTAAGAAATGTCACGTGCCCATACCTGTGCAGATTTTCAGCATCATCAATAGTCTCAGGTAAAGTTTTCCCTTTGGTTTCAGGTAAGAGCAACACCAGACCACCATCCACAAGGCCAATGACAGCTTCAGGAACAGAGAAGAAACAAAAGGCACCACCTGTGACTCCTGTCATGGAGGTGGCATACCAACCATGCCTTTTCAGTCATTTATTTGTAAAAAACGCACTCCCGAAATGCATTGATTATTTTTTTTTCTCCACCAAGCCTTTAGGTATACTAAAATAACAATCAGAATACGAATCAAATGTATCCTTTAAATATCACCACAAAATTGTATGAAGGAAAGAATTTCCAGACAAGTGCAAAGAAAGTAGGAATTTGGAGAAGCAGATATCCATAATCCGGGCTTTTTTTGCAATGAAAGCTCTTAGGCAGCCTTCTTTTTAAAATAAACCTTCAGGGAGTGGTTGGTTTGGCCACTGATGGGATCTCTTAAACAATGACATCAAGTTTTGTTTTGTTTTTTAAAGAATAACCAAAGGCTGCCCTACTAATTTGCCAGATTGGCTGATTCACAAGGGCAAGGGAGAAATTGGTCTTAAAATTGGTCTTTTCACTGTTGCGACTGATCATTATGCCAGAATTCAGGGCTATGAGGTGAGGTCATTCCTATCCTCCCCCCTTGCCTTTTCTTATAATGCCTGTCCATGTAATTCTTCCTCCCTAGATATCTCTAGTGACATGCAGTAAATCATTGATTAAACTGAATTGCTTAATAGAACAAGATAAAATTCCATTGCCTTGACCCTGAGATTTAAAGATCTTATTTTAAGAAGCTTGACCAGAAATCCCCCAAGGCTGTGCTGTTCTGCCAGGATACTTCTGAGATACAGGAAGAAATCTGAAACTTGCTATGACAGAAGCACAAATGGTGCCCTTATTCTCAATCACTCAAAAGAACAAAAGGTCATTCTTACCGAAGACAATAAGCGGAAGCTCGTGCCAAATATTTGCCAGCCTATAGACAATGAACGGAGTTATGATCCCTCCAATATCACTCATGGAAGAGCAGACAAGAACCCCCAGATTCCTTTAAAAAAGAAAAAAAAAGCACAGGAAAAAACCCTTATCTTTATCAATAGCATATTTAAAGGATCCCTAAACAATATGATGATTATTTTTTTAATCAACCATATTTCTCAAGCCAGAAATATATGGTAGCACCATTCCCCTTAGCTTTTGAGACCAAAAGAATTGAGAAAAACTTTCATGGACTTGGTGGGACCAGATGGAAATGTGCATGCATCACAACTTGGCTTTGAATATCAAAAGCTACTTGAGCAAGAATAACAGAATAACAGAGTTGGAAGGGATCTTGAAGATCTTCTAGTTCAACCTCCTGCTAAAGCAGGAAACCCTATACAAGTATTGGTGAAACTTTTGGGCACCAAGTGCAGAAACGGGAGCCCGTGTGGGCGGGGGAGCTCCAGAAACCGGAAGACCAGTTCCCCAGCACGCATGTGCGCGCCGGGAAGCTGAGCTTCCTGTTTCTGGCATGCGCATGTGCACCGGTCACCTGGTCTTCCAGTTTCCAGTTTTCTGGCCAGCACACATGTGCATGCTGAAACCCAGAAGAGCAACAGTTGATGGTTGGCGTGCCCAGAGCGATGCCTCTGTGTGCCACTTCGGGCATGCATGTCATATGTTCACCATCACAGCCCTATACCATTCTAGACAAATGGCTGTTCAGTCTCTCCTTGAAAACCTCCAATGATGGAGCACCCACAACTTCTGCAGATACAGTAAGTCGTTCCACTGATTAATTGTTCTGTCAGGAAATTCCTCCTTAGTTCAGCCCAATCCAACCCAGAAAGGTCATCCCAATCCAGGATAATGGAAGAGGATTCACTCACCTGAGGAAGGTTGGGTAGAGCTCTGCATTGACTAAGCAAACCATTTCATAGCACATTGTAATACCCAGCCTGCCAAAGCAAGATGCAGTCATTTTTAGCCAATAGAAATCTGAAAAAATATTGAAAGAGATGCTCAGCTGAATGTTGTCTTTTAACATCTTGGGGTTTTTTTTTTTTTGGTTTTATACTTTTTTTATAAGTGGGGGACGCAAAACTGGTAGAGGAGTTCATACCTAATAAGGAAATCTAGTTTGTTCGACAAGTGATAACTACTCAAATAACATGATATGCATTAGGGAATAAGGGATTAAGGGATAATATATAGGCACAAAACCTCCAAACTGCATAGAAATAAGTTGCCTTGTGTTCTGGATTTGGCGTGTTCTAGAATCTAGATGACCCAAGCAGCTGCTGTTTTCTTTGTACTTCTTTAAATAAATGCTTACATAATGAATATTTATATATTATACAAATACTTAGATAAAAAAAGCATATAGTACTTTATGTACTCAGTGGTGTCTACTTGTCTATGAGATCTGGCAGATGACCAGATCTCTCTGTCTGTGGGAGAGAGGGCTGCTGTCTCTCAGGACCCAGGAGGAAGATCTTTTCTGCCATAACGCCTGCCCTTGAGAATATCAAGTCCCATGCTGAAATTAGATGAGTCTTTCATAGAGCACTAAAAACCTGGCTTTTACCATCAAGCCTGGGGGTCTGATAGCATGGGTGAGCTTATGTCATGACTTGTTTGAATGTTTGTGACTCTTCTCAGCTCCTATTTTTATGTCATTTTTTGATGCATTTTTACTCTGGTTGGGTTTTTTTCACTATTTTTGTTCTGTTTTAACTCTGAACTACCCAGATGAAATGTGGCAGCCTATAAATTCACTAAATAAATTAAAAAATCCAGAGCATGCACGGCATTTATACATATGTCCATGCTTCAAGAGTCAAGGTTACCCAATAGCCATTGTGCAAAGCACATGTGGGAAGGGGGCAGTGGTGGAATTCAAATTTTTTTACTACCGGTTCTGTGGGCGTGGCTTGGTGGGCATGGCTTGGTGGGCGTGGCAGGGGAAGGATACTGCAAAATCTCAATTCCCACTCCACTCCAGGGGAAGGATACTTCAAAATCTTCATTCCCATCCCACTCCTGGGGAAGGATATTGCAAAATCTCCATTCCCACCCCACTCAGCCAGAGGTGATATTTGCCGTTTCTCCGAACTACTCAAAATTTCCACTACCAGTTCTCCAGAACCTGTCAGAACCTGCTGAATTTCACCCCTGGGAGGGAGACAATTTTGCATGCCTATAACACAAAAGGATGGATTTCACTTATGAAGAAATTGGGATGAAGGAAGGATGGACAAAGAAATGTCTGCTTAACTCTTTCCTAATTGGACCACTTCATTTGCAGAATTATTTCCAAATTTTATTTGCCCTTGTCCATGAGAGGGAGGGGAATGTACAAGCTGTATACATTATATTTTGGTAGAAAAAAAGTTGCAAAGAATAGCATCTACTTGTCTTTGGACTGCTTCTCCTTTCATTTCTCACCACTAGTCATGCTGCCTGGGACTCGTGGGTGTCAGAACTCAACCCAACTCGAAGGTCACTGTTGTTGACCCCTAGATTAGAGAGAAAAGGGGCACACAAAATGTATCACTACAACACTCACCTTCCGGAACTAAGGCAGTAATGAGACAGGCGATTCCTGTCATAAAATTTGCCACAGCCCAAGGAAAACGGCGGCCTATGCGGTCAACTGTGACTATGAGTATGATGGCAGCAGGGAATTCCACAAGAGCAGAATAGAAAAAGTCCAGGTAAATGTTGCCTCCGCCGATTCCCAGATGCATGATGAGGCCCTGATACACTACAGCGCTGGTAAACCTAGGCAAAGAAGTAAAACTAGATGAAGCCAAGGTTGTTGTTGGTTTTTTTGTTTGCAAAGAGTTATTCCCCCAGAAAGTCCTGTACTGTATTGCCTGACACCATTTTCTAAAGCTGGAAGACATTTTGAAATTAAATGTGAATATAGTTTAATGCCAAAGAGCTTGAGAATTAATGCCTATAAAGTGTACCTTTGAGGGCTACCTCTCAACATTAATGCCAGGACACATTGCATTATAAAAGCAGGTTTCCTTCACACCTCTTTAGCCATAATGTAGTTTGTTTCATTTTGGCATAGCATATTGTTGGGTGGGCTTAAGCACTGTGATTTGTAAAGCACATTTTGTGACCTAAAACAGATGTATCCAACCTTGGCAACTTTTAAGACTTTTGGAGTTCAACTCCCAGAATTGAGAGTAGCTGGCTGGCTGGCTGGGGAATTCTAGGAGTTGAAGTTCACAAGTCTTAAAGTTGATAAGGTTGGACATCCCTGGCCTAGAATGTTAAGTTTGCTAACTGAGAGAAATCACTGAACTGCAGCTAACCAAACAATGGTTTACCACCAGTGGTGGGCTGAAACCGATTTAACAACTGACTCTGTAAGCATGCACTTTGCGCGTGCACCAATAGTGAGTTCCACTTACCTTTGCTACTGGTTCGGAACCGGGAGTGCGCTCATGTGCGCACTTGCTTTGCTCGCATGCAGAGCACTTCTGAGCATCCACAGAAACTCCTGCACATGTGCAGAATGTCCATGATGACACCCAGGAGGGTGGGTGGAGCATCCCACCTCCACCACTACTAGTTTGCCCGAACTGGGGCGAACTGGTAGAAACCCACCACTGGCGCCCACGCAGGCTTTGTGCACAACATTCAAATACAGCAATTTGAAGCTCAGCTGCTTGCCTTCTAAGGCAGCCCCAGTAAATAGAACAGCAGAGATGCGGAAATAAGCTGTGCTGCATGAATCAGCTGAGCCAGAGAGAAGAAAATATATGACAGGATAGAGCAGGGGCAGGTGGGCAGGACCAGCTGATCATCGGAACTACTGGTTCGCCCGAACTGGTCTGAGCTGGCAGCAGCCCGCCACTGCTTACCACAGTGTGCAAATTCAATCAAGTAACTAAAGAGCTCCTTTAAGTGTAGGTATTGTGGATGTGAGAGAAAATGGATTGCTTTCATGAAGAAAGATTGAGTCAAGACATTCTGCTCAAGTAATAAAGGCTAACCTTTTCCATATCACAGTCAAAAGCTAAACAAGTAACAGTTAATTAAATTAAATAAGTTGTTTAATTAAAGTTTAATGAAAAAAGAAAACCACTGACATTCTGATTGATTCTATCCTTGATTTCAATGCTATCTCTTCTGGTCTCCTATTGCCACGCTTACTATTTCTGCAGACTCCCCCTGAGCTAGTCAGTTACATAGAGATGTCTTTGGACCTTTTTATAAAAAAATGAACTTTTCTTACCAAGTGTACATTAAGATTAATGTATGTTTCCTTATCTGTGGTGTTCTCACCAGGTCTATAAAGGAAGGATTAGGTTTATCGCTCATTTCTTCCTCAGGCCGAAGTTTCTAGGACAAAACAAAAACAAAAACAAATTTTTCAATGTTGGATGTAGTTGAAATCATGTTATCGGATTCTGATGGGAGGACTTAACTTTTTGATTTTTTAAAGTAAAAAAAAAATACATAGAAAACACAGTAGTCAGCTATAAAGAAAGGAAATGTGTCCTATTTTGTAACTCAAGCGTGTGTCTGTTCTCCATGTTCATTTCCTGACTGACAGCAATTAGAGAATTGCTGTCAGTCAGGAAATGAACATGGAGAACAGAGTCAAAGTCAAAGTTCCAATAAATAAGGTGAGTTTCTCATCTTCTCCTCACCACAACAGTCCAATCTGTCCAAAAATGCATTTCCCAAAAGCCGTTGGACCTCATGAGTGGATTTGTACTGATCTGAGTAGGAGAAATCAGAGACTTCTTATAAACCTAGGGAGGAAAATAATCTTCCACCAGCCTCCTTCTACAGTTATTTCCTTGTGCAAATGTCTTACTTAACCAGGATTCTTCTTGTTGTTGTTGTTGTTATTTTGCTCTTTCTATGCTGTTCATGGTGATGTCCACATGGAAGCAATTCTGTTGGGATAACTTTTGCTTTGGAGTTACTAACCTGTTGAGCTTTTTATTTATTTGCTATTATATGTATACTGCATTCTCCATTCAAGAAGCTCTAAATAATATACAGCAATATCTACTCACAAGACACAGTAGGGTGAACTGAGGCAATATGTCTGCAAAGAGTACTTTGAAAATTACAAGTTCTGTCCAGAATCCTGGCTTACCAAGTGAGATGCTAAATCCATATTTTGGAATATTATCTGCACAGCATACAACTCCTGGGATAGTTTTGCAAGGAGATAGGTCTGATTACCTCCATGGATGGTGGCAGCTTCTTTTGGTTCCCCTTGGCAATACGTTTAATAATTTTCAGGGCTTTGTCATTTTCCTGCTGGGCTATCAACCATCTTGGAGATTCTGGAAGACACCTGTAAAGCAGTGTACAGTATCTGTGTAACATTGATGGTAACACAAAATCAGGATGACATAGGACTTGTCTTGAGTTGGCTGAAACATTATTTTAGAAACAAGATTCAGCTTTTTTGTAGCAAGTGTGCAGTATCTGGACCAAGTTTCCTTTTTGTAACATGTTGAATCTTGTGATGATAGAGAATACACAGGTAGTCCTTGAGTTATAACTATCTGTTTATACTCTGTTCAAAGTGATGAAAAAAGTGACTTACAACTATCAAGGAGAATTTGAACCCTTCCGACATGCATTTACAATGGTTGCAGTGTCCTGAGATCACATGATCACCATTTGTGTCCTTCCCAGCTGGCTTCCAACAAACAAAGTCAATAGAAGACGTTGGGTTTATTTGACAACCGGGTGTTTCACTTAACAACTATGGTGATTTGCTTACAAACCATAACACAAAATGATGGTAAAAGTGGCTATGACTCATGCAACAACTATCTCACTTAACAATGGAAGTTCTGGGCCCAATTATGGTCATAAGTCAAGGACTACCTATATGTTATTCAGGGTTGGAGTGTCAGGAGTTGTCTGGGTTTGACCCAGAGGTGGTATTCAGTAGGTTCTGACCAGTTCTGGTGAACTGGTAGCAGAAATTTTGAGTAGTTTGGAGAACCGGTAAATATCACCTCTGACTGGCCCCGCCCCCATCTATTCTCTGCCTCCCAAGTCCCAGCTGACTGGGAGGAAATGGGGATTTTGCAGTAACCTTCCCCTGGAGTGGGGTTGGAATGGAGATTTTACAGTATCCTTCCCCTGCCATGCCCACCAAGCCACGCCCACAGAACCGGTAGTAAAAAAAATTAAATCCTACCACTGGTTTGACCCACCAAGGTCATATCTTTCATGGAATGTAGTCTGGAGGAAATGCATTTCAGAGGAGTAATTAGCAACTTAGTTCAGTTAGTTGGTGTGAGAGAAAGAGGGCGAAGACAGCCCCTCCCTAATAGTACCCAAAGTGTATGCTTCATATAGGAAGTAGTTTGCTTTAGTTTGGTAAGATTCTGTCTATAGGTATGGAACAATAAAGGTATCTGCTTAGAAGAATCACTATATGTTCTTCTTGGTTCTTGAAGCCTGACATATCTCACTTTGGAGAAATGAGGTTTGTTGGTTAGCTGGGGAATGTATAGTGGTCTGTCTTACCAGAGTTTTATGTGATTGAGTGAGCTATGCAGTTGAGTGCTGCTGTTTACCATGTGATTGACATATTATTTGGTTCTTGTAATGTTCACGCAGTATCATCTGCTGCTCATCTGGGTGTTGTTTAATAGTTGCATGAGAAAACACTACAATAGGTGGCACCACATCAGTATAACAAAAGTGGCCCAGCAATCACATAGAAAGCAATAAAATGCAGCAGCATAGACTATCCACTTCCATATAAGCAGTTTCCACAATAAGCAGCAAATCTCACTTTCCCAACGTCATAGCACTGAAGATGTTACCTAGGTAGGATATAAAACTTCCACAAATGAAAAGCCAGCTCAAACTCAACTCTTATAACACAATAGTTCTTTTCTAAAATCTTCGCACAGATTAATATTGCCAATCTTCAATGACCTTTCCTAATTAAAATATACTATCTTGGAAATAATTGACAAAATAGACTTTAGAGTGCACAGAACCGTGAACGCAGCACCTATCTGCCGCGCTAAAGCACCATGACTTTTCATAGGATCATGCAGCTGCCCTCTGTAGCTATCAAATGACGGCAAGAAAAAACACAGCTGTTTTAAAGACAATTGCTACATTCATCGCCCTTCACGTTCTGAATCCAAAGTCTTACACACCTCCCAAGATTAACATCTTGAAATATTAAATTTGGGCAATACTGTCAAAGCAAAGCTGGCAACAGGTGCATTTTTCCTGGAAAAATACAAGTATCTAGTTAGGTCCCAATTTTTTTTTAAAAAAAAAAACCACCCCAAAGGTTCTTCTTGATTACAATATTTTATTTGCATTCTTGTTATTGTTTTCTTTTCTGTTTTAATTAGAAGGGCAGCCTTACTTACCAATAATAGAGCAAAAAGAAGAAATTTGGCAATGTGACAGCAAGTTGAAGCCATCTCCAGTGAGGAATTCCATAAGCTAGAGCAGCAAGTATGAGGAGTCCAACAGAGAAGGCCACTTGATAAACAATACCAACCGTTCTTCTATAGTTCAGACCAACAAACTCTGCAACTTTGAAAGGACAGAGGAAATTAAACATAGTACTGTATCATCATCATCATCATCATCATCATCATCATCATCATCATCATCATCAGAACGGAGCTCAGTTTTAGTCTACATGTAGTGCTCAATTAGGAAATTTCCCATTTTTTAATGTATGAGATGCTATTCATCATTTAAAATTCAGTTTTTACAAAATGGTGAAGCATACCTTTCTATAACACCATCAAAAAATATTTAGTATACTCCTGGAATGTTGTGAACCTTCCCAAGATTAAAATGTGCACACCATCCCACCAAGGCTGTCTACAAGAGAATCAAAACATTCAAGCTGTTGGCCACAATTGTATGACTTGAGCACCACCTCTTTTAATGTATGCCACAACATACTTTAAGCAGGGGTGGGTTCTAAATTTTTTTTACTACGGGTTCTGTGGGCGTGGCTTATTTTGTGGGTGTGGTTTGATGGTCATACGACAATTCTTTAGAATTTGGCAGAGGTACTGGTCTACCAAGCTTTTAACTGCTTGCAGAGCCATACCTGTCTACCCATTTGTTTTTGGAGCACACCGGTCTACCACCACACTGCCTTTTACTGCTGATCAGCTGTAGGGTGGCCCTTTGAAGTGCCTCAGCAAGAGTTTAAACAGTTTTTTTTCTTTCTAGCCGATCAGCTGGGACTCGGGAGGCAGCAAATAGATTAGGGGCAGGGCCAGGCAGAGGTGGTATTTACCGGTTCTCCAAACTACTCAAAATTTCCACTACCGGTTCGCAAGAACTGGGGAGAACCGGTAACAATCCACCACTGACTTTAAGGAAGGATAGGGTTCAGATTGCACAGTTGTGGCCAACACCTTGTTTGACTCCTCCCTGCAAATATTCCTATGTCTCACATATCCTTTATTAATTGTACAAAGCATCTTCTATGAACTGTGAATAAGCAGCTTTCCGTATTAGCAAAAGTTACTACTGGTACATTCTAAAATAACAAAAAACCTATATGGCAACTTTTAATTCAATAAATGAAAGGTTAGCCAGTGTTGTTAGATGGAAATAGTAATTATTTTATTTTAATTAGTCAATGTATAAGGGTAGGGTCAGGAGCATGCTTAATGTACAATAGTATATTGTGCAGTATCAACTCAATATTTAAACTATCAACTCTCTTACTCAAGATATATCCTGTTAACCAGCCTCCTTTGCTGACCAATCCTTGTATCAAGCGAAAAACCACTACCCATGTGTAACTAGGGACAACAGCCACAAGAACACCGGAGATTGAATTTATTAGGATGATAATCAGTAAGCACCGTTTTCGGCCAAACCTAGAGAGAAAAAACATTATAGTCATTGTTACGTACTTGGAAAGCGGAAGGGAGATGAACAGTATTAATGTTATTGAAGACACGGAAATTATTTGCCAATGGAACTCTAGACAATTTTTTTAAAAAAACTCCTTCTTTTTTAACGAACTCAGTTTTTTTAAAAAAAACTCATGAGCCGAGTTGGCACAGCGGTTAGAGTGCAGCACTGCAGGCTACTTCAGCTGACTGCTGGCTGCAGTTTGGCAGTTCAAATCTCACCGGCTCAAGGTTGACTCAGCCTTCCGTCCTTCCAAGGTGGATAAAATGAGGACCCAGATTGTTGGGGACAATAGGCTGACTCTGTAAACCGCTTAGAGAGGGCTGTAAAAGCACTGTGAAGTCTAAGTGCTATTGCTATTCATTAATTTAAAGCAGTCCTCTTGCTCCAGAGTGCTGTGATGTTGAAAAGGCTGAGAGAACAAAGACCATCTATGTTCAGACTTGAGGCCGTGCAATGCAGTATGTTATTGCTGATGGCATTCCCATGTCCTTTCTTCAGGTCTTCTTAAAACATCTGTTCATAAGTCTGCATTGGCTGTCCAGCTCCAAAATGTTTAAAAAGTTGCTCAGTTGGATCGGATTACTTCATTTATTGTAATTTAATATTTTTATTGTTTACTGTGAATGTTTACATTTATTACTGAATGATTGTTACGGTGTAGTTGCTAATCTCCAGTTGCCCTTGGAGATTATGATAGCCTGCAAATATAATCTTTTTTTAAAATTTTGCCTTCAAGTTCCTGTTGACTCCTAGTAGACAAGTCCTTGCAGTTTTCTTGGCAAGATTTTCAGAAGGATGAGAGGATGAGAACAAACACTTTTCCAGTGTCTAGCTTGATGCCTTATCTACTACACCAAACTGGCTAAGTAAAATTTATTAGCCAAACTAAAGTCTAATTGGTCACAAACCAGGGGAAAATGCCACAAGAAATGATAATTCACACCACTTAATTTCTTGTTGGCTGGATGGACATTCTCTTAACAAAGTAACATTAGATTGCATGGAATCTCATTGGACAGAATCAAAGGGCAGCTAAAGGCCAGCTGTGAGAACAAATATTCTCACCTGCTGGATACATTATGCAACATTTCATTCCATGTGTTAATTTTCCAACAAAAGGCAACTTTGTTCTAAAGAATGTCTCTGCAACTTCCCCTTTTCTTTGTAATAGAGAAACAGTAAACACTACAATTCAACATGGGAAATCTTACTCACTTGTCCGCCAGGTAACCGATGCTTACGCAACCAAGAAAAAAGCCCACATTCACACACGATTGAAATAGATCCAGTTTCCAGGCGTCTTTGCATACCAAGTTAAACTGAAAAGTTGAAGCATGTTGGTTGGAGAAAGTACATCGAAATGTTTCAAATATTTTACACAAAAGTAACTTTCTCTTTAAATTTAAGATATAATAGAAAAAATATATTTCTTCCCCCCAACACACTTTTTTGCTGTAAATAATTTTCACAGCATTTAACTATAACATATAGACATTAAAATTAAGACATAACTCTCATAAATTAAAACTGCACCAGCATGTCTAAATTGTCCTATTATGATCAGTGAGTCTCCTCTAAACAGGACAAGGTCTGAATCTTCGTCATTTAATTCCAAATTCTTTCCAGGCAATTATTATTGTCTCATGTCTCCCTCTCTGATATTTGTCCTCTCTGAATACATTTAAAGGTAAAGGTAAAGATTCCCCTCGCACATATGTGCTAGTCGTTCCCGACTCTAGGGGGCGGTGTTCATCTCTGTTTCAAAGTTGAAGTGCCAGTGCTGTCCGAAGAGGTCTCCGTGGTCATTGGCCGGCATGAGTAAATGCCAAAGGCTCATGGAACGCTGTTATCTTCCCACCAAAGTTGCTCCCTATTTTTCTACTTGCATTTTTTATGTGCTTTCAAACTGCTAGGTTGGCAGAAGCTGGGAGAAGTAACGGGAGCTCACCCTGTTATGCGGCACTAGGGATTCGAACTGCTGAACTGCCGAACTTTCGATTGGCAAGCTCAGCATCTTAGCCACTGAGCCACTGCTCTCCTATCTGAATACATTTAAACACCTCTATTTCCCACTGAACATCCAAGGGCTTTTAAAAAGTACCTGTTTAGAACATTTATACAGGCTGCACCAAAAGTCAACCCCATAGGCCAATTGCAATATGTTTTATTAATTACAGGTAGCCTTTGATTTACAGCCGTAATTGATCCTGAAATTGTGGTTGTAAAGGGGTCATCATGTGCCTGATTTTACCACCTTTTCTAAGGTGATTGTTAACCTTGAACTCAGATGAATAGTATATATTTTGTTTGATGTCCAAAAGATAATATGGAAATAATTAGTAGATCTATCTTGGCAGAGAGCTTGTCAGCTCTTTCATCTGTCTAACTTCAAGAGGCAATAACATCTGGAGATGTTTAGTGTCCTAAACATCTGGAGATGTTTAGAGCCTTTAGTGTCCATCAGTGGTGGCTTGCTACCAGTTCACCCCAGATCGGGTGAACCGGTAACGGTGGTGGTGGGAGGCTCCACCCACCTGCCTGGACGCAAGCGCCCATGAGTGAACCAGTAGTGATGGGTCTTGAAACCCACCCCTGGTGTCCATCTCAGTTGCACTGACCAAAATGGTTTAGCAGAGGTTTAGCTCTTTACATTAGCTTTATCACCTACTGTAGCAAGCAATTTCTGATTATTGCAGGGATCTTACCTCAGTCACAATGGATGATCCATGGAAATCATAAAGCCAACCATCTTGGCATGCAACAACAGGTACGTGGCTGATGTTGCTATCTGCAGTGAAAAAATTAATTGGATTTGTGCAGTTGAGCCCAGATACATTCCAATCCACATTGTATCTCTGGCACTGACTAATGAAAGCATCTCCATGAGTTTCTTTCTTTGGAAAGGTATGATTCAGCTCCTCTTCAAGGCTCCAGCCACATCTGGCTGTTAATTCAGGAAGACCAGCTGTCCGGCAACGATGCTCAGGAGTAAAACCTAAGAAAACGATACCAACGTAGATGGGTGTGAAGGCAGCAGACAGCAAACACAGGACAAAAAATGCTCTTTTCTGATACAAATCAAACTCTCCAATGTGCTCTAGAATATCATCTAAGGTTGGCATTCTTGCACCAGGAACAGGTCACCAAAAGTGACAGCCTCACCTGCATCTCTCAACATTTTGTAGGCAGAAAAATTGCTTAAATTAACAAAGTGTGACCAGACCAAAAGTCACAGGAAAGCCATTAATTTACTTTGTACATTGACAGACCATGCATTGCAGACTTCATTTCTAATCTGCTAATTCACATTACACTTGCAAGCTCACGTTCTTACACGTTGGGTGATTTCTTATTGTTAAAATTAATACTTCACTATTAACTGTCTGGTATAGTCTTCCCTCCAACCATCAGAATATATAATACAAAGATCTTCAGGAATGCACAAGATCTTGTGAATCTTCACATCCTAAGTCCAACAATTGCTTTTTCTTTTCTTTTTCTTTTTTTTTTTTTGTATTTTGGTTCACCTAAATGGACCTTGATTCTTCCATGATGTCTGCTCAGGGTCCAAGCAGAACAGCAGTCCGTAATCTTTCCACCTTGATGACCAGGCCTAGTGTAGGGAGTGGCGTGCGAGTGGTAGGTGCGTGTACACAGTTCCTTTGGTGTAAGAGGCGTGTGTGCATGCCCTACACTTGTACAAATGGAGTTTAATGCATGAGCGGAAGGCGCTCACATGCAAAGCTCACATGCAAAGCTCATACGTAAAGCTCCACTCATGCGAGCGATGGGCACTTATGCTCAGGGTTAGGCTGCAACCTGCTTCTGAAGAAGGGAGAGTAATAGCCTTCACCAAGCACATCAACACTGTGGACAGGTATGTTAAATTCAAACAGGAAGATGTTAAAAGGAATCGTCTCGCTTTCCTGACCTATGCAGTACACATTAAGGAAGACAAAAGCCTCAGCATTCAAGTATACAGAAAATGAACACACAGAGATCAGTATTTACATTTATAATTTTTTCTTTTCTTAAAACCATCAAATTGCTTTGGGAGTCTTTTATATTAAAAGCAAGGTTTAAACAGCATCCTATTCAGATGTATCTATATCTGTCCGTTTAAGAGAATGAACTATGATGACCTTAGTAGTTATTTTCCTGGTGAGAAAAAAATGCCTAGCAAATGGAAAGTATGTGGACTGGTCATGTATTCCAATAAAAACAAAGTTTGTCCTTTTGTTATTTGTTGTTCTATTCTGTAGGGATGTCATCTCACAAAATGTTATCATCTCCTAAAATGTTTCCTCTTGCAATTTTAATAAAAATGCAGCAACCAAAGCCACAAACAAGTGAAAAAAGACCAGAGAGCAACAATTTATGTATCTGTCCCAAAGGTGTTTTTCAGGAGGCAATTGGACTTTCTTATTTTTTTTTTTCTTTGAAGATGTCTTGCTTCTCATCCAAGAAGCTTCTTTAGCTCTGACAGGATAGTGGGGAATGGAAGAATAGTGGGAATGGAAGGGAATGGAAGGAATGACTGAGAATCTCTACAGACTTTTAGCTATACAATTTGGGATGAACATCCTTTGAATGGTGTGGGAGTAGGAATGGATTTCCAAAGGAAAGAAAAGTTGCAGACTACAGGAACCAGGAGCACTACTCAGGTGACCCTGAGGACACAGATAAACCTCCAAGGGCTCCAACAACCTTCTAAAAGGATGCAAATGACCAGCTGTCTGCAAGGAATATAAATCCTTCCATTCCCCACTATTCTGTCAGAGCTGAAGAAGCTTCTTGGATGAGAAGCGAAATGTCTCCAAAGAAAAAAAAAACAAGAAAGTCCACTTGCCTCCTGAAAAAGCACCTTGACCTGGATGAGAATCTCTACAGAATTCATATATCTCTTCACTTCCTTTTTAAAAATATGTCAATCTCTGAATCCAAGGGGCACCATTGCTCTCAAATTGCTTTCCACTAAATCTGCTTTCTTGGGTGCATTTCTACTTTTATAATTAGTAACCCATCAGTCTATAAAAGAACATAATCTCACGGTTTGGGCAGGATGTGTTACATGCCTGAAAAGCACAACTGTAGTCTTGTATTTTGCAATCTTAGCATTGAACAAGACAAGCAGACGCTGCTCCATTTCAGAGGATAAAAATTGCTGGATTTGTAATGGTAACTGTTGCAGAAGGAAATGAAGGACAAGAAGGAGTGGAATAGAATAAGGGGGCATTAGCAGCTGGTGGATTTTGCACAGCCAAACATTATGATGGCTTCAACTTGTAAACTGTCTATGGAGTTTCTCAAACATTCAGGTCATGGACTTGTCAAGAAAATCCAGTTGCCTTTTGAAAAACACCTTTGGGGCTTCACTTGTAACCCAAACTGGAAAAGATACAAAACTTGACAAATCAAAATAATCGAAGGTGTGTGGATAGAGGTCTGTGATGAAGATAGAGGTCTGTGATGAAGAGTTACAATAAATGGACTTTTTCCCTTAGAAAAACATTGACTAGGGAGGATCTAATGAATGATAAAATATTGCATGGTATGGAAAAAGTGTCAGAGGGTTTAACATATTATCCTAAAAATATTAATTCCCAGGGTCATCCAATATAAAGATGAATAAAGGTATTCTGACTTAATAAAAGGAAGTATTCCTTCTTAATTAAAGTCTGAAGTAATGTCATGGTGTAAAGATGCTTTTCAACCAGAACAAAGAAGATTTGTTAACATGAATGAGGAAGGCTGTCAATGGCTGCCTATCATTATGACTATTTATCTTTTGTATGAGTTGCTGGGATCACAAGTGGGAGGTGCTACTGACAAGTGTTGACAGGTTTCAGGGTAGCCTCTGTAATCACAGAATACAGGAGTACCATGTACTACTACATATTTAGGCCTTTTATCCAGTGGTCCATTGGTTTTCCTAAATTTCCTACTTCTCCTTAGTTACATGGTCAAATAATTATAATTACATGCTCTATATAATAGATATTATGATGCTTGGTTTGCCTTGGCCTCCTGAACAGCTACTGCATCATAGACAATAGCCACTGGTGCCTCAGATCCTGCTCATGTCTCATTCCTTACAATCACAAGTGACTTACACCCAATTCTGATTTCACTATACCTGAACACAGGAGTGGGCTTCAAAAATTTTAGCAAGGGGTTCTCTGCCTGTTGCTGGATGGGTGTGGCCATGGTGGGCATGGCCTAGTTGGCCTCCTGCACCACAGTGGAGGGGGGGCGTTTTTGCCCTCGCTGGGCTCAGGAGGCTTTCTTCGAGCCTTCGGGAGGGAGAAAATGGCCTCCCCAGACTCCGGAGGCTCTCTGGAGGCTAGAAACGGGCACTACCCAAACTTCCAGTAGGCCCATTTTTCACCCTCCCTAAGCCTCCGCACGCGCCCTGCACTTACTTGCATCCAAAACAGGCCACGTGGGGACTCCTGAGTGGGATGGGAGGAGTGGGGCCAGCCAGGAGTGGAATTTGGGGGTTCTCCGAACTGCACAGAATCTTAGCTAGAAGTTCTCCTGAACCTCTGTGAACCCCCAGCAGCTCACCCCTGCCTGAACATGACCACATTCTGGAGCATTATATTTCTTTCCTTCATTTTCTTAATGAACACAAAACTAGACAACAGAAAATCCCATGCTTAGTGTAAAATCACATTTGCTTTCCTTCCTGCCTTTGAAGGAACTTTGAACTTCCTGAGAAATACTAAAACATGAAAATTTAGGCCTGAAGTGAGTGTTAAAAAACTACTCTATAAGCTTTCTCTCGTTCTTTCTTTCACCCCAAAAGAATTACCTTTCTTTTGGGGTGGGGTATCAACAGTCTTTTCTCCCCACCCACTCCTTTTTTTTAAAAAAAAAAACCACTTGGCACAACTTCAGCCTTTATCACTCTTCATTCTAGGGCTGTGGCCCATGAATTCATCGCTACCAATTAGTCTCTTGAACTCTCGTCCAACATGTTATGCAAAAGCATCTATGAACTTCTTGGGAGACTTTTGTTCTAGTAGCTAAGAGTCAGGCAAGCTGGCCAAGAAGGATTGTTTGCTGCTACCTGAATTTAATTAGAATGTTCTCTTCTCAAGTAATCTTAACTGCAAATCAAGCATTCAATCAAACACTTTCAGAAGTAGCTTTTTGTGTTGTAAAGCAGTGGAATGAGACGGGGAAAGCTATTTGAACATTACCTTTGATATTTTGCTTCTACTATACTTGTTTCTATTTGCTATTTCATAGCGTTGCCTCTTATTTTCAAAGCCCGGTGAACTGTTTTCAATCATCCAGCTACTTTTAAGTATATGCACCACTTATTCTCAACAGCTACTGTGTACAGCATGCCAATTACGCCTGAATGAAAACTTTGGTTTAAAACTATCTGGTTTCTTTTTCCAAATTCATTTGTGCTTCCACCAGAGAAAGCAAATCCTTTTTCATGATTTTTTTTAAAAAAGCTTACTAATCATATGTATTCATTTTTGTCTAGATTTAGAAATGGGGTTTACAATTTGTATTTTCAACTATTTTGGGCACCTGGAAAAAGCATCTCATATGTTGTATTGGCTCAGATGATTGTATTTATTAAAGTGTATGAATGATATCAGGTTAAATAATAAAATGGAGTTCTATATCATTAAAATGTAAGAACACACACACACATATATCAAACCATGTCCAAGTGAAAATCCAAGAAAATAGAAAGAGGTTGACCATGATTCCTTGTGACTGCAAGGTAGTAATCCAAAATTACACATACATATATATGCAATCTCTTTCTCCCTCAGGAAGAAAGTTTTCTTCCTCTCTTATAATTTTAAAACCTCAACATGAATTTCTGTATTTTCCTAAGATGAAAATTCATCTTCTCCTCATAGATCTGCAATATTTTCTCTTAATTTCTCCCTCCCTTCTTTCTGTAGAAAATATGCAGCATTCAAGAAAGAAAAAGAGAACTAGGGGCCAGTTGTTCCTAGAAGTCCTACTTTTGAAAGGAAGTTTCAATAACTGAATTAGACCTCTTCATAAATAGGAACATGGATACAGCTAAGAAAGTCCAAGAGCACAATAGAGATTGATAGGATTATAGGATTTTTGCTGAAGTTCCTAATTTGGCA